TACAATTATATGCCTGAATGTGCCTTCAAAGATGATTATTAGTCTCTGAGAATTGAAAATCCATGTCAACCTACTAATGTTTATGTTACGAAGCATCATTATTGCTCATATTACGGCGGCATAAAAAACCCAGGGAAGAAACAGCCACAAAAGGCAGCACTGCTGCAGGTGGGTGTGGGAGACAATAGGTGTCATGATGCTGCAAACTCTGGCCAAAACAAAGGTACCACAGTCATTATATCAGCTTGTGTAGCAAATCCTAACAGACTACGACCAGGTGATGCTGCGCCTCCCCCGGATATGCCCCCTATAATACCATCTAATCAATTTCGATGGGTTTCACACCCATACGAAAGATGGCTTTAATGACGCACTTTAGTCAGGCTATTGGTTCTTTCCATATGAAATATATTCGAGGGTTTAACTGCTCAGGACAATAGAGAACCAATAGTGGGGGGGAGGGGGGGAGAAATTACACCATTAACTTTGCTCAAATTTGTTAGACACGCTACAGTAGCCATATGAACTCAATAATTCTAGTTCTACAAGATGCTTTACTGTTTTCCCCTAAATCTAATCCATGTGTTTGATAAATTCAAAGGTTTGCAGCATTATGTGTAGTGAAATACCATGGTCCTTCATCTGGCCGGGAACTAACCCCGCTCTTTACAAAAATCCCGTGCTTGCGCAACAATTCTTTCTCGTCAATTGTTTTCTCAACGAAGAAATCCACGACAGCTTCCATGTTTAATGACCCCCAATACCAATCAAGTGACCAGTATGTGTCACCTTCTCGAAACAGCATTGTGAAGTGCTCGGAGTCACGATCACACATGTCCAGCTCCCAATGAAACCATTCAAATCTAGGTTTTGGAAGATGATAGAGTAAAAATCCATTCATATCTTTGATGAAATAACGAGTATAACTTGTGTTTGTCTCATCCATAATGTAAATACAAATCGAAGTAGTATCGGTAATAAGAGAGAGAGTGGATATATATATATATGTATCTTTCTATTTTGGGGCAGTGGTGAGTCATGTGCAAGTCAGCGACTGGCAGAATGCAGTACTGGATAAATAGGTCAAGGCGCGATGATTCAAGCATGTCGCATCACAAGATTTACTTTGTCCATTGACTCTCGGGGCCTCTAGTGTCGTTTTATTGGTCGTCTGAACTCTCGAATCACGTATGGGCCCATCATGTGAAGTTACCCTGCCGTATCAGTGCCCCTTGACATGACGAGGATCAATATGGCACTCATCAACATTCTCTAGATCAAATAATGGAGCCATATGACCCACTCCAAATCAACATCTATCTCACATAATGTTTCGCCCTCTGCCTGTTTGATGATTTGGTCAGAACTGGTAAAAGCTGTTTGGTTTCTTTAATTAAGATGTTCAAGAGCAGGTATAATGGAATCATTGCAAGAAGTAGCTTCACATACTCAGAAAATATCAAAAAAACTTAACATATGAACCTTGACTTCTCATCCTCGAATACAACGGACTTATGAAAGGAAGTCAAGTCCACAATATATATCACCCTGTTGGACGATACATTCGGAAGATTTTCATAAAATCTAGCACAATCTTCAAATTCCTACTGGCTATATTCTTAGAACACGTCCTAAGCTACTCAATACTCTTAATGGTCACACCGCAAAACTCCTTTGTAAAACCATATTAGAATTTGCCACTCTATTATCAAGCACATTATCATTGCTGCCTCATCGCCCAATATTACTACCACCACATCTTGAAGATACCTAAATATCTTATCGTAGCCGACAATATAAGTTATACAGTCAATTCAAATGTATCTCACTGTTCGTTTGCATTCCAGCGGTTCACTCAATAGGGGGGTTATTAGTATGATGATTGAGAGACTATTCGCACTATTTAATGTCATAATCGGCAATTGTGCGGTGCCAATCTTCAGAATCACTAGGTTACATGCCACTGCTGAGTGTCTTACACACAACCATGGTCACAGCATCGGTAAGTCAAATTTAAACAGATCCCGTCCTTGACTAAAACTACAGGTTCTGCGTGCCGGAGACTAGCGAGGCCGTATCAGAAGTGAGATTGAACATTTTTATGATAGGTTAAGATAGCCGGATGATACTTATGCCCCCCTATAATACAGAGTAACAGGAACAGTGTAGTTGGAGTAGCAATTTACCGCGTGCGAAAAGATACAATCCATCCAAAGGTGATCAGCGCCGGTCAAAAAAGTTAACAGAATAATCATCTGCACTGAAAACGGCATCTAGACATAATAGCTCTCATGATAAATTGCCGCCTTTGATTAGAACAAGTCCCTCCGACCATCAAATTTGACAGTATGACGAACCCTTTATGGCCAATAGATACTGCATTACCCTTTGGTATGCGTCAAGTGTGGCCGGGCGATCAGTCCAGTGGACTCCATATGATCGGTGCCTTTAAAGGTTATTGCATTGGATCTAAAAAAAATATCATTGCTCTTTATCTGGTTCTGAGCCAAAAGGCTATTTCATTAGAATATTCCGTGTTTCTAATACCTCTGTTCATCTAAGTAGTCTTAAGTTCTCCGTAGATCTATCGTGGGGCTCGTCGACGCTTGCACCAAAATTAAAGGTTTGTCTATATTTTCAGCACTTGCTATCTATGCAAATTTTCTGCAATAACGGCGAGAGGAATGATCTCCTCAAAACTTTTGGCAACACGGGCAATGTCACACCCTTTGTGGCACAACCTCATATTCGTTTACATAGCTAAACGAATTCTACCACGCGGGGACTTGCTCAGAGGAAAAATTACAGGTATTACACCCCTATCATTGAAAACTAGGCATTCGATGCCCCCACTTTACGATCCGAACGGTACACCCCCGACGAGGGAGCCTATTGTCGAAATTGTCCAAGACCACTACATCGATTAATCACATGATTGCTCAACGTCGGTATTCCGCTGTCTGGGGCGCACGAACCAATCCCTTTGCATAGAGAAGGCATTTCATAGGTTTTCCCGTCGGTACCTTTCGAAAACCATTGAAACTGCTTCACGCCAAACTCTGCGGACTACGATGCCAATTTTCAGCTCGTCTTCATTGGCTTTCAGCTACTCTCATTTTATGAAAGTTCATTTTGTAACCGCATTTCTTGCGAACTATTGCGCGCACCCGCGCATACACATTCCTACCCCTACGCTTTATTGCTGACGTCATCATTCGAGTCGCTATAAACGCGTTCCCGAGAGGGCATTTCATTTGGTGTTCATTCATAAAATTCGTTCTTAGTAAGCAAGGAATAAAAACTTCGTTATTTACATGTTTTTATTGGTTGTCAACAATTTAAGATTTGATCGACAAAGTCACTTATCATGTATATGCAAGCTCAGGTTCTTTCGATCTTCATGATCATAGAATGACCCAAGTTTGAATTCTCTACGATTTTTTTTTTCTTCAGCCTACGTATTCTGAGCACATAAAAGCAGTATGAATCTTGCCCTATCTCCCCAGACGCCAACATGAAGTTCCTGGCACTTGCAACTCTTGTTTTTGCGCCCACTATCTTCGCTGCTTCAACTCCCTTCCATTGCAAGACGTTGACAAAGTCGGCCTTCCTCACTGCTAATGGACCGGCTGAGTTCATCGAATTTCTAAACATTTCGAAGGTATCTGTTGGTGACGACACCTATCACATCCAAAGGGACGGCCACCCCTACTCTGGTGATGACATTGGCAGTGATTTCTCCTACAACCACGAACGCTACAACCTCGCCCGCTGCCAGCTGCGCAAGCCGGACTCAAACCTGCCCAAGTCTTACTTCCGTGTTCACCTTTCGAAGGACACTAGCCAGTGCCTGACGATTGGCAGTGCTGGTGCCTCTAGCACTGATGACAAAGCTGCAAGTAAGGCTTTCACGCAGGCCAACACCCTCTTTATGAAGCCTTGTGAGGGTCCTTCAGGCTCATCGTTTGCTCAGCAGATCTTCGAGGACACAGACCAGAAGTCTTGGCCCTTCGACATTAAAACCGTTGGATCTGACCATGAGACGTCTCGCTACTTTGTCGGCTTCGAAGACCACAAGGTGTTCCTGCTGTCAGAACCGCCTAAGTCGCACACCTCACCTCCGGGCGACTTCAAGCTCTCCATTCAAAAGTTCGGTTAAACAAGAGTTCTCTATTGTTGTGTCTAAGATAGTAACGATTCGGTAGTCTTTGTGTATTTATATCGCTAATATATCCTACCTCAAGTTGTCTCTCAATAGGGATCGGATGTGGATTATTGATAAAGCATGGGCCTGCAGTACTGTCACTAAACGCCTGCCATGGAGCTTTTAGTAGTAGTCTAACTGTCAAAGGATAGTGAACATGTCTGCAGACGTTCGTATCTCATACCGTTACGCACAACGATGGGCTGCTTTAATAATAATTGGGGGGGGGGTCCCTGATAACGGTTCTCCAATCTTATTAAAAAATGACGACATCGCAAACGGTGGTTCGTATCTACCAATCACCAACTACCTATTCTGACTCGCATGCAGGTGAATCATTTTGGCTTTGAGCAAATTTTTAGAGTGGTACCCCAACGATTCTTCTTTGCACAAGAGCATGGACTCGACCCAGCTGGCCGGGGCGGAGAAAAAAGATGCGCAAGATATAGAGGTGCAATTGGATGATACTGGGACATTCAAGGACGAACTGAGTATTTTCAGTTCTCTCAATCGCATTGAGCGGTACCTCGACCGGAAAATCGGCCTCGAGGCAGAGCCTGTTGAGCGGAAACTTCCCGAGCAGCGTCGCGCGACCAGCTGGAGCCAGCAGCTGAATATTATATTTCTATGGGCATCGGCGAACATCACTCTTTCTCCATTTTCCTCGGGGTTCCTGGGCTGGGAATTTGGGTTGTCCCTGAAAGAGTCGCTCCTGTGCTGCATCTTCGGCACCTTGATTGGATCGTGTGCGCCTGCCTACTGTGCAACGTTTGGTGCAGCGACGGGCCTTCGTCAAATGTCTGTGTCACGATACAGCTTCGGCTGGTATCCTAGCAAGCTGATTTCGTTGGTAAATGTCGTCCAGCAAATTGGCTGGTCTGCTGTGGGCGTCATCACTGGCGGTCTTGCCCTGGAGGCGGTAGCGGATGGCCATCTTTCTGTCGCAGTGGGTATTATCATTATTTCGGTGGTCGTTCTGGTGATTGGAATGCTGGGACTGCGTGTAATTTTACTGTATGAACGCTATGCCTGGATGGTACTGTTTGTTGTCTTCATGATTATCTTCGGCGAGACGGCCCAATATGTCGATAATAAAACACCTACGAGGCTTAAAGGTTCTGCCTTTAGTGGCGCTATCCTCTCGTTTCTCTCTGTTGCGTACGGCTACAGCGCGTCATGGTCACCGGTGGCCTCTGACTATTACGTTCTTTTCCCTGCCAACATCAGTCGTGTCAAAGTCTTTCTTCTGAGTTTGGTGGGTCTTACTGTACCCACGTGCATTTCCATGTGCGCAGGCGCCGTCACAGCGAGTGCGCTCAATACCAATCCGGCTTGGAAAGAGACCTATGAAAGCGCTGGTGTGGGGATGTATCTTCGCGATATCTTATACCCCATTGGTTTTGCCAAGTTCCTACTTGTTCTTCTTGTACTTTCCAGTGTCGGCCTCAACCTAATGAACACATACAGTGGCACGCTGAGTGTCCAACAAATCTCACCGATCCTTGGCAAAATTCCTCGATTCCTTTGGTCGGTTGTTTTCTTTGGTGTCATCATCGCCTTGGGTCTGGCTGGTCGCAGGCAACTTAGTGCGTACCTTGAAAACTTCCTCGATGTCATTGGCTATTGGAGCACGAGCTACGTGCTTATCATCTTTATGGAGCACGTCTTTGTGCGCAAAGCCAACTTTGCTAACTACAACCTCACCGATTGGAACAACCCTAAGAATCTTCCACATGGCATTGCCGCTATCATCACCTTTCTGGTGGGCGTCGTTTGCTGGGTCATGGGCATGTCGGAGACGTGGTACGTGGGCCCACTCGCTCGCCTCTTTGATGGCATGGGTGGCGACGTGGCCAACGAGTTCACGCTTGTCTTTACGTGTGTTGCATACCTGCCCCTACGTTTCTTGGAACTGAGAATCTTCGGGAAATAACTACATAGCAAACGCTATGCAACGTCTTAAACATGATACAAGTATAGACGCAGATCTATGGGAGTTCTAAAAGTACCTGTCTGGCGCGTGTATAAGGCCTGCCTCCCTAGCATACGTCTACGCCGACGGAGCACGCGACTTGATGACCTCGCCGTCTTCAATCTCTAGCATGTCGTACGCCTTGATGGCCTCCAGGGCGGCTTTCTGGCCACTGGCAAGCATACCTCCGAACGAGGCGCCCATGCGAGGGTGTCCGTCGAGCTCGCTCAGCTCCATACCGCCCACCACGGCACCAGGGAAGATCTCGCGTGTGTTGTTAACAATCAAGCCTTCCGAGGCGTTCATGTCCAGCGGGTTCATGTCGCCCAGCTTAAGCAGACCGGCGCTAGCCAGGCGCTTGACGGTGAACGCGCCAAACGGACCATCGTGGCCAGCGAACGAGCACACAATAGGCGCCGTCATCGTCTGGGGGTCCATGCAGCTCTGAAGGCCGTGCGCCATGCTGACCAGCGTGTAGTTCGTCACGACGCCATTAACACGCTGACGGCCGTCGCCGTCCTTCTTGATGATCAAGTCCTCGCAGCAGGTGGCGTTGAACAGCTTGACATTGGGCATAAGCAGGATCTTGGACAGGATCGTAGACGTGAAGAGCGCGGCGTGCTTCACAACAACATAGGCGCCCTCGTCGTCAAAGGGGATGCCCAGCTCGGTGAGCAAATTGTGCGCAGGCTTGCGGATAACCATGGCCGACTGGAGCTGGCCGCCGAGCCACGCGCCACCGCCTGGCGCCACACCCGCCTCAAGAATGGTGATGCGCAGGTCGGGGCGATTTTTGCCGAGTGTGTACGCGCAAGTGAGGCCAGCGCTGCCAGCACCGATGATGATCACGTCCGACACGGCCGAATCCATCATGTCCTTGTAGTAGCGGCTGGTCATGGCACGACTCGTGTGCGCTTCCTTGATATCGGCGAACACATAGTGGCCCTCGTAGTCCTCGACTGGCTCCTTACCGGGGACAATGGGGACGTGCTGCTTGTAAGGCGCCACATCGGCGCCCTTGAGAGAAGCCGAGCGGTTCTGGATCGTAGCCAGGTGCTGCTTCAAAGCATCCTGCGGCCAGGCAGAGCCGTTGGGAAAGGCAGGTTGGGTGGCGGTAGCAGTAGGGGCCATGATAGTAGGTCGGAACACGGGCCTTTCGTCCGACCGTTATCTACCGAAGGGTCCCACCCCAACCATTCCGGGGGGGGCCGGTGAGGGAACATCGCCATTGGCCCCTGGGCCCGGTCCATTTACATAAGCTCGTGCACGTTCCTACATCCAACAAAAAGGCGTATGTACCTAGGTGTCTACAAAAGGGCTGTCTTGCTCAGTTTGTGCTTGTGCTTGAGGACACTGCGGTGATACGGATTCTTACCCAGCTCACGCACCTGATCATCTGACAGGATAGCGCCGTCGATCAGAGCTGTGATGTTGAAGTTGTGGTCCAGCTTGAGTTGGCACAGCAGGTCGTAGTTGGACATGCTATAGGCGTGGTGCTCCAGGAAGTTCATGTAATCGCTCAGCTTGCACAATCCATCTCGACGGCCCTCACAGCCTTGGTTGCCGTCAAGTGGCACGACGGCATCATTCAGCTTCGCACGGATGTAGTCCGTGGTGCCGTTATCATCGTCGCATTCCATTACCTCGAACACGAGGCGCGCGCCGAATGGCGTAACACGGCTCGCGCGGTATCGGCGGTTCGGGTTCATGTGGTCGCCGGGCAGGTCGTCGCCGATCTGCCTAAAGTTGAGCGCGGTGAGGATCGTCAGGATCACAACATCGTGCGTAAAGTCCACGTACAGCGGCTGGTGCATGGGGAAGTAGGTCGGGTTGCTGTCCAGTGTCGAGTTCTGCGTCGTCTGCGGCCCGTGGAAGCCCGACCCCTTGAGGCGCGAGAGGAACTCCGTCACCCAGCCGATGCCCATAGCGCGGCCACCAATGCTCATAAAGCCAAACACGCTTTGGAACGTGAGGTCCTGGTCGTATTCGTACTCCTCGTAGTCCTGCTTGGTAAAGATCTTACAAAAGTCTGAGTAGCCCTGCGACACCGTCTCGTAGCCACACAGACCGATCATCGTGATAATGTCCGACTTGGAGAACGACACACCTTTCACGTTCTCTTGCAGACGCTTCTGGGCATTGCCAAACGCCTTGGCGCGCCACTCGAGGATGCGCAACGCCTTGGGCGAGAACACGTTCGGGCAAGTCATGTACGGCGCCAGCGTGTTGTTCTGCAGGAGCGTCTCGGTAAGGACCTCGATGTGCGCCTTATCGGCCATGTCCCAGCCGAAAAACCCAAGTGCCCAGTAACGCGCCGAATCGATCATGCGGCTCTGCGACGTCGTACGGAGGACGGGCTTTTGCTTCGACTGCTCCAGCAACTGGGCATACTCGTAGTAGTACTTGACACCCGAGTCAAAAAGTTCCTGCGCACCGAGGTGCACGAGAGCATTCTCGCCAAGCTGGTCCTTCCAGGAGTGCAGGAACCCGTAGTCTCCCTGCGCCTGGAGATTGCCGAGCTTCTGGGCCAGTCCAAGCTTGGCATCCAGCAAGCCGGCTCCCGTCGCTGGGTAGCGCGAGCCATGGCGGTGGAGGATGTGCGCCTGCTTGATGCGACACTGCTTCGGCACATTCTCGTAGCCGTGCGTCTCGGGAAACAGGTCGTCGGCCTGGTGATACGGCGACGTGGAACCCAGGTTCCGGAAAATGTCATCGGATGTCGCATGGTCCTGCTCAGCGTTCAGCGGCACCCAGCGCATCTCCACAGGAGAATTGTGGTTCGGTTTGCTCGTTTTGAGCTGGTCCGCCTGCGCGAGAAAGGGCGGCGCGCCATACTTGACAGAACCCTGGAACCCAACGTCCGTGGGGAAGGTTTGCGACGACGTGCCAGTGACATTGTTCCACGGATCGGTCGGCGTGCCGCGAGCCCAGCATACCGACACCGTGGCCAAAAGAGCGACAAACAGCTTCATGACGCTGGAGAGGGGTGAAGCGTAAACAGTAGCCGGCAATGCACCCACATGCCGCGGGGCGACCCGCGACGCGTCCCTAGGTTTGGCACGCGATTTATCGGCACGTGCTCCCACTGCAGGAACTGCGCAGGGGCCCCTTGTCCAAAGCACGGTCGAGTGGTACGTCCCCCTTCAGCGCGATTCATCCGCAAGCCAGTGCCATTCGCAGGTAGCACAGCACGTTTTCAATACCATTCAGTGCGCCGTTCGATGGGCACCATAAGCCGACCACGAGTGTCATGAGCCGCGTACCTGGCTCCATCGATTTGCTGACTACCAAAGGACATCATCAGACTAGACACTGGAAGGCTACAAAAATGGATGCTCTGCCGTTTCTATATGACTGGCATAGCTAGTTAGCGCAGGCGACTCCTACGTACAGCCGGCGGCTCGCGTCCCGACGCTGAAGGTCTGAGAGCGCACGTGCGCAGGCTATGGTGGAGGGAGTTGATCACATGCGGCGCGTCGACAATTTTAAAATGTGCGAGACCACGTTGTCCAGTGACATTGAAGAGTGAATAGAGTCTAGCCAATCAATGGGAGGGCGTTAGTTACCAGTTTGAAATACCCCCTCTTACGTTGTTATTGTGCTGTGGGTGTCCGTATATGTAGCACCGCAGACTGAGTCTGAGCCCCCACCCAACACTACCATGTTTGGCTTCAAGGTGCTCCTTGCGAGCGTGGCGGCGGCCATTGCTGTGGTGGGCGTGTCGGCCAACAACTCGAACCTCAAGCAGATCGAGCATGTGATTCTCTTCATGCAGGAGAACCGTGCGTTCGACCACTACTTCGGCACCATGGCCGGTGTGCGTGGCTTCAACGACCCGAACGTGCAAATCAAGAGCAACGGCAAGAGCATCTTTGAACAGCCCGTGAACAGCAGCGCGAAGCCCCAGCCCCCGAAGGGCGTTGACTCGCTCATGTACTGGTACCTGAACCAGGCCGGTGATGAGTACGTCAAGGCGACCGACTGTGTGGTCGGTGGCACCAACGCCTGGGAGCAGAACCAGGCGGCCTGGAACAAGGGCAAGAACGACAAGTGGATCGCTGAGAACACCCCCTACTCGATTGGCTACTTCAAGCGCAAGGAGCTCCCCGTGCACTTTGCGCTTGCCGAGGAGTTCGTGGTCGGCGACGCTTACTACGAGAGCACCATTTCGGCTTCGGACACCAACCGTGCCGTTTGGGTCTCGGGCACGATCAACTCGCCCGGCAGCCCGCCCGGTGGCGAGCCTCTCAAGCAGGGTGGCCCCGTCATCGACGACCACCGTGCCCCTGGCTGTGAGAAGAACTCGCGCGGCGAGCCCATGGCCTGCCTGCCCGCCAAGTGGAAGACGATCCCCGAGTACCTTGAAGAGCAGGACATCTCGTGGCTGGTGTACGAGGACACGGACAATGGCTACCACAACTTCCTGGAGCAGTTCGAGCAGTACGAGCAGGCTCTGATTTCCCAGGGCCCTCTCGCCAAGCGTGGTATCTACCGCCCTGGTCTGCACAAGTTCTTCTACGACCTGAAGAACGGCAGCCTGCCGCAGGTGTCGTACATTGTGCCTCCGATTGAGATCTCGGAGCATCCCCCGAACCTGGTCAGTGACGGCGCGTGGCTCCAGCAAGCTGTGGCGAATGCGCTGATGGAGAGCGACTACTGGAACAAGACTGCGTTGATTGTGTCGTACGACGAGACGGGTGGCTTTGCCGACCACGTCATGGCCCCGCACGCCCCGAAGGGCACGCCCGGCGAGTGGATGGAGGACCCGTACGACCACCACCTTGGCCAGGCCCCCACCGGTCCCGGCTTCCGTGTGCCGTTCTACATTGTGTCGCCGTGGACCCGCAAGGGCGGTGTCTTCACCGAGCACGCCGCGCACGAGAGCCAGATCCTGTTCCTGGAGAAGTGGTCGGCGGCGCACGGCAAGAACTGGACCTCGAAGGAGATGAACCCCTGGCGCCGCAAGCACATGAGTGACCTGCTGAATGCCTTTGACTTTGGCAACCAGGACACCAGCGTGGCCAACGTGCCCAAGGTGCCCGCTGCCTCGAAGGACCCGGTCACCAAGCTGTACAACGGTGTGCCCAAGTGCATGAAGAAGTACAAGGGTATGAACCAGCCCCCTGTGCCGTACGGCAACCAGACCGAGCTCAAGCACGGCTACGACGTCGAGAAGGGCTACAAGCAGATCCGTGGCGAGCTTACGGAGGGTCGCTACCTGACGCTCGAGACCTACTCGCACGCGCTCTCGCACAAGGGCAACAAGCTCGGCTCGGCGAGCTCTTCGCACCAGAAGAACTCGGACGACGAGCTGTTCGTTGTGCACTGGCTCGGCCACCAGCCCAAGGACCACCGTTTCCACATCGCCACCTCGGGTGGCAAGAACGCCTCCTACGTGAAGGACGACCTGTCGCTCACTTCGAGCAAGAGCCAGGCTGGCACCTTCACTTTCGACTACAAGAGCTCTGCCAAGGGCTTCACCATCAAGGTCGGCGACAAGTACCTGTCGATGGACGAGGATGGCAGCGTCAAGACCGTCAAGAACGGTGCGACGACCTTCACGCTGTACAGTGTGACTAAGTAGGGTTTTTAATTAGGGTGTGTGTGAATCTATGTCTTGAATGTCCTCGCCCTCGCCCGTGCTAAAGCCGTACCATGCAATGGTCGTGAGGCCGATCAGGGCACTGATAATACACGTGATAAAGGTTCCAATCATCGTGCCGGTCCAGCCGGTCACCAGCGGCTGCGCAGGCGGGCGCAGCGCGCCGAAGGAGGTCGTAGAGTTGAGGACGCCGCCTGCATTGCCTGCCGTGGGGTAGCCAAGCTGGCGGCACTGCTGCGGAATCACGTCGGGGACGTCGATCGTCCGTGCGACCTGGTCCGGAGCGACCAGAACCAGCATCGCCAGGCCGGACGACAGGTGCCAGTCAATGTGGCAGTGCAGGAACCACGCGCCGGGATTGTCCGCCACGAAGCGCAGGCGCGCACTGCCGCCCGCCGGCACCACAACCGTATCGCGGCGCACTGGATTGGGATTCTCGCCCTCGATAAACGGCGGATTGTCGGCCGGGTCATCGGACGTCACATCGTGGCTCTTGTACACGACCTGGAATTGTGTGCCGTGCATGTGGAACGGGTGCGATCCGGCGTCCCAGTTGTAGATCACGAACTCAACGATGGCCATACCCGGCGCCACAAACGCACCACTGGACGGGCCATACAGCGCTGGGTTCATGGCGATGGAGCCCGTCTCCGACTTCATTGTTAGGAGCGACGGCGTCAGTGGGGCCACATACGTGACGTTGTTGAACGATGCATAGTTCATGCCGTCCTTGTACGTCGTAAAAAAGACGTTTAGGTCTTGAGACACAGTCGGTACGAGGGGCTCCATCGGCACAATCGGACGCAGCTGTGTGTCGTTGAACGCATCGTAGGTATCCAATGTAGCACGGCCGACGCCGAGTGGCGCATTCGGAACGCCGTACGAGATCTTAGTGCTCACATTAAGCTGCAGCTCGTCCGGCACATTATCAAACATGTCAGGGTCCATGTTGGCATGCAGTGTCCAGCTGTGCGACGTGTCATTGCGCGCACGCACCAGCACCGAATACCGCTGTGCCACAGAGAGAGAGACGGAGTCGACAGGGAGCGCCTCCATATCGACGCCATCGGCCTCGATGATCTCCATATCGTGGCCCTCGATCCACACGTGGAACATAGCAAGGGCGGCCATATTGATCATGCGCAGGCGGTACGTCTTGCCCGGCTCAAAGGTCAGCTGGACATGATCGTTGAAGCCAGGGAGGTACTCGGCCGTGCCGTTCGCCGGCGTGTGTGCCATGTACACGAGCGGCGCATCAGGCACGGGCTCCGCGCCGCCGGGATTCTTGGGGTTCATAAACTCGTTGTGCAGAAGGTCGTTGTGCTCACGATGGTACCAGTCGGCCAGGATAATCGTGTAATCGTCGTCGTATGCGTGTGCCTCGCCCTGTGCATTGTGGATAATGTTCGGCAGGCGGAAGCCATCGACGTACTGGCCACCATAGTGTCCATGCATCCAGTATGTACCCCACTGCCGCTGGCGCTCGGGCGGACTGCTCGGCGAGTTGAGCGGCTCGTATACGAATGACTCACCGTCGGGGACCGGGCACTGCGTCAGCATCGCGGCGCCGTCCATAAAGTTGGTCCGGTTAAAGAACATGCCGTGTGCATGAAGCGTGCTACCTGTGCCATCGCCAAACCGGTTGTGGAAGCGGATCCGCACCGTGTCATCCGAGTTCACATTGACAATTGGCGGTGGAAATTGGCCATTGATGCCGATAGCGCGCCGCGGCTGCAGACCGTCGGGGTTCACATTCTCGACGTAGCCGACAGTCCAGTCATACTCGACTGGTTTGGCAAATACCGCGGCTGCCATACAGACGAGAGCCATCGCGACATTCTTCCACATCGCGGGCATCGTGGAACGGCTCACAGTGCTGCCTCCGCGGCGCGAGGCCGGCTAGCTTCTGCCGTCTGTCATCGTTCGTTCCTGCGCCGGGCAGGATCATCGATGGCGTAGTTTATCTGATTTGTCAAGCTCCAATCAAAACGCGCGCACATTGCCCATCATTTTGCTCGTGGTCGACGATTCGTCCCAGTGCGTGAACGCCCTGCGCATGCGTGCACAGGTACATCAATCTGCTGCACGGCTGCTATCGATGGAGCCGGCAAGGTAGACCTCGGCTCTATGCCGCGCTACGGCTTGCCCGCCTCCTGCCATGATGTCGGGGCCCTCCGGCAATCGTGTGTTTGCGCCGACGATCTTCTTTATCGCCTTCCGTGAGGCGCTAGAGGCCGCGCTCGTCATCGGCATTCTTACAGGTATGATCGAGCGCGTGATCGGCAAGAACCGGCATACGATCGATGACGGCAATCGCCGCCTCATTCGCAAGCTGCGCTGGTTCGTCATTGCAGGCGCGCTCCTGGGACTCCTGATTGCCTTTATCATAGGCGCCGTCTTCCTCGCCATCTTTTACACCCAGGCAACGGACTTGTATGCGCGCTCCGAGGAGCTCTGGGAGGGCATCTTTAATCTGATTGCCGTTGTGCTCATCACGCCCATGGCGCTCGTCTTGCTGCAGGCAGACAAGTCGCGCGAAAAGTGGCGTAAGAAGCTGGCCAAGGCTTTGAATGGCCTGACCGAGGCGCGCCATGAGGCCGTGGAGAGCATCCGCTCACCGCCTGCGGAGGTATTGAGCACAGATGAGACGCTCTCGCCCCTGGAAAAGACCGAGAGCGATGGAACGCAGGTACCCGAGCTCGTAGCGCCGGCCAAGCGCTCCTGGGCGGAGTCCGCGCGATTGTGGGTGCGCATTCTCCGCAAGCCCTTTGAGGGCGATGCCAAGGGACCCACGGCCATGTTTGTCATTCCGCTCATCACGACGCTGCGTGAGGGTCTCGAGGGCATGATATTTGTCGGCGGCGTATCGCTGGGCCTTCCCGCGTCATCCATACCCCTCCCTGCGATCGTGGGCGTGCTAGCCGGCCTGCTCGTGGGCTTCATCATATTCCGCTCGCGCTCCATCTCCAGCGTCAAGCCGTTCCTGGTCTTCTCGACGTGTGCACTGCTGCTCATCGACGCCGGCATGTTCTCCCGTTCCGTGTACTACTTCCAGTTCTACCGCTACGTGCAAAAAGTCGGAGACGCGGCCGCCGAGTCAGGGAGCGGCGCAGGCAGCTACGATGCACGCAACTATATCTGGCACCTCGACTGCTGCAACCCCGAGGACAAGACAAACAACGGCGGGAGCGGCTGGTCCATCCTCAACTCCCTCGTGGGATGGAACAATACAGCGACGCTCGGCACCATTCTGGCGTACATCCTCTTCTGGGTGGCCATCGCGCTCTATATAGGTGCTTTGCTCATCTATGAGCGGCGCAAGCGCATCGCGCAGAAGCGAGGCTAGGTCTATCACATGTCACACAGGTGGAAGTTCGAGTCGTTCGTGTCGTGCGCGACAATGGCACACAGCGCATTGTCGTCGATCGAGTAGATGGCACGCACCGCGCCGGGGCTCTCGCCCTGCTCCAGGTTATACGGGTGGCCGTCAGCGAACACGGGCAGCTCCAGCATCATCGAGGCATCGTCACAGGCACTCGACATAGGCAGGCCCTCATAGTCCTTAAACTGATGGGGGTAGCCCGAGTGGCGGTTCTCACGCGGCGCCTGCTGCACCTGCCACATGATCTGGCTCACATCAATGTCGCCGCCGTTACCGCAGTGGGCGATCTACTGTAAGTAGCATTCACATACCTCATCACGGCGGGTAAGGGGCACGGCCGAGGCCACAGCGGCGAATGCAAGGACCAGAGCAGCAATCTTCATGAGAGCAGAGGGACACCCAAAGGCGGGGTCGACTTCTTATAGCCCGTCCTGGGGGTCCAAAAGTTTAATTATTCGCACGTGGGGCCTCGGCAGGCCTCCGGAGCAGGCTGATTGGCGACCCCTTGCAACTATGCTTACCATCGATCAGGTGCTGTCAGAGCCGATCCCGGCACTCGCGGACGCCATTGTCGTCCAGAGCCGGGACGAGCAGTTTGTGCCGTTCCACTTTTGGAGCGAATGGCTGCGCTGTGCAGCCGAGTCTTGCGAGGTGCATGACAAGCTTCTTGCACTCGCGCATGCTCTCCAGTCGCATAACGTGCGCGAGGTCGAGGGCCAATGCCTCTGGACCGACCTGCCCACGCTCCCGTGGGCCATCCGCGAGGCGATGGATACACTCGCGGACGTACGCAAGCCCACATGGTTCGTGAGCATTCACACCTTCTTCGCTCGCTGCGCCGCTGACGGGCTAGTTGATACCGCCATGTGGGCCGCCGTGCTGTGCCGAGAACTACTTGAAGACGATACCGTTCAGCAAAAGGATGTGTATGTGGCCGCTGTGGATGCCTGGATCCAGCATGCAGGCGCCGTCCTATACAACGACGGTCAACCTCATCATACATCGTCGCCCATCTGTCGCCCCGGCAAACTCTGGAGCGGGCCAGGTGGCTACAGTCCTGAGCGCCTAGACTTTTGGAATAAGCGCCTCGATGAGCTTGACGCGCAGGACTCTTCGTTGGACGTGCCTACGAACCGATTCCCCCATGCGTAATACCTTGCCTAAATTTGCACTATTATATACCGTGCCTCCGTACGCACGCGACGCAAGATACTAGTCGGGTCATAGAATTGGATAAACATACTTGTAGTGCCAGGCCAAATCAATGAAATCGGCCGGTCTGCTCCTCGATCAGCTCTGGCGAAGGAGCAGCATGAAGTCTTACATGCCGTTCACACACGACTGCTGCCTGTTACCTCCGATGGCCTAGTGCGCATGCGCTATGAACTTCCTAGTTCTCTTGCACATTCTCAAACACAATGCTATTGTGCTACTACTGTGTTCCTGACATTATCTTTTGTGGCAAGGCGTGTAAATCCCTACATAATGGGCAGAGCACATCCACCTAGGTAGATCTCGTCGCTGCTGGAACGTAGGAAGTATCCCTCAGAATAGGTCAGACTAAGCTAGGTCAGGCAATTACCAGCCTTCAGACTGAATGGGAGGGAGGCGTCAACGTACAGCCTGCTAGGGGACGACAGGTGTGACTCAAAGTGGAGGAGGCTTAATATGAGTGGGTCAGTCAGGGCATATATGCACAAAGAGTGCACAGACCTGCATATCGTATATATGTGGGTCCTATTTTAGGTGGCGGTCTGCCCTCCTCGCAGGAGCAGAAAGGACGCGTAGTTAGAAGATTTGCCACCGAAGTGGCAAAGTTAGTTTTCTCCCAACCTCCATCAATATGGCATCTGTCCCACACTTGGCGCTTTCCTCCACGCTTCAGCATGTGGCGGAGACCAAGTTGGCGAAGTTGGCTCAGCGCCGTGCCGAGCTGGATGACTTTTGGCGTGAACATCTTGACGACGAAAGTATGCAGTTTCGCGATGTGGACAGTGTTCGGCGCCTCTTGAAGGCCATGAAAGAAAGAGGCCACAATTTCCAAGATAATCAGTGGCCCTGTTGCCTGGCCAGTTTCTTGGATCATGCCGAGAAGAGCCCTTTCGTACGCCCCTCACAAGTGACGGCATGGGGTAGGTCGCTCATGCTGGAGTTGGAGCAGAAGCGAGCCCGCTACGAAGTGACAGAATTGTTCAGTAAATTGGTTCTGCAATGGATCCAGAATCCTGTGAGTGGACAAAACTCGACCGATGACTTCCAGTCGGCTCAAGGTCGTTCGGAACTTCGAGAACAGCTCAACACATGGAAATCATATGCTTTCGATGAAAGATTAACGGACAAAAAAGAGATCATGGAGTATTTGGATAACTTATTTTTGGGAAAGCAACAGCGCAGTGTCTTAAAAGAATCACCTTTTGATCAATTACGCAGTGCCATTGCCAAGTTTGATGAGGTTTCTATTGACAAAAATACTATTCGCGTTGCAGTTCATGCTTTACTCAAGGAAGACCTATTCACTGGAGAGAAGCGCGATGCGTTGGAAGACTTAAAAACCAGAGATATTGTGATGGAGGAAATTGCAGATGCTCTCCGTTCAGACCTAAACGCCTTAGATTGGTGGTCCTGGCAATCAAATGCCATTCCTGTGCATCTTCGCAGGCACATCAATGGTCGATTCCGTGTGTACATGGATGAGGAGATCTATCAAGCCATATTCATCCAAATCGTGGGCTCGTTCTGGGCCGTTTTCTTAAAACGAGTTCTGAAAAGGTTTGCTATGTCTCCTGCATGGTTAGAGAAAAGCGCCTTCACCAAGCTTAGCAAAGAACATATTGAAAAGCGCAAAAATTTTCTAGGGAAAAAAGCCGAATTGAATCAGAGAAATGAGACTATCAACACCTGCCGGTGGAGAACGTACTGTGATCGTTTCTTTTTGTCTCAATTACCATCGTCGATGGAGCAGGGTACGAAGGGGGGATACAATGACGACTCGGATGGAAATGATGCCAAGGATATGTCTCCCAGTGAAATTAAACAGAGTATGCTACGTCTCATTTCTACGGAACTCTTAATGCAAAAACATATTCACGGATCGGCTACCTACTTCCAGACTGATTTCAAGTGGTTTGGACCTTCTATCCCTCACACTACCTTGCTTGCGTTGTTTGAGTTTTTCCACGTACCTTCTAAGTGGATCGCTTTCTTCCAAGTATTTATGCAGCCGACGCTTCAAGTGGAAGAGGAAGAGGGGTATGATGAGCCAAAGAAGCGTGTGCGAGGCATCCCCATTAGCCACACGCTTAGTACAGCGTTTGGAGAGCTTCTTCTCTTTGTCCTGGACTTTGCTGTAAATCAAGAGACGCAGGGCTGTAATATTTACCGTTTCTTTGATGATATTCATTTTTGGGGACAGCCCGAATCGTGTGTCAAGGCATGGCATACCATCCAGAACTTTAGTCACATCATGGGCCTCACACTCAATGAGGAAAAGAGCGGATCATTTCAGTGCAGTAACCCTGGAATGGATACGAAGATACCGAACAGTCTTCCGACTGGTGAAGTCCACTGGGGCTTCTTGAAATTGGTGGGGAATGGCGAATGGCAACTGGATCAAGAAAACTTGACGCACCATATAAACGAAATGGCTCGCCAGTTAAAGTATTGTGACAGTGTCCTGTCTTTCGTCCATGCTTATAATACGTACATGCGGTTCTTTATCAACAATGCAGGTCATCATGCCAGTTGTCTTGGCCAGCAGCATGCCAGCTCATTAATCGATATGGTTTTACGAGTTCAAAGGTCAGTGGCAGAAATTTTGTCCAATTCGGGGCATATCGATGTTATATCCTTCATACGTGAAAAAATCCAGGGAAACAAGGACTTGAATTTGGTTTCGTCTGATCTCTCGGATGCTTTCTTCTTTTTCCCTACTGAGCTGGGTGGCCTGGGTCTTAGCAACCCGCTCCAGCAACTAATTGATATTCGCCGGTGGATACATATGGATCCAGAAAACATTATCTTATTGATTAAGGAAAGAGAGAAGAAGGCGTACGAGGAAGCTTTGGAAAAATTTGAAGGGGGTATGGTCCATGATATCCCACCAAAAGCGCCTACGACACCTTTGACATTTGATGATTATTCAAAGTTCCCTGAGGATGGCAGCCAAATTTGGTACGAAATGTATGAAGAGCTACAGGACAGGATAAATGTCTCTTCTCTAATGTTGACGGACGATATTAAAACTGCAGCGCGGAGACTGGAGCAAAATGAGCACACAACTATTTCTATGCACCACTCCTGGGCCATCCAGATGTATGGTGCCGAGGTTTTGAATCACATGGGTCGGCTTGCCTTTGGTGAGCGTGACCTAATGCCCCTTGGATTGGTCAAGGTGCTCAGCAAAGAGCGCTTCCGGTGGCAAGCATAATTGAGTAAGCCTGGAACAGCTTCCGAAAGTAGCAACTCGTCAGTAGTGGAACGTGGCCCGAGCGGTGTGGAGGACCTGTAAGATGCAGGGCTGAAATTAAAACAGGTCGAGTGGAATGCATAAACGTTGCCAAGGTAGAATGCTTTACAGGCATCAGTTAAGAGCACACGTCATTTTAGGATAGGGCTCGTCACGATCTGAGCATATGCATATCGATTTACCTCTAACTAAAATAGTAGGCAACGCTTTAGTTCATCCTCATGTGAAGGGGCTTCCAGCAGGCTAAGCAGAATCACTCCGCGCTTGGACCGATGTAAACTCTACTTTGTAGAGTCAATAGTTGGACCTGATCTCCTCCAAAGAGTGTTCAGCAGCAGTCACCAAACTTATAAATGCTATAGTTCCCTGCCTTCCATCAATAACATGGAAGCTGCCCCTCACCTGGCTCTCTCTTCCACGCTACAGCATGTGGCAGAAACGAAGCTGGCCAAGCTGGCTCAGCGCCGTGCCGAGTTGGATGAGTTTTGGAGTAAGCATCTCGATGATGAGACTCTACAGTTCAAAGATGCAGATAGTGTCCGGCGCCTATTGAGAGCCATGGAGAATTGTGACCACAAGTTCCGTGACGAGCGCTGGTCGCATAATCTGAACATATTCTTGGATCAAGCCGAGAGGGATCCTTTTATACGACCATCACAAATTGCTGCGTGGGGTAAGTCGCTTTTGTCGGAGCTGGAACAAAAGCGGGCCCGCTACAGTGCCACCGCCTTGTTCAGCAAATTGGTGTTGCAGTGGATCCAGAACCCAGTGTCCGAACCGAGCTTAGTGGACAAAAATGAGTCAATACATGGCCGTTTAGAACTTGACCGACAGCGCGAAATATGGGAGTCGTATGCCTTTAATGAGAAGGTAACGAACAAGGCAGAAATTTTGGAATTTTTGGACAACTTGTTCATGCGGAACTACAAAAATGGCTTGCCGAGGAACAGTCCCCTTGGTAGTCTACGGCGGTCAATTTCTGACTTTGACATAATTCCAATTGATAAAGAAATTATAAGGGTGGCGCTTCATGCTCTTCTGAAAGAGGATCTCTTTGTAGGGGAGAAGCGCAATGCCTTGGAAGACTTGCAGTCCAGGGATATTATCTTGGATGAGATTGCAGATGCTCTGCGCTCGGATCTAAGTGCCTTGCAATCGTGGTCGTGGCAGTCTCGCCCCATCCCTGTGCACTTTCGAAAAAATATCAATGGCCGATTCAGAGTTTATATGGATGAAGAGATTTACCAAGCAATTTTTATCCAAATTGTAGGCACACATTGGGCAGCTTTTCTGAAAAGGGTGCTGAAAAGGTTCATTACTTCTGGTGCATGGCTGGAAAAGCGCCCAACAACCAAGCTCAGCAAAGAATGTATAAAAAAGCGTATCAATTTGGTCGGCGAGAAACGCGAATCAAGTCGTAGAGAATTCGCCATCAACAACTATCGCTGGAAGACGTACCGGGACGTGTTCTTTCTTTCAGAATTGCCGTCTTCGGTTGAAGAAGGCACAAAGGGGGGATACTGTGAAGAAGACCCTGATGATCATATAAATATTGATACACTGACTGATGTTAAACAGCGTTTGCTTCGTCTTATTACCACCGAGATCCTCTTGCGAAAGCAATTTTACGGTTCAGCAGCCTACTTCCAGACAGATTTTCAGTGGTTCGGACCTTCCATTCCCCATTCTACTTTGCTAACACTCTTTGAATATTTTGATGTGCCTCCCAAGTGGATCGCGTTCTTCCGGGCGTTTATGCAGCCGACACTTCTAGTGGAAGAAGATGATGGCTATAGTGAGCCCAAGAAGCGCGTGCGTGGTATTCCGATGAGTCACACACTCAGTACAGTCTTTGGAGACCTGTTGCTTTTTGTCTTGGATTATGCTGTAAACCAAGATACGCAAGGCTGCAATATATACCGAATTTTCGACGATATCCACTTTGTTGGTCAACCGGACTCGAGTGTCACGGCTTGGTGCACCATCCAGAAATTCACACACGTAATGGGACTCACGCTCAATGAGGAAAAAAGTGGCTCCTACCTGTATCTACCTCAGAAAAATGATACTTTCCCACCACATGCTCTACCCCTGGGCGAGGTTCGCTGGGGTTTCTTGAAACTAATGGAGAAGGGCCAATGGCATCTGGATCAAGAACTCATATCCCGCCATATAAGAGAGATGATACGCCAATTAAGGAATTATGAGTGTATAATGTACTTCGTTCATGCCTATAATACATACACACGGTTTTTCATCAATAATGCTGGATATCCATCTGAATGTCTGGGCAAGAATCACGTATATTCGGTGATTGACATGATTCAAAAAGTGCAAAGAACCGTGAGTGAAGCGATATCGGACTCGAAGCATAGCGACGTGGTCTCGCTACTACGTGAAAAAATTCTAAATGACAAGACCATGGATGCTGTACCTTCTGATCTACCAGATGCCTTCTTCTTCTTTCCTACATATTTGGGCGGCTTGGGGATCTACAACCCGTTCGTATCCTTGACCGAATCTATTCCGTGCTTTGATGATCATCCAGAGAAAGTGGTCGAGAAATATGTGGATTATGAGAAACAACAGTTCGAAGAGGACCTGGAGAAATTGGATGCTGGAAAAGTGTCTGATCTTCCTCCGGATACACCCTATCCCCCGCTTACCTTTGAGGAATATATTCAATCACCTGAGGATGGTAGCAATGTTTGGCTCAATGCATATCATGAGCTACAATCTAATACCGATGCTCGGTCGAGTATGGTTACTACACTTGACTTGGAAAAAGTCATGCGCAGTCTTAGACGAGAGGAAAAAACAGATGTGTACAATGACCATTGCTGGATCATTCAGATGTACGGCGCCGAGGTTCTAGGCCGCATGGGACGACTAGCTTTTGGAGAGCGTGATTTAATGCCTACTGGATTGTTTAAAGTACTTCGCAAAGAGCGTGCGCGTTGGCAAGTATGAAAGTATATTCCGTTACCCCGACCGTAGAAATACCTAGTGAAGCACCATGTGGCCCGAGCGGTGTGGAGGTCGGGTGGCAAAGGCCGGCCCGCATCCCACATTCTTACCACCATGGAGTACGCGAAGTACGTACCGGGATACTCACGAAAGCTTGGGTCATTCGGGTTTGAAAGTATCTCGCATCATCCTTGGATGCATGACCTTTGGGTCGAAGAACTGGAGCGAGTGGCTTCTTGATGAAGAAGAGTCTCTAGAGATTATTCGCCACGCCTATGAGAAAGGTATCAATACGTGGGACACGGCCGATGTGTACAGCAATGGCAAGTCTGAGGTCATCGTGGGAAAGGCGCTGACCAAATTCCAAATTCCTCGCAACCGTGTGGTGATCATGTCCAAGTGCCACTTTGGTGTGAGTGACGATATGGAGCAAGGTCCTGCCTTCCTTAGCCCGAACGACGGCGAGTTTGTCAACCGAGTGGGTCTCTCGCGCAAGCACATCTTCGATGCCGTGGAGGCGAGTGTGAAGCGCCTGGGTACCTATATTGACGTTCTCCAAATTCATCGTCTGGACCGCGAAACGCCTAAGGAGGAGATCATGAGGGCGCTGAATGACGTCATTGAGAAGGGCTGGGTCCGCTACATTGGCGCCAGCTCCATGGCTGCATGGGAGTTCCAGCAGCTTCAGAACATTGCGGACAAGCATGGCTGGCACAAGTTCATTTCCATGCAGAACTTTTACAACCTCTTGTACCGTGAAGAGGAGCGGGAAATGATTCCTTATTGCAAGGCTACCGGTGTAGGCCTTGTCCCCTGGTCGCCGATTGCGCGGGGTGTGCTTGCGCGCCCGTGGTCCGATCGCTCCTCTAAGCGCGAGAGCTCAGACGGCATGCTTCAACGTCTCCTTCGTAACTCGGCCAAGGAGGCGGACCAGACGATTACGGACCGTGTCGAAGAGCTCGCGAAGAAGAAGGGTGTGTCTATGCCCCAGATAGCCACGGCATGGACGCTTGCCAAGGGAACGTATCCCATTCTTGGCATCAACAAGCTGGAACGCGTCGACGAGGCCGTGGGCGCCCTTCAGGTAAAGTTGAGTCCCGACGAAATGGCCTTTCTAGAAGAGCCCTACGTGCCGAAACCAGTGGCGGGCTATTGATTCGCTTGGGGTGCAAGTGATCCTTGGGGCCACACAGAGCCGATAAGGCCAATGTAAGGCTCTCATGTAGACCGTTTCCTTATCGAGTTGTGGTCATAACTCACATGCCGTCTCTGTAGGCTATGTCTTGCTCATGAATGCTCACAAGAATTCGTTTCTACACGGATGTGGACCTCCAGAACGTTTACCCAGAAGTGTTGCCAGATCCATAGGTCTGCACGTTTTTACGAAACAGATGCCATCAAGAGGGGCCATGACCGAGTGCTCTTTGCGCATGAAGGTCATCCTCAACCAACGCCTGGACTGGGGTCAAGCCATGCCTGTCTTGTAAGCCGATGGCGGTTATCCTGAGGAAAAACGCTCTGTCATTACGGAGCTTAAGCACATGCCAGGTATAGTCATGGCGGCATGGCCTGCGGCATCCGTAGCTAGCAAATAGGGGACGTGGTCTGTGCGTGTGGCGTGACAAGCAAACCAGGCTGTGACGCCTTAGTCATCCGTGAGCACACACCATGCGGCTCATTGTGGCGTTGGCATGGGTGATGCTAGTCGTGGCAGTCAAGGCCTCTGATATGGCTCGTGACATCGGCAATGACGTCTCACGCGCCATAGGTGGTGCAACGTCAATAGTCAATGGTGCGTGGACCTACTCTGACATGGCAGGTGCGGTCAATGGTGCCGCCTCTGCATTCTCCCAGGGCGCGTCGCAGGCCACCTCGGCGTACTGCAACGCAGTCTCGCAATCTTGTGGCCAGCCAACTGTGTCTGCGAAGAATCCGACGCAGTCCTACTCGGGCGCCATCGGCAAGGTGTATACCTACGGAGAAGCCGTCTCGGGTGCCCCGTCGATTCTCAACCCGGCGGACAAGGACCATCCTGCTGGCTCGACCGTGGGCGTCGGAAAGGCGCCAGCAGATGGTAGCGATGCACGCCGCCAGGCTTTGACGACCTCGAGCTTTGTGGGCCTCGCCTGTGTAGTCGGCGCTATTGGCGCTATGGCCGTATTTCTATAGATCCCATATTGTACAGCAGGCGCCGCTCCGGCGCACTACCCGTGCTTTCCCCACAACCTTATGCCACACGCAAGCTCCCTGCGGGTAGCGCTGCTTAAGCAGCAGGCTGATGCCTCTCCAGCCGTGCATGCTGATGAGGACGAAGAAACAGATGGGCTGGGTGACCTTCCCTCCAGCAGTGGCATGCGGCCGACGGTGCCGCCTGCTCTCGCACCCGGAGCGTTTGGGCCGCTCTCTTCTGACGACTGCTTTGCCGTGGCACTCGAGCTCGATATTCCTTGCGGCGCGGGCGATAAGAAGGCCACGTTGCGGGCCTACTACACGCCGCCCAAAGGCGGGGCGTCGAGAGGCACGACCGTATTTGTGTGCCACCACGGCGCAGGGTTCGGTGCCCTGTCCTATGCGCTGACGGCCCGTTCCCTCTCGCACCAGACTGGCGGCGAAGTTGGCATCCTGGCGTACGACTGTCGAGGGCACGGGCGCTCCAAGTTTCCGCCAGAGGTGGTCAACGACATGTCGCTGGCCGCGCTAACGAGCGACCTTGTGCAAGTGATATATACCCTATTTCCCGACGCGGCTCAGCGCCCGTCCCTCATCCTTCTCGGCCACTCGATGGGCGGCGCGGTGGTCGTGGAAGCAGCGCACGAGCTCGAGAGCGACACGCAAGTGCGCGTGCTGGGCGTCGCTATGATCGACATTGTCGAGGGCACATCGCTTCGGCTCCTCCCTGACATGGCGAACATTGTGCGGCAACGCCCTGAGGGCTTTGTGAGTCTCGAATCCGCGATCCAGTGGCACATCAAGTCGCGCACGATCCGCAATCCTCAGAGCGCGCGGCGGAGTGTGCCGTCGCTCGTGCACGAGGCGCGGGGCTATGCGACGCTGCCGTGGCGGTGGAACGCCGACCTGCTCGCTACAGAGCCTTACTGGCACGGCTGGTTCACAGGCCTCTCAACCAAGTTTCTCCGCTGCCGCGCCGCGCGCCTGCTCATCCTCGCCGAGACGGACAACCTCGACCAGACACTGATGATTGGGCAAATGCAGGGCAAGTACCAGCTCGTCGTGAGCCCCCACGCAGGCCACTGTGTGCAAGAGGATATGCCCGAGCAGACCGCAGAGACACTCGCGCACTTTTGGCAGCGCAACGACAGGCTCCCAGCCGGCTTGCGCCCGGTCGGCCAGGCGTGATGTAGCATACACACCTCCATTCCTATAGCAGGCGCTCCTGCGCGCGGCTGGCGCTGGCTCCGAGCGATGACCGTCGAGTCGGGCGTCGATGCCCTTCGCGAGGCTCACGGCCCAAGCGACCATGGCGAGGAGGACGTAGACGATTTTGGCGACTTTGAAGAGGGCGACGAGCTCGCCCCGGCCGCGGAAACGGAGGCGAAGCCTGAGCCGAGCGAGCCAGGTGTGGGCTCGCTGCCCCTGTCTGACGACCCGGAGGACGCGGCGCTGAATGACGGCGTGCGTGCACTCCTTCCCCCCGACTTTTTTGACATGCGCACACCAGGTGAAGGTGTCGCGCCGAACATTGCCATCGAGGGCATGCGCCTAGTCGAAGGCCCCTCGCAAATTCTGGTGTCAGAGCAGATCCGCGCGCTCTACCGCGCGCTACAAGTGGACAGTGTGCCCAGTGCACCCCTAGACTGGCGCAGATCGTACACGCGGCGGCAGTCGCTCATTGCGCTGGGCGTGCCCATCAACCTCGACGAAGTGACGCAAGAAGTGCTCCCGCCGCTGGAGCTGCATATCCCTACGCCGGCGAGGCCCGCGGCCGCTGGTACAGACACGCCCAGCGCGCCGCCGCAGCGCGTGGATACCCAGAAGCCCGAGACGTGGGGCGAGCGGCGGCGGCGCGAGCTCAATCTGGTGGAGCCGGAGGTGCCGATGCACCGCATCGATGTGCTGCGGCAAATCTCAGAGGAAGATATCAAGCTCAAGACGCAGCCGGAACTGCGCGAGCTTCTTCGTGAGATGGACGGACTTTCTACGCAACTGGGCGAGGCACTGCAGTACTACTTGACGCTGCGTGACGCATTCGCATCCGATGGCGAAATATACAACGGCATGATCCGCGATCTCGTGGCCGGCGCCTCGCACAAGCAGGCCGCGCGTGCCAAGACAGAGAAGCGGGGCGGGCTCATGCGCCGCGGGTCGCTGCGCAGTGACAGCGGGTCGCGCCCGGGCACGCCCCAGGCCAAGTAGTGTACATCAGAGATCCACGCGCGCGGCGTACGCGCGCGCAATGGCATCGGCGTCTGGCTCCACGTCCCACGCGGGCGGCGGCGGCTGCGTGCACGGGAGGATCGTTCCCTTCCGCTTGCCGTCTTCATACGCCTCGTTCCGGACCAGCAGCGCATGTGCGTGCTGCGAAATGTGCAGATACGGCACGACGCACCGTGCACGGTCGCACATGCTGTGCTTGGCTGCCTCGTCGTAGCCGATCAGTGGCCACGTCCCATCACGGTGCCACGCGCTCTTGAGCAGTTTCGTCTGCGTCAGCCGCATGCACGTACAACGATCCACAGCGGCAAGCCGCGGGGACGACCTGCCTCCGAGGGCAGCGCCACGCGCCGTCCGCTGTCGAGAGCCCGCTTCACACTTGCTAGCATGCCCTGCATCTCTGCTAGCTCTTCTGCATGTGTCTGTGTCTGCAAAGCCTCGGCGAGTCGGCCCAGGGGGGTATCGGGGCTCGTCGCCGCCATCGGCTGCGCGATGAGTCCGTCGCAGGCGAGCCGCTGCCTTCTCCACACGATGCGCGCGGCGCGCCCAGTGCGGGTGGTCCGTGGGCCCTGGCACTTGCCGCGCCGGAGCATCGCGTCCGCCGTGCCGACCATCTACGCGCTGGCCACTGGGCCGCCGCCCAGTGCCATCTCCATCGTGCGCATTGCAGGGTACGTATACGGCACTTACATGAGACCTCTCGCGAAGCCTCTCGGCGATGCAATGACGAGAACACACGAGTGGGTGCCGCGCCAGCTGGTCAAGCGCACGCTGCGACACCCATGCACACGCGAGATCCTCGATGAGGCACTGCTTGCCTACTTCCCGCCGGGCCAGTCGTTCTCCGGCGACGCCACGCTCGAGCTGCATCTGCACGGGAGTCCAGCGGTCGTGCGCGATGTGCTAGCGGCACTGACCGATGCACGGGCGCTTTTCGGCTCTCCCCTGCGCCCGGCGATGCCCGGCGAGTTTACACGACGCGCGTTTGAGCAGGGCCGCCTGGACCTGACCGCCTGCGAGGCGCTGGACGCCTTGCTCCACGCTGAGACATCGGCCCAGCGGCGACTGGCGCAGCAGGCGGGCGGCGGGCGGCAAGCGCAACTCTATGAAGACCTGCGCACAAAGCTGCTCCGCAGTATGGCGCACCTCGAGGCCATGCTGGACTTTAGCGACGAAGACGACATTGACGCGCGCTTATGGGACAGTGTGCGGGCCCAGGTGGCCGACCTGCGAGCGTACCTCGCCAAGGAGCTGCAGCTGGACGTGCCTGCAGCGCAGCGCAGCTACGTCGATGCGGCTCAGCATGGCGTGCGCGTCGCGCTGTATGGCCGGCCGAACGTCGGCAAATCGTCGCTGCTCAACCAGCTCGTGCGCCGCGACGCCGCGATTGTGTCGTCGCACCCAGGGACCACGCGCGATATCATTGAGGTCAGTATGGAGCTCGGCGGCTTCCGAGTCACGCTGGCTGACACGGCCGGCCTCCGCGAGACGCACGACGAGGTTGAGCAGCTGGGCATGCAGCGCACGCACAGTACGTGGGAGTCACTGACGCAGTGTACGTCGATGCAGCCGATCTGGCCGTGCTCGTTTGCACGCCGGACGACTGGACATCGCTGCCGCCGGCCGGGCCCACGTTTCTTACGCCGCACGAGGTCGAGCGCCTCGGACTGCGGCGTGCGTCCAGCGCCTGGGCCGGCGTGCCTGACCTGATCCTCATTAACAAGATGGACACGGCGCCGCCGGCGCCGCTCCCCACCCGCCACGCAGGCCATCCGTGCTACGTGTGGCACGCAAGTGTGGCGCACGCGCGGGGCATCGACCAGGTCCTGGAGGATCTTGGCGCGTGGGTGACGCAGCGGTACGCGACTGAGGCGCGCGAGACACCGCTCGTGACACAGGCGCGCCATCGGCACCTGCTGCTGGACGTCGTGACGTGCCTGGACACCTTTCTAGCCATGCCGACCGACGCCGACATCGTGGTGGCCGCGGAGGAGCTGCGTCGCGCCGCACAGCTGCTGGGCGAGATTACAGGCCACACGCTCTCGTCCCACGATGTGCTGGGCGAGATCTTTGCGCGGTTCTGCATCGGCAAGTAGCCATCACGAGGCAGGGCCGGTGCCCGATTGTAGGTACGCCAGGATCGTAGGGAGCGAGAGGGGCCGGCCCTCGTCCCAGCTGCTCGAGTCCCAAGCCACAGCGTCCTCGACGGACTTTTGCGCGCGCGCATACTCTCTTTGGGCTTGCCACAGGGCCTCGAGCGATTGGGTCGTCCGAGTCGACGCAGCAGGCGCCGGTCCTTCGCTGGGAAGGCCCACGTCCTGCTGCACGTCCCCATGGAGCAGTGGCGCCTCTGCGGGCGGCGCCTGGCGCGGCGCCTGCGTCGTGCCAATGGACCCAACGAGCCGCGGGCGTGCCTCGAGCTGCTGGCGCGGCATCACCGTGGTCAGCGCGCGCAGGCGAGGGACATGCCGCGGCGCCATGTACAGATGGATATACCCGGGCGCCGTAGCCGTGCCAAGCATCTGCTGCGCGACGTACCAGACGTCGGCAGACGGCGGCAGCGTAGACGCCTCAGGGCCCGCATCGAGCACGGCGCGCGCCCGCTCGGGGAGCGAGGCAATGGCCGTGTACGCCGCAGGATCGACGCGAATGGCGGGCCATGCGCCAGTTGGCTGTGCATGCCACCAGCAGTACAGGCCAAGGAGCGCTCCGACCGCATGCAAAACGGTGTGTGGCTCCGTCGTGGCGGCGCCCGTCGCGGCAGCGATACGATCCAGGAACGCATCGGCCACCGCCTGCATAAACGCGCGGCGAGTGCGCACCTCGCTGCCTAGCAGTCCACTCACTTGTGGCCACTGGTTGCGCGCCCACACGCGCTGGAAGACGGCCATCGCGCCGTACTCCCAGCGCAGCGAGCTCGGCGCATCCACATTCTGATCGAGCCATAGCCACGTGAGCGCAAACGCATCGAGGAGGATATGCACATCGCGCTGGAGCGCCTGTACGAATGCTGTCGAAGTAGCGAGCGCCGCAAACGAACACGAGGCCGCCTCGGACGGCGGCGTCGCCTCGCGACTCGGCGCCATCGCGTCCGTGCTGCGTCTGCGAAAGAACTACGAGGGACGACTCCACATTACTCCAAGACGCGCCAGTCGTCGCCCAGCTGCGACTCGTCGACGTAAAAGTGGCACACGGGCCTGCCCTCCCGCTCACAGGTGCCAGTGAGCGTGACCGGACCCTCCTGCTCACTGGGGGTGACGCGCCAGCGCGCCCACCAGCGGCCGACCACTTTCCCGTTCGACACATCGACCGTCTCGGCCACTAAGCTCGACACGGTGTGCTCGCCGACGCCCTGGGGGTTGTCGATCGTGAGTGGCGGGGGCACAGTCGGGAGCTCCCACGATGCAAAGGCGCGCGTCGACGGACGCAGGAGCGACGGCGAATAGACCGTCGTTTTGAGCGAGCGCATGTGCCAGCTGAGCGTCGCAATCTCCAGATAGTACTTGTCGCTTGCGTGGCGGGGCGGATCGCTTGGCGTATCGTCCAGGACGACATCGCTCGCGCCGTCGGAAATGTAGTGCAGCGGCTGCGACGCCGGGTCGGCGCGGCGCAGGGTCATGTGGCCGACATAGGGCGCACCGATCCACGAAATGAGCGCCGTACTCGTCGCGCTAGCGCCGAGCGTCGTCACAGCGACACCCAGACGCGCAGCCATCTCGAGCTTGTGCGGCCAGAGGACAAAGAGCGGCGCAAATACGGCCGCAACACCGAGCGACGAGAGCGAGAAAAGCTTGAGCCGGTAGTAGCTCATGCGCCAGGACCCCACGTACTGCGCGACGGCCTTGTTTTTTTCGGCGACGTACGCCGTGTGCGCGAACGAGCGCCACGGAACAGCGCGAAGAGGCATGGCAAGGGGCGCCGTGCTCGCGCGAGGGACCATGCGCCTACATGTGCGCATCGCTCCCAGCATACTGTCGTGGAAAGAGGCAACTACGAGCCTGTCACGTGGAGGACGCCGACCGCCGCCGTGCCTTTGAGGCGCGCGCCCTGCGCGTCCATCTTGGCGCTGCGCGCACCAAACTGGATAGCCCGTTTGGGCAGCGCGGCCGCATACGAGAGACCGCGCTGATGCGCTAGCTGACGTAGGAGTTTCTTGTCGCCCAGCGCATCGGCCATGTCCGCTTTGGCCTGCACCGGCAGCGCCGCGAGAAACGCCCGTACGGATCGGGCGAGATAGGGGTATCGTGCCTCGCGCGAATGCGCACTCAGCACGCGGTCGTCGCGCCCGAGATTGCGCGTCGGGAGGCGATCGAGATCCAGCTGCAGCTCGGCCGTGAGCGCCTCGTCGCCGCCACGCCGCCACGCCTGCCGGTGGCGCGCGTAGCCACCGAGGAGCTCGTCGGCGCCGAGCCCAGAGAGAAGGACGCGCGCTGGCGAGCGGTAAGGACGGCCATCGACCTGCCCCTCGCCTCGTGCAGCAAAGTAGAGTGCGCACGCAATGCTCAGGTCCATCACGGTCGCAGAGGGGTGCATGAGTGCCTGGACCGCCGGTGTGTGCGCTTCGTACTCGCTGTACGGCACATTGACCTCGACCATGTTCCATGTGCGCGTTGGATAAAGCCGGCGCAGGTCCTCAGCGCTTTTCCGCGCGGCCACACGGTCCGGCACCGCGTACATGTCGTGTGGAAAGGTGCCCGGCTCGGCTTGCGCGCCGGACGCCCAGGCGGCCGCTATCGAGCGGGGATTCTCGAACGCGACATTGAGCAGGTCGATGGGGGACTCGGGCGGCAGGTGCTCCGCCACCAGCGCGGCCAGGACCGTGCAGTCCAGGCCACCCGAGAAGAGCAATGCCACAGGGGCAGCCCGCGGCGTGTCGCGGAGCGCTTGGACGCGTAAGCGCACACTTTCGCTGAGCACCTGCTCGAGGAGGGGAAGGGCCTGGTCCACAGTGCACTCGAGACTGGGAGGGGCCAGCTCGAGGCGGCGCGCATAGGGCGAGCATCGCTCGAGGGGCACAGGATCTTTGTTCGCGCGCAGCGACAGGCGCCACAGCGACGTGCAGGGCACCTCGGTCCATGGCACATGTGCCTGCACACTCTCGACGCTCGCGGCCGACGCGAGCAAATGCGCGTTCGCAGGCTGAGCATACAGCAGTGACCGCCGTCCGAGCGGGTCGCGGCCATAGTACAGGGTATCATTCCGACGCTGCGTTAGCCGAGCCACGTACATCAAGCAGCACAAAGGCATAGGGGCCGTCCATATGCGCCAGCGTGTGCACGAGCAGAGCCTCGGAGAAGGAGGCGCCCGACCAGCGGTCAAACAGCTGCTGCGTGTCGTTCAGCGCCTGGTCAACAAGGGCGGGGTCTTCTGCCTCAAAGATCTCGCCATTCCATGTGAGCCAGAGCTGCTCGTCGTGCGAGACCAGCGGCTGCTGGACGACCGTCGGGCCACGCAGGCCCAGGACGGACGCATGCAGAGAGACGCGCCAGGCGCCCTGCACGGCATCGGCACCGCCCCATGCATCGTCGCCCCGCCGCTGCACCTGCTTCAGCACCGAGGGCCACACGGACGGGCACTCGGTGGCTGCAGGCCACGCCGCGCACGCGGTGCCACACATACAGCTGGACTGAAGACGCAGCGCTCATCACGTGTCGCGACAGAGGCCATCGTGCGCCTGGACCTTTTGCCCACCATGTCCCTGGACACGTTTGACCCGAATCAGGCGCAGAACCTCCCTGAGATCGAGAAGCAGATTGCCGTGCGCTGCGTGGAACACGCGCAGACCTACTGGAACCTGCTGGAGAAGGTCCGCGGCTCGGCGCTGCGGCTGACGAAGTAGGTGCGAGAGACTGACGCCAGGCTCGACGATGAGATCATGGCAGACTTTGACGAGACGTTCCCTGAGCTGTCTCAAAACGACGAGGCGATCCGCAAGATTGACGAGGACGCCATGAAGAGTGCCGCCGGCAAGGAAAAGTGGCGCAACTTTATCAACAAGTATGAGAAGAAAGGTAGGTGCCGCCGGCTTACGCAGTCGCCGACTTCAACTTTGGCACCCTGATCCGCACGGATGCGTCGGACGAGTACACGCAGTCGAACACGATCTTCCGTGCGTAGCCATGACTCACACCAGTGACGCGATTCCAGTTCTACGTGTTTGAAATTGCGCGCTGCCGCCGCGGCATGAACGACTGGATCTCTGCACAGGCTAAGAAGAGTAGCTAGAGGCAAAAGCTATCCACTAGGCTTGCCGAGCGGCGATCTTGGGCTCCCACGCGTACTGAGGTGAGTGAGGTGCACATACCCGCTTGGGCTTGGTCGTGTTGTAGGGACGGTACGCGCCGCGAGTGCCCGTGAAGTTTTCATAGGCAGGCTGGTGTCAGAAGAGCATACATACCGACTGCCAGGGCCGCTCGAAGTGAGAGGCGATCGGGTCTGTGCTGGGCGGCTCGCAGCGGGTGTGGGAGAGCCACGCGTGCCAGATGGGGTCGAGCTGCGTGCTGTCGTAGTCGTGGAACTTGTAGTCGACCCAGCGCGTACGGCCAGGCTGCTCTTCGTTGTTCTCCCAGTAGGTGTTGCCGTTGCTGGTGTGAGCCGCCATGTACACCTACCTGTCGATGCCGACCATGCGGCCCCACTTGGCATCACCAATGTACTGCATGTCGCGCCAGTACTTGGAAAAACCGCCCTGCTGGATGTACTTGAGCGTGCGCTGCAACGACATGGCGTAGAACAGGCAAGGCAATCGCTACGAGGCGGACCGTCCGACGGGGCCGTCGCTCGCCAGACCGACGTCACGTGCTTACTCTCAGGTGCGAGGCGCCTGCCTCACCCTGGCGGACGGCTCCCTCGGGCGCGCGCGCACCGTCACGAGTCTGCGGAGAAAGAAGCATGGCGGTCCGTGGGGGGCTATGAGAGTGGCAAGGCCGTGTTCTAGCGCATGTGCGAGGTGAAGATGCAGTCTCGCCCATGGAGAGCGGGCGTGCGCGCCGATTGCGCGCCGATGGCTCGGCAGCGCCTGTGCATGTGCCTTCGCTGCAGCACAGCACACGGCGCGCACGCACACGGGCGCTACGCCGTCGCTTCACGCGCCGTCGTACCAGGGACTGACAAGGTGGCTCAGGTGGAGGTCCGGCCGAGCGGGGGCAGGGGCCCCCTGTCATTGGGCCTCGCACCGGCTTCTTAGCCGTGGACCGGGCCAGCGTCCGCTGCACGAAGGTGGGGTAGTGGGGGCGTGCGGCGTCCCTTCTCCAACGACAACATGGCGGATTTCCCTGCTACGGAGAACGGCAAGATCTCGTTCAAGAACCGCGTGGTGGTTGTTACCGGTGCTGGTGGTGGCCTGGGTAAGACGTATGCACTGTTCTTCGCGTCGCGCGGCGCCAAGGTGCTGGTCAACGACCTGGGTAAGACGCCTGAGGGCAAGCCGGCGGCCGATCTCGTGGTCGAGGAGATCACCAAGAACGGCGGCGAGGCGATCGCCAACTACGACTCGAATACGGCCGGCGCGAAGATCATCCAGCAGGTGATCGACAAGTGGGGCCGCGTCGATGTGCTCATCAACAATGCGGGCATCCTGCGCGACCGCTCGTTCAAGTCGATGTCCGACAAGGAGTTCGACCAGGTGCTGGCCGTCCACGTGCACGGCTCGTTCGCCTGCGCTCACGCTGCGTGGCCGTACATGCGCAAGCAGAAGTTTGGCCGTATCATCAACACGTCGTCGGCGGCCGGCCTGTACGGCAACTTTGGCCAGGCCAACTACTCGGCGGCCAAGATGGCGCTCGTTGCGTTCAGCAAGACGCTCGGTATTGAGGGCGAGAAGTACAACATCCTCGCGAACTCGATCGCGCCGGTGGCGGCCTCGAAGATGACCGAGACGGTCATGCCGCCCGAGATGCTCGAGAACCTCAAGCCCGACTACGTGGTGCCGATCGTCGCGTTCCTGTGCTCGGCGCAGAACGAGAACGTCAACGGCGAGGTGTTCGAGATGGGCGCTGGCTTCTACGCCATGCTGCGCCGCGAGCGCTCGCGCGGCCATGTGTTCCGCACGGACGCGAGCTTCACCCCCGAGGCGGTGCGCGAGCAGATGGACGCGATCCTCGACTTTGACGAGTCGCCCGAGTACCCCAAGCGCATCACCGACGCCAACCTGGTCGAGCTGCTTGAGCGCGCCAAGGAGGCGCCGGAGAACAAGCAGGGCGACGGCAAGATCCCCTACGACGGTCAGACGGTGCTGATTACCGGTGCCGGTGCGGGTCTGGGCCGTGCGTACGCGCTGCTGTTCGCTAAGCTCGGCGCGAACGTCGTGGTGAACGACATGAGCGAGAAGAACGCGCTTGCCGTCGTCGACGAGATCAAGAACGCCGGCGGCAAGGCGGCGCCGAGCATCGGCTCGGTCGAGGACGGCGACAAGCTCGTCAAGGACGCACTCGATGCGTTCGGCGGCCTGCACACGATCGTGAACAACGCTGGTGTGCTGCGCGACAAGTCGTTCGCTGGCGCGAGCGAGCAGGACTGGCACCTCGTGCTCAACGTGCACCTGCGCGGCACCTACAAGGTGTGCAAGGCGGCGTGGCCCATCTTCCTGAAGCAAAAGTACGGCCGCATCATCAACACGACGTCGGCGGTCGGCATCTACGGCAACTTTGGCCAGGCCAACTACTCGACGGCCAAGTCGGGTATCCTGGGTCTCACGCAGACGCTCGCTGTCGAGGGTGAGAAGTACAACATCCTGGCGAACACGATTGCGCCGAATGCCGGCACGGCCATGACTGCGACCATCTGGCCGCAGGAGATGGTCGACGCGTTCAAGCCCGACTTTGTTGCGCCGCTTGTCGCATACCTGGGAAGCGAGGCGTGTGAGGTCACGAAGGGCCTGTTCGAGGTGTCCGGTGGCTGGATCGCGGCCGTGCGCTGGGAACGCGCGGGCGGCTGCGCCTTCGCGACGGGCAAGCCTGTGACGCCCGAGATGGTCCAGAAGAAGTGGGCCCGGATCACCGACTTTGACCCGGAGCGTGCCAGCTGGCCGTCGGCGCCGAGCGAGTCGCTGGGCGACATGGTCTCCAACTTCGGCAACACGGAGGACGAGGAGGAGGAGGAGACGGGCGACTTTATCGACCCCGAGGACACGGACGAGATCAAGGCTGCGAAGCAGGCGCAGTACGAGGCGACGCCGTTCGAGTACACGGACCGCGACGTGATTCTGTACAACCTCGGTGTCGGCGCCACGGAGAAGGACCTGGACCTCGTGTACGAGCAGGCGGAGAACTTCCAGGCGGTGCCGACGTTTGGCGTGATCCCGCCGTTCGCCGCGGGCAGCAGCATCTCGTTCGACTCGTTCCTGCCGAACTTCTCGCCGATGATGCTCCTGCATGGCGAGCAGTACCTTGCGATCAAGGGCCCGATTCCCACGGAGGCCAAGCTCGAGAGCAGGCCGCGCGTCATTGAGGTGCTCGACAAGGGCAAGGCGGCGGCCGTCACGACGCTGACGACGACCGTGAACGCGTCGACGGGCGAGCCGGTGTTCGAGAACCAGATGACCTGCTTCATCCGTGGCTCGGGCGGCTTCGGCGGCAAGAAGACGGGCTCGGACCGCGGTGCGGCGACGGCGGCGAACAAGCCGCCGTCGCGCCCCGCCGACAAGGTCGTGCGCGAGAAGACCGACGAGGCGCAGGCCGCGCTGTACCGCCTGAGTGGCGACTACAACCCGCTGCACATTGACCCGAACTTTGCGGCGGTCGGCGGCTTCGACAAGCCGATCCTGCACGGCCTGTGCTCGTTCGGTATTGCGGGCAAGCACGTCTTCCGTGCGTTCGGCCCGTACAAGGACATCAAGGCGCGCTTCACCGGCCACGTGTTCCCCGGCGAGACGCTCGAGACGTCCATGTGGAAGGAGGGCAACAAGGTCATCTTTGTGACCAAGGTCGTAGAGCGCAACACGCAGGCGCTCGGCGCCGCGGCGGTGACGCTCGACAACTAAATAGAGCATTGGCTACTAGTACACTACGCAATGTTGCGCAACACCAGCACGACCGAGTCGCCGCGCAGGAACATTTTCGAGATGAAGCGGTCCTTCTGCCGGTCAGTCAGCCGCACGCACATGCACAGGCTTCTTGCTCTTGCTCTTCGGGACCTCGGTCCACATCTCCTTGACATTTTCGAGCACCATGTTCGAGTGGCGGTCAAACGCCTTGACACGCGCCAGGAGCTTCTTGTTGTTGCGCAGCGAGATGAGCACCTGCGAGTGGTTGCGCACAGCCTGCTGCAGCACCGACAGAGGGCCCTGCGCAATCTCATACTGCTCCAGCTCGCGAAGCTGGCCCTCATCGAGGTCCGAGCGCGGAACGTTGACGTATTGACTGGGTTAGCGCCACGACGTACCTCATGTCCGCTCGCAGCGCCCCAGCGGTGCGGCCGGCGGGCAAGACGATAAAAGCACGTGATCTGCTCGGCCAGAAGGAAGAGCGCCGCACCACAGCTCCCCTCGACATCATGCCAGGAATCACGCTCGTGCTCGACCCGAGTGCGCGGCTGCCCTTCGTCACGCCGCTGGTTCTGTCGAACATGGCCGTGGAGCGTGGGGAGCCCGCGCCGGAGACGCGCTTTGAGGTGAATGCACAGACCGCGGTCCGCGGCGCCGCCACGGCCGAGGGGCCGCTGCCCGTGCTGCGCGCGCTCACGCAGCAGTATGCCGGCCTGGGCCTCGCCGGGAAGAGCGCCGAGGACCAGGCGTCCGTCGACGCCTACCTCGCGCAGTCGGATGCGCTCGCCGCCGCGCCGTTCCCGGTCGCCCTGCAGAGCGCCGACGACCTCGACCAGCACCTCGCGCTGCGCACCTACCTGGTGGGCCATACCGTGACGGCCGCGGACGCCGCCATCTGGGGCGCGATCCGCTCGTCGTCGCCGCTGCTCGGCATCATCAAGAAGCAGGCGCACACGCACCTGGCGCGCTGGTATGCGCATGTGGATGCCCTGCCGGCCTTTGCGGACGCCGTGACAGCCATGTCGGACGCCAAGAGCCAGATGTTCAAGCAGAAGAAGACGGCCGCTGGCTTTGACCTGTTCCTCCAGGGTGCCAAGGAGGGCGAGGTCGTCACGCGGTTCCCGCCGGAGGCCAGCGGCTACCTGCATGTGGGCCATGCCAAGGCGGCGATCCTGAACCAGTACTTTGCCAAGGCGTACAAGGGCCGCCTGATCATCCGCTTCGACGACACGAACCCCAGCAAGGAGAAGCAGGAGTTCGAGGACGCCATCATTGAGGACCTCGCCCTGCTCGGCATCCAGGGCGACTCGCTCTCGCACACGTCGGACTACTTCGAGCAGCTGCGCGACATGGCGCAGCGCCTGATCCGCGAGGACAAGGCGTACGCAGACGACACGCCGCAGGAGCAGATGCGTGCGGAGCGCATGGACGGCATCGCGAGCCAGCGCCGCAGCGCGAGCGTCGACGAGAACCTGCAGCGCTTCGAGGCGATGCTGCAAGGCACCGACGAGGGCCGCAAGTGGTGCCTGCGCGCCAAGATGAGCGTCGACAACCCCAACAAGGCGATGCGCGACCCCGTCATCTACCGCTGCAACGTCGATGTGCCGCACCAGCGCACGGGCACGACGTGGAAGGCGTACCCCACGTACGACTTTGCGTGCCCCGTCGTCGACAGCCTCGAGGGCGTGACGCATGCTCTGCGCACGAACGAGTACCACGACCGCAACCCCCAGTACGAGTGGTTCCTGCAGGCGCTCGGCCTGCGCCACGTCGACATCTGGGACTATGGCCGTTTGAACTTTGTATACACGCTGCTGAGCAAGCGCAAGCTGCAGTGGTTCGTCGACCACGGCGTAGTGAGTGACTGGAGCGACCCCCGCTTCCCGACGGTGCGCGGCATCCGCCGCCGCGGTATGACGATCGACTGCATCCAGCAGTTCATCCTCTCGCAGGGCCCGTCACAGCAAATCATCAACATGGAGTGGGACAACATCTGGGCACTGAACAAGCGCCTGATCGACCCCGTGGTGCCGCGCTTCGTCGCGCTGCCCGAGGCGCAGCTCGTCAAGGCGACCATCGCCGGCGCGCCGCCCGCGCACGAGAAGCAGGTGCCGAAGCACAAGAAGAACGCCGAGCTCGGCATGAAGACCACCGTGTACGACAGCCAGATCCTGCTGGAGCAGGCGGACGCCGCGAGCTTCGACGAAAACGAGGAGATCACGCTCATGGACTGGGGCAACGTCATCGTGCGCCGCAAGTCGGTGGACGAGGCGGGCGTCGTGACCGGCCTGGAGCTCGAGGCGAACTTCGACGGCGACTTTAAGGCGACGAAGAAGAAGGTGACGTGGCTCGCGCAGCCGACCGAGACGCGGCACCTGACGCCTGTGACGCTGCTCGACTTTGACTACCTGATTACGAAGAAGAAGCTCGAGGAGGAGGACAACTTCGTCGACTTCCTGACGCCGCAGACGCGCTTCGAGACGCACGCGCTGGCGGACGCAAATGTCGCCGCGCTCAAGGAGGGCGACCAGATCCAGTTCGAGCGCAACGGCTACTACATCCTCGACAAGGTGCAGGGCGCCGACGGCCGTCGCGAGTTCATCAGGATCCCCGACGGCCGCGCCGCCTCGAGCGCAAGCAAGGCGGCGCCGGACGAGAACCCCGAGCAGAAGAAGGCCGCCGCGGCCGCCGCGCGGGCCCAAAAGGCAGCGAACAAGAAGAAGAAGGCCGAGGCCAAGGACCCCGTGCAGCAGCTCATCGAGGAGGGCACGAGCAAGGTCAACATGTACAAGGCGCCACTCGTCAACCAGCCCACCGACGTGCCCGTTCGCAGTACGTATGCCCCACTTACCCAGCGTCCATGTACAAGGTCGACCCGATTCTGTAGTGCGTAGCATCACGTGTTCTCCGCCGCGTCTCTTTCCGCGATGAGTGCGACGCGCACGGGGCCGAGTCTCGGCGCGCTGCCGCTCACGGCCGTCGTCGCCGTGAGCCTCGGCAATGGCATCGGCGCGAATGGGACCCTGCCGTGGCGCCTGCCGAAGGACATGGCGTACTTTCGCGCGGCCACGCTGCACGCCGCCGACGTGTCGCGCGAGGACGCGCGCATGCGCGAGGCTGGGTACGAGCGGCGCGCAGTGCCCGTGAAAAATGCCGTTATCATGGGCCGGCACACATGGGACAGCATCCCGCCGCGCTTCCGCCCCCTCCAAGGCCGCATCAACGTGGTCGTCTCGACGACCATGGCGCCAAGCGAGCTGGGTACGCCAGGGACCGAGCAGGCCGACACCCTGCTTGCACGCAGCCTCGACGAGGCCGTACAGCTGCTGCAGGAGCGCCGCTACGCACGCTACAACCTGCCCGGGGCGACGGCCGGCACGGCCCTGGGCCGTGCGTTTGTGATTGGCGGCGCACAGCTGTACCGCACGGCCCTGGCCCAGCGGCCCACCGCTGATACCTGGATCCTCGAGCAGCTGCTCGTCACGCGCATCCTCTCGCCTATCGATGAGCATACTATGGACGTGTTCCTCGAAGAGTTTCGCTCGCCAGTGCAGCGCGCCAGGGACGAGGCCACCGCGCGCACGCTTCCCCAGGAGCTGCTGGCCGACGGCGAGGCGCACGAGTCAAGGTGGCTCCTGGTTCCCAGGGACGAGCATGCGCGCCTCGTTCCCCCCGCGCAGGCCGACCTGCTCGGCCGCGTCGTAGACGACAAGGGCATCGCCGTGCACTTTCAGTGCTGGCGCCGTAGCTCCTAGTGGAGGTCTCTCATGGCCGACGACGCAGCGGCACCGCCGGTCGCGAGCGATGCGGCGCGCACGCGCGAGCAGGCGAAGCAGTGGAAGAAGGAGCGCAAGCTGCAAGCGCAGAAAAAGACGCCAATGCCACAAGAAGCGCCGCCCGCCAAGGCGCAGGGCCGCGCGGGAGACCCACCGCAGGTGCAGCTGTCCAAGACACTGGCCTACATACTGCGCCACGGCACGCAGAAGGAGCACCTCGAGGTGCGTGCCGATGGCTATGTGCGCCTGGATGCTGTGCTTGCGCGTCCGCGTATTGGGAAGATTGCGATGGACGACGCGGGGCGCGCGCCGACGCACGACGACGTCGAGGCCGCCGTGCACGACAATGCCAAGAAGCGCTTCGAGCTGACGAGCGGCTCGGACGCGTCGCCCGCCGACGAGGGTACGTGCCGCTGGATCCGTGCCGTGCAGGGGCACTCGATCGCGGCCGTCACAGACCTGTCGCACACATCGCTGAGCCCGGCGAACGTGGGCGAGCACCTCGCCGAGGAGAACGGCATGCACTATGCGATCCACGGCACGGACGAGCATGCATTTGAGCAGATCCTCGCGAGCGGCGCGCTGAAGCGCATGCGGCGGAACCAGATCCACCTGGCCAAGGGCCGGCCCGGCGCGTCAGGGATCATCAGCGGGATGCGCCGCAGGTGCACGCGCCTGCTGTACGTGGACGTCGGCCGCGCCCTCGCCGATGGCGTGCCCTTTGACGTGTCGCCGAACGGGGTCGTGCTGACACCGGGCGTCGGGGACTCGGGGGCGCTGCCGCTGTCGTACGTGGCGCACGTCACCGACGCCGAGGGCCGCCAAGTGTGGTCCTGTCATGCATCTACACAGTAATCATGGGCTGTTCCGTAAGGACAAAGGGGAACACCTCCTGCTCCAGCAGGTTGGCAAACTCGCCAGGCGTGTCCTGGTGCGCCTGTGCGTCGGCTGCGTGCCCCTTTTCGGTGCGGGAGAGGTACTCGTCCAGGTAGCCAAAGTGGCTCGTGAGGGATGTGAGGATCGTCTTGGCCTTGCGCGGCGTAGGCTCGATGACCACGGTAAAGTACGTAGCAGGCAGGCCGAAGCGCAGGACGCTCTCGACGAAGGTGCGCACGACCTTGAAGTGGATCAGCGCCTGGTACGCGTCGGCAAAGTGCGTGCGGCTGAGCCGCAGCAGCTCGGTCCAGAGCTCCTTCTCCGAGGCGCCCGCCTCGTACAGCTCCTGGCGCTCGCGCTCGAGCAGGCCCTCGTCCCACGTAAAGTCGCGCACCTGGCCCTTGACCTCACGGCACTTTTGCACAAACTCGTCCTGCTTCTTCCTGAACACAGTCACATTGAACAGCGCATACTCCTCGTCCTCCGCAAGCTTGCGGGACGAGCGGGGCACAACGAGATCGCACAGGCGCTCGTAGCTGTTGAGCCACTGGGACGCCTGGTTCTTGGGCACGACCACGAGCAGCGTCACGAGGAACTCGGAGCTCGGGTCCACCAAGTCGTCGCGCGACACAATGTCCGCGAGCGAGCACACAGACAGGTTGCCGCTGGGGTAAGCGCTGGATACGTACTGCTTCTTGCGCTCGAGCTGCTGCAGCTGGCCCTTGGCCGCATTGTAGGTGTTGAGCTTCTGCTTCATGACATGGTCGATAGACTGCATCTCGCGCGTTAGGCGCTCGACGATCTCGTTGAGCGACTTGTCCGCGCGGTACTTGCCGTTGTGCCAGTGCCACGACAAGAGGTAGTCCTCTACGCTCTGTCCGTCGATCAGCAGGTGCTCGTTGAGCGCCTCCTCGTCGTCATTCACGAGCGCCCGCAGCGTGTCGACAATGCGCGTCGTAATCGAGCCAAAGAGCGCGTCGATCTTGGGAAGGTCCTCCGCCATGATAATCAGCGACTCGAGCGTGCCCGTCTTGAGCTCAGGCAGGGGGAGCGGCGCCAGGTCCTGCTCCTCGCATGCCGAGTCCCGTACCAGCCGCGAGACAAGCTCTCGGTGCATCTGCTCGGTGCTCTTCTCCTCCTGCACGGGCACGCTGACGATCCAGTAGCTCGATTCAGAGGGCATCCTGGTGGCCGTGCGATCCATCGCTCGCCCGCGCGGGCGCCGCGGTTTTGCGCACGTGGCCTATGCATCTCCGCCTCCAGCGACGCCGCCGAAATGAAGTGCGTGCGAGCCAGGCTAACCGCAGCTCGGTCAAGGAGATCCAGCGCATCAATGAGCGTGAGCTGGAGCTCGGCATCCACGGCACAGGGTCGTGGCATGACCAGTACAAAGGTGCGTTTGCATCACTCATTCAGACTCGGCCTACGTGTTCGTGGGCGGCCTCCCGTACGATCTCACCGAGGGCGACGTGATCACGATCTTTTCGCAGTACGGCGAGGTGGTCAACATCCACTTGCCCAAGAGGCGAGCGGAACCGGCACGCGATGGACGCCAGCCACGGCAGGCACCCGCGCCGAGCGGCCACAACCGCGGCTTTGGCTTCCTCATGTACGAGGACCAGCGGTCGACCGTGCTCGCCGTGGACAACCTAAATGGCACCAAGGTGCTGGGGCGCACGCTGCGTGTGGACCACGTCGCCCACTTTGAGCAGGAGCGGATCCGCGATGCAGACGGCAATCTCGTGGAGGCCAAGGAGCAAATGCTCAATTGTGCGCCGCCAGAGATCGTCTTGGACGAGGAGCCGGGCGATGACGCGGACCTAGAGGACCCTATGGCGGCCTACCTGGCGGACAAGGCACGGAAAAAGCGGCGAACAGGCCGCGAGCACCGCGACAGGTCCCACCGGCCACGGACGCACGACAGCGAGCGGGAACGCAGTGACCGGGAGCGCCGGGAGCGCCACCACAGTCGCCACAGCGACCGGCATAGCGACCGACACAGTCGCCGCCACGCCGACCGGCACAGCCATCACCATACCGACCGCCACGCCGACCGACCGAGCCAGGACGCTGCGCGGGAGCCGGCGCCCAACGATCGGGCGAGATCCGTGACGCCCACGATGGACCGTAGCGCGCCGATCGGTACACCATAGTGGAGGCCACGTGCAGTGCCTGACCGGCACGACCATCCGTCTGAGCGGCGGGGATGAGCATGGGCTGCTGCGTGCGAGCGCGCGTGCTCGCAAAAAGCGCGCCAACTGGCTGGCGTAGTGTGCACGACTATGTGCGCACGCGCAGTGGCACAGGCGTGCTCGCCCGCCTGCCCCTGCGGGCTGGCGTCACGTTCGGCGCCGAGCAGAGTCGCGGCGATCGTGCGCGGCAAGAGGACGCGTTGTCCGTCGCATGCGTGTCGCTTCCATGCGAGGAGCTGCGCAAGGATCTCGTACATCGGGCACCACACGGTGCCTCGCGCGACCCCTGGTTCGGCTGGAGCTGCGACCAGGCAGGTGGCGCTGACCTCGGCTCCCAGGTCGTCTGGTTTGGCGTGTTTGACGGGCACGGCGGGCCGTCCGTCTCGTCGCTCCTGGCTGACAAGCTGCACAGCGTGTTTGAGCGCGTGCAGCCTGATATGATCACAGACACTGGTACGCCTGCCGACTCACACAGTACGCTATACGCGCTCGCTGGGTGGCTACTTTGCGCGCTTTAACGGCGGCACGCTCGAGCGCTGGGTCGACCAGTCGCAGTGCGAGCGTGTCCGCACGCCTCCCTCCTCCCTCTCCGCGCTCACACAAGAGGCGCAAAATGCAAGTCCGCCCCCCCTAGAGCACTTTCAGGCCCTCGACGAGTGCGGCGATGCGCATGCGACCTACACCACCCGCATCCCGCCCCCTGAGACCCTGCACCGGGCCGACATGACGATGGAAGATCGCGCCACACTGGCGTGCCTTATGGTACGTGCGTGCTGCTCACAGCAGATGGACCGCGAGGTGCATGAGAACGAGGCGTACCGAGGCGCGGGCTCGACGGCGTCCGTGCTGCTCTTGCACAGCCTGGATTTGCCGGCTGTGCCGTGGTACGAGAGCGAGTACCTTTCCACGACGACCATCCAGCTAGGTGACACCCGGTTCCTGCTGTGCAGTGTAGACGACGGCCGTGCGGTGCCGCTCACGACGCTGCACCACCCCGACGACCGGGGCGAGGCGGAGCGCCTAAGCCGCCTGGGCGCCGGGATTGTCACGGACAGCTTCGGCGAGCGGCGCTTCCTCGGGACGCTGGCAAACACGCGCGCCTTTGGCGACGTGCAGGCCAAGCGCTATGGCGTCACGGCGGAGCCGGAGGTACACTCTCTCGTGCTGCGCGGCGCGCAGTTTGCCTTTGCGATTGGCGTGAGCGATGGCATCAGCAGCGTCATGAGCGATCAGGAGATCGTGGACGAGTGCCGCGACGCACGGCACCCCCAGGAGGCGGCGCAGCGGGTGCTGCGGTACGCCGAGGATGTCGGCACCGACGACAACGCCACGGTCGTGGTCGTCCCGCTGCGTGGCTGGGGGCACATTGGCGGCACAGACCGCACGCGCGCCAAGCGCGCGTCGCGTCGGACCAATACAGACATTTACCGCACACGGCGGCAGTAGCTATGAACGAGGTCGCTTGCGTGGCGGGACCGCCGCGCGGTGCTTGACAGACGACACGAGCGTAGAAAGATCGGACGTCGGCGTCTCGGTGGCGGGTCGCTCGTGGCTCGCCTGCATGAGCCGCCGCATACCGGCGGTCTGCACAAAGCTGGGGTGGCTGGGATCGATCGCGAAACGGTGGTCCTCGTGGACCGCAGCAAAGCGGGGATCGTGTACATCCATCTGGAACGATGGCTGCACGAGCGCCGCGCGCTTCTCGGCACGGCGCGCCTCGCGGCGCCGCTGGTGCCGCGAGAGCGACTTGCCCTGCAGCTTCTCTGTGCGCACAATGTCCTCCAGGTTAAAGTGCTGCTCGTCGTCCGAGGCTGCCTCTGCCACGGGCTCCGGCGGCTCGTCCGCGCTCTCGGACGGCTCGCCCTCCTCCGCCGCACGCGCTGCCGAGGCCTGCCGGCGGCGCTCGCGGCGCTCGCGCTGCTTGCGGCGGTACTTCTCGATCGTCGTCTCCTCAGGCGCCTCGGCGGCGGTCGCGTCGGCCGAGAGCGCAGGCACAAACGACACCTGCATGTCGCCCTCCGGCTTGGCGTAGAGGCTGTCCGTGTCCTCGGCGTCGTCAAATGCGCTGCGCTTCGGAAGGTCCGTCAGCAGCGAGCGCAGGCGGCTCTTGCTCTGCTCGGCGGCCTCCGCGCCGTCCTCCTCGTCGCTGGACGCGAGATACGTCTTGAGGTCGTCTTCGTGCAGCGCGCGGGAGTTCCCAGCGCGCGTCAGCTTCACGCGGCGCGGGTCGTCCTGGTCCCACGTCAGACGCACGCGCGAGTGCCGCAGGGCATCGGTCTTGTAGTCGAGGGGCTCGTAGCGCGCCGCATCCTCGGTCGCCTCGTCCGCGAACCCGGCGTCGCGGCCCTCCTCGCCGTCGGGCAGCGCCATATCGTCCGGCACGAAGCGCAGGTCGAACATGTTCGCCGAGCGCTCCATCTCGGTGCCGTCGATCTCATTGTACACGTGGCGCGCACTCGCCGCGCTGTCGAACGTAGCCACCGCGTAGTAGTACCGCAGGCGCTCGAGCTGGTACTGCCGGAGCGCCTCCTCGTCGAACTCGCTGCCTTCGTCGACCTGCTGCGCGGCCTTCTTGCCCTCGCGCTTCTGGAAGATGGCGCGCGGCGGGCCCTGGACGTCTTCGCGCGCAAGGCGCTCGCGCCCAAAGTCCGACAGGTACACGCGCACCGAGAGCACCTGGCCGCGCACAGGCGCCAGGGCCGCGTGCGCACCGCGCGCCGTCTCGCTCACGGGCGCAAGCGGCTCGCGCGTGGCGTGCGGCGACACGAGACTGCTAAACACCTTGAACAGATCAATCGCCCGCACATGGTCCCAGTCCATGTTGACGACCGCAAGACGCCGCGTGTCGTCGCCGCGCGCAACATCGTCGGCCGGGCGCGCGCGCGCCTCGCGGTCCAGCTCAGCCGCGACATCCCCGTCGATCTCCTCGTCCAGATCGATAGACGCCTCCGACTCGTCGCCATCTTGCGTCGCACGGCGCACAGCCGCGGCGCCGCCAATCACGACGTCGCCATCCGACTCGTCCTCCGACTCGTCCTCCTCCTCGCTGCTGCTCTCGAGCTCGCCCTCGCCACGCGCATAGTCGACGGACGGCGTGTCGAGGCGATACAGGTGCGCCAGGTCGTCGGCCTCCCGCACGTGGCGGTGGCGGCCGTAGCGATCCGGCTGCTTGGCCCCCTTGCTGAGTACGTCCTTGAAACGCTCATCTACAGCGACTTGCGTGTCTTGGCGGCGCGCGCGGCGGAAGCGCGGGTCGCTATGCACGCGCTGGAACCGGGCGTCCGGCCCCGCCATGGTCGCTGCAAAAAAGGCCCATTTCGCCGACAGAGCCTCCACTTTTCGCTACCTACGCTAGGGCAAGCAGGGCGAGCGGCAGCTGCTGGCGCGAGCCATCGCCCAGGTCGCACTCGGCGAGCTCGTCGTGCAGCTGCTCGATCGTGACCTGCGAGCCGCGCATCGCGCCGTCCGTCACAATGCAGCGGTCGCCTGCGGCACTGGGCCGCAGTGGCTCAAGGCACGCCACAGGCACGTCCGAGAGCTGCGCACCTGTCTCGAGCTCGATCTTCGCCACGGCAGGGTTCCGCGCCAGCACGCGCCCTGTCGAGCCATCGTATGCGCCCCGCTGGTACGACGTGCCCTGCGCGTCGCGGCCCACACGCACACGCATGCCCTCCATCAGCGGCACCGGCGGCGCAGGTGGCGCGCCCCACGGGTTCGGGTGCGACGGCGCGGCTCCGTACGGGTTGGGCGTCGCACTCACATGCGCAGGCGTGCGGCCTCCGTACGGGTTGGGTGTCGTACTCGCGTACGGATTCGGCGTCGTGCTCGCGTACGGATTCGGCGTCGCACTTGCGTACGGGTTGGGCGTCTGGCCCACCGGGTAGGCCGGCGTGCGGCCGCCGTACGGATTCGGCGTCGCACTTGCGTACGGGTTGGGCGTCTGGCCCACCGGGTAGGCCGGCGTGCGGCCGCCGTACGGATTCGGCGTCGCACTCGCATACGGATTGGGCGTCTGGCCAAACGCAGCGTACGCGGGCGTACGCGCACCGTACGGGTTGGGTGTCGCACTCGCGTACGGGTTGGGCGTCTGCCCGAAGCCGCCGCCATACGCCGGCGTCATGCCACCGCCCATGTACGCGGGGGTCTTGCCGCCCATACCGCCGTACGCGGGCGTCATGCCGCCCACCGGCGCGCTCGCGTACGGGTTCGGCGCGGCCGGCCCAGGGCCCACGAGGCGGCGGCTCTCGCCCGTGACAGGATTCTTCTCGACCATGTGGTCCAGGGGCACCGTGAGGATCTTCGACATGGTGTGCAGCTCGACACGCGCCATGCCGCCCGTCGTCTCCTTGATGATGCCGCGGTACGTCTTGTAGGGGCCGCGCACAATCGCGACCGACTTGCCCGCGAATATGTCGCGCCCCCCGCGCCGCGGGCCGGACGCATTCGCACCGCCATCCGCGTCGAGCGCGCGCAGTGCAGGGTTCATCTGGCTCAGATCCGTCTTGGGCCGCACGGACGTCGGCGCGAGTGGCTCGACGTACGAGGCACGCACGAGGAACAGGCCGCCATGCTCCGTGTACGCGCGGTTGTGCACAAACAGCAGCGTCGAGTGCACAATGTGGAGCACCTGGCCCTGCCGGAACTGCGACAGCGGCCACTCGACCTCCTTGACCATATCGCCTACGTGCACCTCGTGGCCGTTGTGGTCGAGGGCCACGGCGCGCGCCGTGTCACGGCGCATGGAGATCTGGTGGGGCTGCACGGTGACGACGTGTCCGTTCTGGTCGAGCACCTTGAACGACTCGCGCTCAATCTTGAAGATCACACCGACCGTCTGCGCGTCGAGCTGCACGAGGTTGTGCAGCTCGTAGCCGCCAATCACGTTCACGCCCGAGCCGACCTCGGCCGCCTCGCGAATGTCCTTGGAGAAGACCGAGACCTCCTTCAGCGACAGATCCGACAGGAACGTGGTGACGCCGTCCTCGACTTTGACAACGAGACCCGTCTCGTCGGCGTGCTTCCCGGCGAGCACCTTGATGTGGTCACCAGCGCGGAACTGCTTCCGCACACAGGCCGCCGGCACCTCGATCTTCTGGCCGGCGAGCGCGCCGTCCGGCACGTCGAGCGTGACGACATCCCCACTCATCGCCTCGACCACGCCTACGACGCCCGCCTGCTCGCCCTCAAACACCTCGACGTGGTCGCCCGGCTGCAGCGTCGCCTCGATGCCGCGCTTCGACGCATCGGCCAGCAGGTTCAGGTCGACGCCCGCGCCTTCCGCGGGCGTCTCGCCGGTGAACTGCAGCACCTCGTCGAGGCTCGGATGCACGTCGTCGATCTGCAGCGCACTTATCTTCATGTCCTTCTCGAGGTAGCCATCGCGGAACGTCTCGCCGCCAAACACCCACACGCCGCCCCGCTTTGTAGGGTACTCATGGGGGTACACTTTCTGCACCTCCTCCGCATTGAACAGGCGTGGCGGCGGGCGGAAACCGAGCGACGTGAGCGCGGCGTTGACCGGCTTCTTCCGCTTGCGGCCGGCACGGTCCGTGTACGTATCGCGCTCGCCCGGCGCCATATCAATGCGCGGCACCAGCTTCACACCGACCTCCTCGCCATTCTCCGTCACGTCGAGGACCTGCGCCAGGTCGCCTGCGTACTTGCCGCGCTTGACACGCACCCAGCCGCCGACCGGCACCTCGGTGCTCTTCTTCTGCAGCTTGAGTAGATCGGCCATCTCGAGAATCGGCACAAGGAACGGCCGCGTCTGGCCCGTGTACACACCCGCGAGGCCGTCGAACGCGTCCAGCACATCGTCTGCGCGCCGCGCCTCGACAAACAGCTGGCCATCGAGCGAGTCGCGGCAGAAGGCCGAATAGATGCGCAGCGGGCGCCCCTGGGCCTCGCGTGTGAGCGCGCGGCGCAGCACCGTGGCGACCAGGTGCTTTTCGCGGCCGCGCTTGCAGCGAATGCGCCAGAGGCCCGGGTCGTCCACACTCGGCATCAGCAGGCGCTGCGGCACATCCGCGTAGTCCGACTGCGACGCGTACCGCGAGCTGCGGGCGTGGCGCTGCCGCAGCTCCTCGGCGAGCACCTCGGCGCTCATCTCCTCCTCCTGGCGCCGGAAGCGGTCCAGCCGCTGGTTGTCGGCCGCCGTGCGGAGCTGCGCTTCGCGGGACTCGTCGAGAATGTCATCAGCAATGAACCCGTCCTCGCGCAGCAGCTCCTCTGCCTCCTCGTCTTCCACGTCCTCGTCGTCGCTGTCGACCTCGGCCTCGACATCAAGGAAGCGGTTGCGGCGCGGCTTCTTCGACCGCCGCCCGTCCTCCTCATCCTCATCGTCTTCCTCGTCTTCCTCCTCGTCTTCTTCTTCCTCCTCCTCGTCCTCCTCGTCCTCTTCGTCGCCCTCTTCAGCGGGACCATCATCCTCTTCCTCTTTTACGTCGTCCGCCACGGGGGCCCGGGCATCAGCCGCGGTCGCCGCCTCTGGCACCTGCGATCCCGTCTCGTCCCGGGCCGCTGCCGCATGGATGGACTCCGCTGCGTGCGCGGACGGGTCGCGCTCCTTTGCCTCCATCGCCGTCGCCGTGACGAACCGCGCTGGCTCGGCGCGGCGGGTTGACTATGATTAGTCAGCCTCTGTCGCAGTGGCGCTGGACGGACCGACGACGTTGTCCTCTGTCGAAGAAGATGAGCCTTGCTCGTGCTGTGTCCCTGCGCCCGGTGCGCGCTGCGTCGGTCTCGCCCCTTGCGAGCCGCGCGATGACTGTGCCGACTGTGCCTGGTATGTATACGTATCTAACGCCCACAGCGATGGCCCGCCAGCAACACACCCGCTCGATGGCGAACGCGCTCCGCCGCTCGACGCGTGTGGCGGCCGTGCCGCCGCGTGTGCTCGGTGCGATCCGCACTTACGCGGCCGATTCGGGCAAGTTTGTGCGTACCAAGCCCCACATGAACATTGGTACGATCGGCCACGTCGACCACGGAAAGACGACCCTGACGGCGGCCATCACCAAGGTGCTACACGAGTCCTCGGGCGAGGGCAAGTTTGTCGACTATGCGTCGATTGACAAGGCCCCCGAGGAGAAGGAGCGCGGTATCACCATCTCGACCGCGCACGTCGAGTACGAGACCCCGAACCGCCACTACGCGCACGTCGACTGCCCGGGTCACGCCGACTACATCCGTAACATGATTACGGGTGCTGCGCAGATGGACGGTGCGATCATTGTGGTGTCGGCGACCGACGGCCAGATGCCCCAGACGCGCGAGCACCTGCTGCTCGCCCGCCAGGTCGGTATCAAGAAGCTGGTCGTGTTCGTGAACAAGGTCGACCAAGTCGACGACAAGGAGATGCTCGAGCTTGTCGACATGGAGATGCGCGAGCTGCTCTCGACCTATGGCTTCGATGGCGACAACACGCCGATCGTGGCTGGTTCGGCGCTGGCTGCCCTCGAGGGCCGCGACGAGGAAATCGGCAAGAGCGCCATCATCAAGCTCATGGAGGAGACGGACAACTGGCTCGACCTCCCTCCTCGTGACCTGGACAAGCCGTTCCTGATGCCCGTCGAGGACGTGTTCTCGATCTCTGGTCGTGGTACCGTCGTGACGGGCCGCGTGGAGCGCGGCACGATCACCAAGGGCGCGGAGATTGAGATCATTGGCCTCGGCGGCCACCTGAAGACCACGCTGACCGGTATCGAGATGTTCCACAAGGAGCTCGACCGCGGTGAGGCCGGTGACAACATGGGCGCGCTGCTCCGTGGTGTCAAGCGCGAGCAGGTGCGCCGCGGCCAGGTGGTCATCCTGCCGGGCACGGTCAAGCCTGTGAAGAAGTTCCAGGCGCAGATCTACATTCTTACGAAGGAAGAGGGCGGTCGCTACACGCCCTTCATGAACAACTACCGCCCCCAGCTGTTCATCCGTACCTCGGACGTGACGGTGTCGCTGACGCACCCGCCGGGCACGGAGAATGCGGACGAGGCGATGGTCATGCCGGGCGACAACGTCGAGCTGGTGTGTGACCTTGTGCACGACATTGCGCTCGAGGAGGGCTCGCGCTTCACCCTGCGTGAGGGCGGCAAGACCGTCGGCACGGGTATCGTGACCAAGATCCTCGGCTAGGTAGCTCGTAGGCCGCGACGCACGCGTTCGTATCACGTGCAAAGTTATACAGCACACACGTGATTGACCCCTCCGCCCGCCATGGCCCAGCGCCGGACCTTCTTTGTCGACTCGTCATCATGGCTCCCCAGGACAAGTCTCATAAGAAGACCCGCTCGGCTCTTAGTGCGTACAAAGCATACTGACAGTGCAGACGACGTGGTGACTGTAGGTACTCGCGACGGCGCGGGCAACGGTACTAACATGACAGCGTGAGTACACGATCCACCTGCACAAGCGCGTGCACTCGATCGCGTTCAAGAAGCGCGCGCCGAAGGGCGTCAAGGAGGTCGTCAAGTTCGCCCAGAAGGCCATGGGCACGAAGGACGTGCGCCTCGACCCCAAGCTGAACCACGAGATCTGGAAGCTCGGTGTGAAGGACGTGCCGCGCCGCCTGCGCGTGCGTCTCGAGCGCAAGCGCAACGACGACGAGGACGCGAAGGAGAAGCTCTACACCTACGCGACCCCTGTGCTGGGCATCACCAACTTCCACGGTCTGCAGACCAACGTGATCGAGCAGGACGAGTAGACAGCTCACCAAAATGAAAGCGGACGACCGCTCGCCTATGTACTCTATGGGTCCGCAGGCGCAGCGGGCGCGTACGTGTGCTTCCTGCGCGGCGCCTGCTGCGTCATGCCGCGGCCCGCACCGACTGCGTCAGATAGTGTGCACGTACTCTTGGCGTACGGGTCGTCGGGCGTCTTGAACTGGCTCCTGTCGCCCGCGACGTCGTAGCGCTTCTTCGCGGCCTTCGCCTGGAACTTTTGCCATGCCGACTGCTTCTCGTCGTGCTCGCGGTTCTTGGCCGCCTCGCGCTCCTGCTTCTTGGCCTTCTTCAGGCGCTTGCGCTCGCGCTCCTCCGTCGTCATCGGCGCCTTCTTCGGCGCGACGTACGCAGGGGCCGGCGCAGCCGCATTCGCATGCGCCTGCCGCGGCCGCAGGTCCGACGCCGTGAGCATGTGCGTCGTCTGCTGCTTGGGCAGCAGGACCGAGTACACAGGCTGCGCCACCGAGCCCGCCACCGTGAGGATCCGCGCGGCGTACCAGCGTCCATCCTCCGGGAGGCGGGCCATGCACTCCTCGCCAGCCACATACTTGTGCGCAGACTCACTCGCACTACTTGCCTTCGGTGCCTTGGCGCGCGCTGCCGCTTGGTCGGCCTCGTACTGCTTCGTAAGCGCAATCAGGTTCGCCAGCTCATCCCGCAGCGACGCCAGCTCGGCATTCTCAGGGTCGGCAGCTAGCGCCTCATTCACCTGCGACAGCTGGACTGGAGTTAGCTACTGCTACCCACACTCGTAAGTGCCAAGCCTGCGGTCAGCCACGCATCACCTACTCAGACGCCATCGTCACAGGCCCCGGTGTGGGCTGGACAGGCTGCGACGCCCCAGCCTCCACTTCTTAGCTCCGGCGGCGATGACCGACACCTTCCATACACGCGATGGCGCGCGCATCGGGTACCGCGTGCTGGGGCGCGAGCATGCGGGGCCTGCGCTCGCTCTGGTGAATGGCATGAGTGCCGTGATGGAGGACTGGCTGGCCCTTGCACACGCACTCGCAGAGACGCGCCGCGTCGTGGTGCTCGACCACCGGGGCATAGGCGCTTCGTACCTCACGCACGACGAAAGCGAGGACATCACGATCGAGCTCATGGCGCAGGACGTAATTGATCTCGTGCGCTCACTTGGCGTGCGTGTCGTGCACCTGCTGGGCTTCAGCATGGGCGGCCTCGTTGTGCAGGCCATCCTCACGCACCCCGACGCACACCCCACACCCGATGGCGCAGGCGTGGCTGTGCAGGGCCTCGAGGTGCGGCGCGTCGTGCTCACCGCCACGTTCACGCGCGCGCCACGCACCGAGTTCCGCCTCGAAGACGTGCCGCGGCCCGCGCACGGCTCGCCCGCTGACCGCGCCAGGGCGGCATCGCGGTACATGCTCGAGATGCAGTACGACCCGGCGGTCATCGGGCCGGGCGGCGCCCTGGAGGCCACGCTCGAGGCGCACCTCGCCGCGAGCGAGACGCTGCGGTACGTACCTATGGCTCACGCAGACGGCCCGCCATGCTCATCATGCAGCAGGCCAAGGCGATCTCGCTCTACCGCGGGCGCGACGCCCTGCGCCGTGTCCCGCGTGGCCTGCCCGTGGCCGTCATCCATGGGCGGCGCGATCGTATGGTAGCCTACGACGAGTCGGCCGATCTGCTCGCGCGCCTTCCCGGCGCCGAGCGACTCCTCCCTGCGACTGACGCGCACGACCCCGAGGCGTTCGGGCACATGTGGTTCGACTACTTCGCCCTGCGCGCATGGGTCAAGCCGCTCACGCACTTCCTCGATCGGCCGGGCGCAAAGATATAGTGGAGGCATCACGCGCCCAGCTGCCGCGCGGCGCCGCGGCGCCGCGCGTGGCCGGCCGACAAGCGACCCGCCTGCGTTGTCGACCCGCCGTGCGTCGCTGAGATGCCGATCGTAAAGCGCAAGCCGGTGCAGCCGGTGCCCGTCTCTGAGGCTTTGGAGGCGGCTTACGCACGGCACGAGGCCCCGCCGGTGTTCTACCTGGCCGCTACCGGCGAGGTGTTTGCTGAGTACGAGCACTATGCGGCGCGTCTGAGCTACTACCACCAGCGCATATTCCAGTGCGAAGTGTCGGGCAAGTCGAACCTCACGTACTTTGAGGCGGCCGAGAGCGAGGCGCAGCACACGCGCGCGATCCAGTCGCAGTTTCCCGACGCACTCAAGGCGCCGATCCTGCAGGCTGTCCAGTTCCAGACCGTGTCGCGCTTCAGCGAGCTCGTGGAGCGCGTCGCGGACAGTGTGAAGGCGCGCTTCTTCCCGGGCGAGGTGGTCCTCGTCGACCGCGAGGGCGAATCCGCGCGCCAGCCCGCGATGGTCCGCGCTGTAGACGCGGCGGACGCGTCCGAGCAGGTGCCGCCCCTGTCGCTCGCGCTCGACGCTGTGCCGCCCCTTCTGTACACGGTGCAACTGCCCGGCGACGACGGCGCATGGAGCGGCGAGTCGCTCCGCGTGCGTGCGACGCAGCTGAGCCGCGAGCGGCACGCGCTGAGCAAGTCGATCCTCCGCCGCTTCCTGCGCGACAGCGTCAGTCGCGAGGCGGGCGCGACGGGTGTATGGCGCGTGCGCGAGTCCCTTGCGCGCAAGTACGCCCTGCCCACCGAGCTCCCGCCCGACGTCGCCGAGTGGCAGCAGTCCGTGCGCGATGCACAGGCGGCCAAGCGGCGCCGGCCAAGCGAGGGCGACACGCCCCGGAAACGCACCGCCAGCGACGCGCCGAGCGCGGCCAAGCCGCTCAAGTTCCCGTGCGAGGACACGCGCCTCGATGCCATCTCGGCCGCGGAGCTGCAGACGGAGACGCCCGGCGAGCTCGCGCGGCGCGTGGCGCGGCCAGCCCTGGGCGGCGAAGAGCTGCTGGGCGTGCCGAACGACCTGTTCGAGTCGTACCTGGCCGTGTACTACTTTTTCCTCGCGCTCGGCGAACCGCTGGGCATCTCGAGCATAGCGCTCGACGACTTTGAGGGCGCGCTGCGGCATCCTGTCGCGGAGCCGCCATGCGTACTGCTTGCCGAGATGCACGCAGTGCTACTGAATGCAATCGTGCGCGATGGGCCCCACAGCCGCGACCTGGCGCCGGCCGCCGTGGCGCAGCGGCTCGTCGCCGTAAGCCGCGACGAAGCGTCGCCGCTCGAGACCGGCGAAGAGGCCAAGGAAGAGGCGCCCGACGACGCGAGCAGCGACGTGAGCGACTCGCCGGAGCGCGAGGTGTTCGAGGCCGCACGCGAGATCGGCCGCGGCTGGCAGCGCTCGGAGCTGCACGACGAGACACGCACCGGCTGGGAGCGGTACCTGGTCGGGTGCCTCGTGGACCGCGCGACGCCCGAGGCGCTGCCGCGCTTCCTGGGCATTCTCTCGCACCTCACGGGTGTGGCATGCGACGACGATACAGACACGCCGTCGACGTCGCCGCGGACAGTCGCGGAGCGGTACCCGCTGCTGCCCCTGAGCGACAAGATCCATGTGCTGCAGTTTCTGTGCGAGCTCGCGGTGCTTACGCGCGGCGTCAAGGCGTACTACGACACGTGCGAGACGCATCTCACGGAGCTGCGCAAGGAGCGCGTCGAGATTTCTCGCACACGCAGACGAACGTGCGTTGGTCCTACTCACCACAGACTGGAGCAGCGAGTCGCGCTCGATGCGCCGGCCGAGGGCGAAGCGATGGACGTCGAGCCGGACGAGCCGGAGCCCGAGGCACCGGCGGCCGAGGTGTCCGATTCCGAGTCGGAGCGCGACGAGCTCGCGTCGGACCACGGCTCGGAGGGCGCAGACGGCAGCGCAGGCGCGTCCGACTGGGACACGAGCGACTCGGAGGGCGTGCGCGACGAGCGGTACAAGCGCCTCGCCGGCACACGCCAGGAGGCACTGCGAGAAAAGGCACAGCAGCGCGAGGCAGAGGCGGCGCGCCTCGCTGCGGCGCAGGCGCGCGCAGCGGAGCAGGTGCGCGAGACCAAGCAGCTGCGCGAGGAGCGGCGGCGCCTAGAGGACACGGCCGCTCGACTCGCGCGGCGCGAAGAGGCCTTGGAGCGCGAGTTTCGGCGGTACGCGCAGATCCCGCGGCTGCGCCCGCTGGGCCGCGACCGCTTCCTCGACCGCTACTACTGGCTCGACGGGATCGGCGCGGCGGCGCCGTCTGGGGCGTACCAGACTGCGCGCATCTTTGTGCAGGCGCCGAGCCGGCGCGAGTGGGAGGCGCTCTGCACGCAGTACGCGGAGGGCCGCGACGCGCTGGCCCAGCGGCGGAGTCGCGAGCATGGCGCGTCGACCGCGTGGGAGTGCGGGTCCTGGGGCGTGTATACACAGCCGGAGCAGGTCGAGGAGCTGATTGCATGGCTCAGACCGCGCGGCGTGCGAGAGCAGGCGCTCAAGGCTCAGCTGCTCAAGTACCGCGACGCTATGGAAGGCGGTATGCGCCGGCGAACGGACGACATTGCGCTGGGCGTGCGTGAGCCGGCCGTCGTCGAGACGCGGCGCTCGGCGCGTGTGCGCTCCGAGCAGTCGTCGCAGCTGCGCCTGCCATACATGCAGTGGCGCAACGCGGCGCGGGACTAGGCCTCGGGGCCCTCGCCGCCGGGGATCAGCTGGCGTCAGTAGGCACGACGTACCGCGCAGATGTTGTTGCCGTTCAGCAGCGTCTTGGCCAGCGGCGTTTTCTTGTAGCCGTCGGATGTTCCCTCGCTGGTGTGAGCAGATGGACCTACTATTCCGTCACGTCCTCGAGCACCATGTCTGGGTGAGCGGCGCGTACGTACTGACGTAGTCGTCGAAGCCCAGGAGCGTGCCCACAAACTCACGCTCACTCTTCATCACGACCCAGATGCGGCTCCCAATGCACCGGTCGACAAGCTCGAGCGGCAGAATGGTCGCACCCGACATGGCGGAGGAGGAGAGCGGCGCGGCGCGGCGCGACGACGACCCAGGGATGGAGGCGTGTAGAATAGCACGTGCATGGCCGTCGTGCACGGCCGCCGCTTGGCATGCGCTGGTGGGGTCTGTGGGCGGCCCTGCTCGTCGCGGGCTTCCTGTATAGCGCGTGGCCGCGCACGTATGCGTACCGCCGTGTCGTAGCGATCGGCGACTTGCATGGCGACTATGACCAGGCGCTCGAGATTCTGCGCGCGACACACGTTGTGGACGAGCGCAGTCACTGGGACGGTGGCGACACGGTCCTTGTGAGCACCGGCGACACGGTCGATCGCGGCGACGCGACCATCAAGCTGTACGAAATGTTCCAGCGCCTGCGCACGGAGAGCGGCAAGGCTGGCGGTCAGGTCGTCACTCTCCTGGGCAACCACGAAGTAATGAATGCGCTGGGCGACTGGCGGTACGTGACGCCCGGCGATCTCGCGTCGTTTGGCGGCCACGATGCACGACGGCATGCCATGTCGACGGACGGGTGGCTTGGGCGCGAGTGGCTCACGCACTACGCCGTTACTGCCAGCGTGCCTTTGCTGGACACGCAGGCAGAGTCCCTCGCGCCGGCCCTCTCACGTACGCACCGCGCTTCGTTCGTGCATGGCGGCATTTCGCCCGTATGGGCGCAGCTAGGCACCGATTCCATCAATGCACATGCGCACGGCCTGCTCCGCAAGGCCCTCACGTCGCGCCCCTCAAACGGCATGCTACCGGGTGACGCGCTGCGCGAGGAACGTGCGCTTTGGGCAGCCGATGGGCCGCTATGGTACCGCGGCTATGCGCTAGATGCTGAGCGAGATGCGTGTGCGAACGCGGACCATGCGCGACGCACGCTGGATGTGCAGAGCCTTATTATGGGCCACACGCCCCAGATGGGCGGCATTGCCAGGCGGTGCGCGGACGACCGCCTCTACATCATCGACACGGGCATGAGCCACGCGTACGGCGGCCGCGCAAGTGCGCTTGAAATCGCGTCGTATCTGCGGCGAGGCTGGTTTGGTACTATGTGTGTGCACTCGACATACACGGCCGTGTACGCGCGTGAGGGCGCACAGCGCCTATCGCACACCGTCCATTGCTAATTACTTGCGGTTGGGACGCAGGCCGCGCACGACGTGACCGACGCGCCACATCTCCTGGTCAGCAATCGCGTCCGTCTCCTTGTCGTAGTCCTCGCGGTAGGTCTTGCGCGAGCCAAACTCGAGCGCGCGCCGCGTCTCGGCGCCAGTCTTCACGCTCTCGTACAGGCGCTCAAACACGGGCTTGCACGCCGCCTCGAACTCGGGCGCCCAGTCAAGGGCACCGCGACGCGCCGTCGTCGAGCAGGCCTTGTACATGTAGTCCATACCGTTCTGCGCAATGAGGGGATACAGCGACTCGAGCGCCTCCTCACACGTCTCGTTGAACGCCTCCGACGGCGAGTGGCCGTTGGCGCGCAGCACATCGTACTGCGCCTTGAACATGCCCTGGATACCGCCCATGAGGCAGCCACGCTCACCGTACAGGTCCGAGTACACCTCCTTCTCGAACGTGGTCTCGTAAATGTAGCCAGAGCCGACGGCCATACCGATCGCAACGGCCTTCTCGAGCGCATGGCCCGACACGTCCTGGAACACGGCCACGGACGAGTTGATGCCGCGGCCCTCCTTAAAGAGGGTGCGCACGGTGCGGCCCGAGCCCTTGGGCGCGCACAGAATCACATCCACGTCGGCGGGAGGCACCACCTTCGTCTGGTCCTTGTACACAATCGAGAAACCGTGCGAGAAGTAGAGCGTCTTGCCCTTCGTCACAAACTGCTGCAGGTGCGACCACGTCGAGGTCTGCGCAGCGTCCGAGAGCAGGTTCATGAGGATCGTGCCCTTCGTCGCAGCCTCCTCAATCGAGAACAGGTTCTTGCCAGGAACCCAGCCATCCTCGATCGCCTGGCGCCACGACTCACCGTCCTTGCGCACACCGACAATCACGTTCATGCCATTGTCACGCAGGTTCAAGCCCTGGCCGTGGCCCTGCGAGCCGTAGCCGAGCAGCGCAAACGTCTCGTTCTTGAAGTAGTCGTGCAGCTTCTCGAGCGGCCAGTCCTCACGCTCGTACACCTTCTCGGGTGTACCGGCAAAGTCCAGCGTCTTCATGCCACGCACAGCCGCAGGGACCGATCGCGCGGGCACAGGCGCCACACGCGCTGCGCGCGAGGCAAGCACAGTGAGCGTGCGCGCAGGCACACGCAGGTGGGTAGCCGAGCGGGCAGCGGAGCGCAGTCCAGAGCGAGCAAGCGAACTCATAGTAGATAAAGAAGAAGCGGGGCACCGCCTGCCCGTACTGCATCGGCCGACGCGTGACTCATCTCAATTGCCCCGCTGACAAATCACGTTTCGCTAGTCGCCTTCTTTGCTTTCGCCATGCTGTGCCTCGCTGCTGCGCACGCAGTGCGTCGTGTTCCAACCACGGGCGCGCGCTTCTACGCGCGCACCTTGGCTACAGAAGCGCCACAGACCTATATCGAAAAGGTCGTGCAAAAGTACGTGGTCGATGCGGATCCCTCCGTGCACGTGAAATCGGGCGACTATGTGTCCATTCGCCCAGCGACAGTGATGACGCACGACAACACCGGTCCCGTCATCTCCAAGTTCCGCGCGATTGGCGCGACGAAAATCCATGACCCACAGCAGGTCGTCTTTGCGCTGGACCATGACGTGCAGAACAAGACGCCCAAGAACCTCGACAAGTACGCCAAGATCGAGGCATTTGCACGCGAGCACAACGTCGACTTCTACCCGGCCGGGCGCGGTATCGGTCACCAGGTGCTCGTAGAGGAGGGCTACGCGTTTCCGCAGACCCTCGTTGTGGCGTCGGACAGCCACTCGAACATGTACGGAGGCGTCGGCGCCGTCGGTACACCCATCGTGCGGACGGACGCCGCGGCGCTGTGGGCTACAGGCAAGACATGGTGGCAGCTGCCCCCGATGGTCAAGGTCGAGCTCACTGGCCAGCTGCGGCCCGGTGTCACTGGCAAGGATGTGATTGTGGCGCTGTGTGGCTACTTCCACAACGACGAGGTGCTCAATGCCGCGATCGAATTCACCGGCGAGGGTGTGCGCTCCCTCACCATCGATGAGCGTCTCTCCATCAGCAATATGACGACCGAGTGGGGCGCACTTGCTGGCGTTTTCCCACTGGACGACTCGACCCTCGCCTGGTACGAGCAGCTGCTCCGCACCATGGACCGCCTGCACTTCCAGGTCGGCTCTTCGCCCCGCCGCTCGGAGACGCATCCGCGTCTGCACTGGAAGCGTCTCGAGCGTCTCGCGCGCGAGCGCTTTGCGGCTGATCCCGGCGCGACATACGCCAAGCACCTCAAGCTAGACCTCTCGACCCTCTCGCCGCACGTGTCGGGCCCCAACAGCGTGAAAGTGACCACGCCGCTTTCTGAGCTCGAAAAGCAGAACATTGCAATTCACAAGGCCTACCTGCTTTCGTGCGTAAATGCGCGCGCCTCGGATATCAAGGCGGCCGCCGATGTCCTACGCGGTAAAAAAGTGGCGCCGGGCGTCGAGATGTACGTCGCAGCGGCCAGCAGTCTCGCGCAACGTGAGGCGGAGGAGTCCGGCGACTGGGGCGCGCTGCTCGCCGCTGGCGCACGACCCTTGCCGGCCGGCTGCGGCCCCTGCATTGGCCTGGGCACCGGCCTCCTGCAGGACGGCGAAGTGGGCATTTCTGCGACGAACCGTAACTACAAGGGCCGCATGGGCAGCCCTAATGCTCTGGCGTACCTCGCATCTCCTGCGGTCGTCGCGGCAAGTGCGGCTGCGGGCAAGATCTGCGCGCCTAGCCCGCTGCCAGATGGCCAAGCGCCCACGCGCCAGGTCGTGTCGGAGCAGGCAGCAGCGCCCACGACCGGCGCGCCAATTGAGCTGGACCCAGCATTCCCGCCGTCGTTTGCAGGCACGCTTGTGTTTGTCCCACAAGACAACCTGAACACTGACGCGCTATACCCCGGCAAGTATACGTACCAGGACGACATTACGCCTGAGCGTCAGGCGGAAGTGGTCATGGAGAACTACGACCCATCGTTCGCCAGTACTGTGGCACAGGAGCGGGCACGTCGCGTGGCGGCTGAGGAGCCTGCGAATGTGGTGCTTGTAGGTGGCTTCAACTTTGGCACGGGATCATCGCGAGAGCAGGCTGCGACGGCGCTCAAGTATGCGGGCGTGCCAGTGGTGTTGGCCGGCTCGTTTAGCGACGTGTTTAAGCGGAATGCCATCAACAATGGGCTCATATGCCTGCAGTGCCCTGAGCTGGTAGAGGACCTGACGCGTGCGCATGCCAAGGACGGCGCGCGCGGCGCAGGTGGTACCAAGCCGGGCGAACTGAGTGTGCTGCTGCGCGATGCCACCGTCGAGCTGGATAGCCGCACAGGTGCGGTGATACTGAAACACGCAGATGGACGCGTGGCCCAGTATACAACGATGCCAGCAGGGATTGGGCGCTCGATCCAGGACATTTATGTCGCGGGCGGCCTTGAGCGCTGGGTTCAGCAGCGTCTGTAGGGGTCGTTGGCATTGGCGCTCTCCACTACCACATAGACCAATTCCAGTGCATTGAAGCACAGATACGCATCTCAAGGACTATGCGTGGCGGATAAGCCTCGAGACATGACCAGTGTCGCCATCAGAATCTAAACTTCCTCACGGTCTATCGATAGCACACTTATATCTAAGGTGGATACAAAGTTTTATCATGGTCAATAATGATTGGCCCGATAAAATCTGCCTAGTTGAAAAGCGAAACACCCCCAGGCTGTACTCACTAACCGCTGGCTTCCTGAGGCACTTGTTTCCTTGAGAGACACGGAATCTCGCACTCGTTGTATCGGCTTTGTAAAAAGAAAGGAGCAATCAATGGAGATGTAATGTACTCACAATTTGACTGAGCACCAGCGAGCTTCCCTACCTGTCATTGGACCGATGATCGATTATCAACGTTTCGTTACTGAGCCGTGTCGGATTTCACGAAACGTGTAGTTGTGGTCGATGTTTAGCTGCCATACTGTACACTTATGATACTATTCCAGATTCCCGCATACTTGCTATGTACTCATTTGGCCGAATGCACCCAGGAGGGTATTTAACAGCTTCCGCGTTATCTAGCAACACAGGTATCCCTCATGCGTCGCTTGAACGCTCGGGAATCCAGCGCGATCATCACTGAATCAAAAAATATACTATGTAGAGGCATCGCCACTAGGTCCACGCCGCAACAAGGCCGTGCGCGCTGCTTCGGCCGCAGTGAGACGCCGTTGGAAGTATCGCCGTACCACGACTAAAACAATGAGGCCCAAAACGCCCGTAATAAAGAAAGAGAGCTCTACCGCCATGGATAGGGCCTCCTCGCTCCACGGTTCTTTGAGGCTGGACGGAAAGTAGGAGAGCAACATGCGCCGCGCCGTGATATCGCCCTGTAGCATGGCCCACAAGGTCTGGAAAAAGAGGCGCCCCATGAGCAAGAACATGAGAGGGTTTGTCGTTTGGGGAAATGATTTGCTCAAGTAGTCGAATAGCCGCTTTGCCAGCGCCAAATCGCGCTTCATAGGTGGAGCACCTTGTGCATACATCGAGCCCAGACGCCATGCCGACATTAAATCAAAAGAGGCACCAGCGAAGTTGTCAAGATTTATCCTGGAAACGTCATCATGCACAGTTGCGATCCAATTACGAGACATATCCACCAAATTGGTGAAGCAATTCGCTGCACGTTGAGCATCACCGTCTGTGAGTCCAAACAGCATATATTCACATAGTTTATAGGAAGCGTGAATACTTCCTTGCATTGCACTTTGGCCCCAGTAATGCTTGGCTAGGGCGTCGTCCACTGCAGGCGCAGGGTTGTGTTGCCACGAGGTAAACTGATCCAAAATGAAGGCGATGTTGTCCTGCGCCTCTTCTACGCCAGACTCGGCGGCCATGGACCATGCCTGTAGAGCTGTCATCAAATCCCCGCGGTCATATGCAGCTGCAGCGCGGTGATATATAGGATCGTTCCAATCAGCACGCTGGACTGCATCTTCTAGGAGCGGCACAGAAATGGCACAGTTCGTCGTCACGTTTTTGCCTTCCAAAGCATCGTCCACGTACAAGCTTGCTTTTAGGTAACGATACTCGAACGAATCGTCCAGCAACAATGTACCGTCTGCATCAGATCGGTGAATCACGTTCATTATGTGGAAATGCTCATGTGCTTTTTTCCGATCCATCGCGCCTGGTGTCAGTCTTGTATACATACGCATTGCTTGTTTCCCTAATTCTAATCGCACCTGGAACGTCAAGCCTTTTTCAGACACGTGTCGGAAGAGCGTCTCGGCCTTGGTCACGTTCGGCGTCAGGCCGCCAAAGCCATACAAATACATCACACCTAGGCCGACAATTCCCTGCGCATCCTCCTCCAAAGCGGCCCGCGTGAACCAAACCTTGGCCCGCACAAAGTCTTGCGATACGCCGTCTCCACGCAAGTACTGCATGCCTAACAGTGATGCCGCTGCTCTAGCGGCAAGCTGATGTGCCAGGTCTTGTTCTTGAGCCACATACACAGGGCGCAGCTTGGGACCGAGATGCGACTCATCTTGAATATCATCAAGAATAGGGGGGTATGGCCATCGAGCGGTGGCAAGCGCTAGCGCATGCTGGGCACTAGCTTCTGGGTCGTACGGTATCGCTCCCAGCACATCATGATCGCTAACAATACTGCCAAAGTAATGGGAGCGAGCAAGTATGTAGCGCTTGTGGGGCTCGTCTTCAAGAGCGTAGTCTTCGTAGGTCTCCATAAGACGCTGTAAAGCTTTCTTGTCTGTCAATGCCCTGGGCTGGTATTTCAACATCTGCCTAATCCACATGAATCGAAGTGAATAGAGCATCCAATTAACCTTACTCCGGTGGGACCACCACGCAAACTCTTCAAGGTTTCGTGATAAGTGGATATCACTTAAACGGATTTTGGAATACGGCAAACGGCGGCCACCCGGCGGTCCTGCCATGAACATCTCATACGTTTCACGGGCCATCTGATCATAGGTATGCATGGCTTCCAAACAATCTTGGGGTACACCCAAGCCGCGCCGATAGCGGTGTGCCATTACACTGCGTGCATGCCAGTCCTTTTCTTGTGCGGCAAACGCATAGTGCACAAGCGCCTCATCAGGTCTCGGTGGGATCTGATGCATATCGGCCGCGTACGCACTGCTGTAGAGGTATCCTAGGCGCGCATGGGCGGTGGCATTCCCATGCAGTGACAGTCGCTCAAAGCAATCAAGTGCGCGAGTGGCATTCGGCGTAACTCCGTGCGTGCCCCAAAAGTAGTGCTCGCCAAGAATCCATAGAGCATCGTCTTGCGCAGGTTGACCAGACGACTTCATAGCAAATGCATCAGACACCATTGTAGCCTCGTCGAGTGGCTCCGAGAAGGCCAACCACTCTAGCAGTCGCTCTGCGTGGGCGCGCTTAGCAAGCAGGTGTGGCTCTGGCTCGACAGGCGGCGCCTCGGTTGTACCAACAAGACGCTGGAGCAAATTTAGCAGGGCTGTGCGCGAGAGACGCTTGCGATGACGTTGTACAATGGCCTGCATACGTGGAGCAAGCGGTGCATGAACCTGTCCCACAAAGGGACCCCACATCGCTTGTTCCCAGCCGTTGGTTACAGGCCAATCGTTTTCTAAATGCGCATTCTGCGCCTTGGCCACATCAAAGTCCCAGTCCGGCCACAATGGAGAGGGTGGGAGTTCGTAAAACGTATGAGCAGATCGAGAAAGCTTAGCGGACGTGTCTGTCGATGCATGAATTAGCCTCGCCAATACGCCCCGCAATGGACCGATATAGGCACCGCTGGCATCATGGGTGTATGAATGGCCGATGCGCCGAGCCCAAGATCCAACCTGTAGCTTTACGTACCCAAAGAGATCATTGGTATGCGGTATGTGCGGCACTTCTGTGTTGGGAAACTCACTCGCGTAGCTCACGAGCGAGCGGAGCAGTTCCAGGGCATCGTTCAGCGCCACTTGTCGATCAGGGTAGGTAGTATTGAAGTAATGTGCAAGGCTGGAAGGATCAGCCCGAAAAATAGTCTCAGAGCTCCAGTGCGTAGCATCTGCATGCGCAGCGACAGCAGCGCACGCCACGATGCCCAGCCACCAGACCCGATACATGGCTCACCAGCACAGATGCGATGCGCCACGACGCATCGTTGTGCGTCGCACGTGACACGCCAAGGCCACCTGGCGAGAAGCTCCCTGTGCAGGCCCTGGGAGCTCTCCATGAGATGTCGGTGTTTGTGAGAGTGCGTGGCCCCACGACGCACGGTGCAGTTTGGCGTCTAGGTCCGCATCATGCCGTGGCCGTTGTGTCGTACCTGTCGCGGCAATGGGGTCCCATCGTATACTGTTCCTTTCCAAGGGTAGGTGGCAAGTCACTGACATGCAGGCGCCAGGGCAAGGCCGACTACTTGGCTACGGTACAATCACGTTTAAGCAAGCAGAAAGTGTTCAGCGTGTTCTTCATGCTGTGGACCAGCGCCACGGACTGCTACGCATCCCCTATGGTGCGCCACTGGAGGACCCGAACGCGATTGCCTGCGCGTCGCTTGCGGACAGCGCGCGTGCTTTTCTGACCTCACCGTCGATCCGTGATAATGTCGCCACCTCGGCGCCGCTAGCGCCAGGCACCAAGTCTCAGATCCCATGCGACCATCTGCTCGTGACAGTCGAGCGCAGCGTGCGCGACCTGCGTGCGCGTAGCCCGCAGGCGAGGGCCGAGCCGTCGCTCATGGAGCAGTTCGATGGGTTTGCCGGTGGACTCGCTCAGCGTGCTGCACACTATGCACGCGAAGATCGACGGCGTGAGCGTCATGGGAAACGTAAGCGACCTGACTAGCTATGGATCGCGTATAGAGCCTCTTGCGCGCTTGTTGCCCACGCGTTGGCCCTTGAACGCCTGGTTCTTGCGCTTACGGCTCATATGCTTGCCAGCATTGCGCGCGGTGCGGCGCTTGGCCGCACGCTCAGGATTCGCAATCGTCTCGAGCAGCCGCGAATGTTTGCGTTCACGACGTTTGTCCATCAGCGTCTGTTTCACATGGGTGTAGGCACGCGTAAAGGCGACGGGCCCCACATACTCCTGGACCATATCCTGCACTTCATTGGCCAATGTCTTGAGGTCCTCGGGCGCCTGTTCATCGTCCATGATGCGCAGGATTGGTGACAAGATGTGCACGAGGAAGCGGCCGATCACTGATGCCTCGAGCTGCGACGTCATGGCAGCGAACCACTTGAGCACGGCTCCTGCGCGCTTTGGTGCCGACTCGTTGGACCGGCCACCATGCTGTAGGCGGGCAGCATGCGACAGTTTTGTAAACAGCCAAGACAAACGTGCAGGCACTAGCGGCCCATCCTCATGTGTGCTGGCTTCGTCCTCAGCTTCGTCCTCGTCGTCCTCTTGCTCGACATCCTCATCGTCGTCCTCGTCTTCCACATGCTCTTCTTCGATACCATCCGCAAACTTCTTGCCCAAAAACACAAGGTTGCGCACCACTTGGAGCGTCAGTGCATCGTCCAAAAAGGGGCTGTACAGCTGCGATACGAGCTGCCGAGCAGAGCGAACCAAGTCACTAGGCGTCCAGGGCTGCTGACTCGCGAAGCTTGCACCTAGCACACGGCATGCCGACACGCGGCACCAAGCATGGGGGAACGTGAGTAGTATGAGCAGAGGCTCTTTGGCAGGCGCCAGGTGCGTCCATACATGCGGATCGCGCTGGACAAGCGACTGCATCGTCTGCAGCGCCTGGTATACGTAGCGCCATGCATCTGCATCGCCCTCTTCTGCGCCTTGCTGCAGTGCCTGCACAATGGCGACACATGCATCTTCAGCTACGCTGCTTTGATCGCGTTCCGCCGCCAGCTCATACACACGCAGAGCCACAGAGGCCAGCTGCTGTGCCTGCGCACTGCCCTGGGCTGTAGCCCAAGCGCGTGTCATTTGCATGAGCGTGGCGCGTTGCGGTGCATGAACGGCACCCAGCAATGTTCTCAGGACCTGTGCGGCCTGCTGGCGGCATGCCGTCGACTCTTCATTCGCAAGGAGCATGACCAGTGCCACAAAGAACAGCTCCGAAAACTGCGACACAACTTCGGTCGAGAACTTGGACAGCACAGCACCAACGAGCTCGAGCACACTTTGGCGCCCACCCTGCTTCTCGTAGCTGAGATGTTTGGCCAGAAACTGCATCTGGCTCTGCAGACGGCCCTGTCCTTGGGGATAGTCCAGCAGGAACTGTAGGTATAACGAGCGGCATATATCACGGACCTGGGCGTCGTGGCTCACCACCAAAAGTTCGGCAACGCGGTCCATGATATCGTAAATCTCAGGCACGACAAAGGCTCGCGATACAATCGCACGCAACAGCGCAAACACACTCGCTTGCGCAACGGGCGTTTCCAGCTCAGGCTCCACAAGAGTGAGTAGCTCGGTGAGCTGCCGGGTCGGCGGCGGAGGCGCACGGCCTTCGCGCAGCACAATGCTCAGGGCCCGCAGCGCGGCCTGGGCCATAGCCGAGTGTAGACCACCAGCACTGCGCAGCAGCACGAGCATCTGTTTCTGCATCACCGGCAGCGCCTCAGCCAGGTTCGGCAGCGGGCACCGAGCCAGAGCGGCAGCAGCTCGTAAGCCACGCTCAATTACAGGCCCGCTCGTCGCATAGAGCGTCTCGCCCACCGCCTTGACGAGTGGAACAAGCCGAGCGACGGTCTCCTCGTTGTGAACATCAAAGCGCGAGCGACGCAGCGCAGTCGTCAGTAGTTCCAGCCCCAGCTCGACAAACTTGTGAGCATTTTGGGTCAGGTACGGCGCACTGGCCAAGGGCTGGGCGAGTGCTTTCTCACCCTTTGCAATGAGCGTGTAGCACAGCACGAGAAAGTCATGTGTGTCAATATGCGTATTGGCGCTGAGACCCGACGCGATACGCCCAAGACACTCGTCCACATGGCGCAGCGTCTTCGTCTCGATGCTTGCTGCGAGCACGCCGCGCAAAGGCAGCAAAAGCTCCTGCACACACTTAGGCTCCGCAAGACGCGCCAGATGCTCAAATGTGTCGATACTCTTGCTTTGGCGTAACTCGCGCACCTTGGTGCGGTATTCGACGGCAGCGCGGTCCTCAGCCGTGAGTCCAAACACGTCCTCCATGGCTGCCTCGACCATATCGCGCACGCCATCGTCCAAGCCTGTGAGTAAGGGCTCATCGCCCGTGCTCAGCGCGACCAGGAGGCTGTGTACCGTATACGCACACACGGCCAGTTGCGGGCCGCGGGTCAGGAGTCGGCGCAGTTCGCGCACAACGCTAGCGAGGTATTCGACTCCGATGGCACGCAGCATCTGCAGCGCCGTCTCGCGGCATGCATCCCGTGTCGACTGCAGCTTGCTGCGTAAGGCATTGGCCAAGGAGGCAAAGACCTTGAACAGCTCCACCTGCTGACGGTCCTTGGGCAAGTGCTGCGCAAGGCGTGCCGCACCGACAATGAGTGGGAGGCGCGCAGGCAGTCGGTCCTCGTCCTTGACTTGAAGCGCCTCATGCAGTGGCGGTAGCACACGCGTTGTGAGTGTAGCGGCTAGCGCCACCTTTTGATCACGCTGCGCGTCTAAAGGCTGTGTCAAGTCTCGCGCGAGCGCCTGTCCGTCGTACGCCTGGTCGTCCGCCAAATCTTCCTCCGTTGCGCCGGTATTGTCGCTGACGTCTTCATTGCAGTCAAAGTGGAACGCTTCGAGCACGCCCACCACACCACGTACATGCAAGCGCTCCGCTGGCGACGTTTCGTCCTTCGCTGCATGCTCCTTGAGCTCGCGCAAGAAGCGGGTGAGCCAGTGGTAATAGTGATTCCATTGCAGCTGCGCGGCCATGCGCCGGATGCACGCCAAAGCTTCGTTGGCCATGTTCATGTCGATACCTCCGCTCTGATTAGGCAACAGGAAAAACCAAGTCAGAGGCAGAAACAGGTCCGAGAGCGTCTTGCTGCGGAGCGCGCCGCTCTCCGCCGCTTGGGCTAAGCGGTGCATGGCGCGGACGCGGCGGTGCGTCTGGATGTGGTATAGGTTGGTGAACACACTCGCCTCGTCATCACCGCCCGCTCGCAGTACATTCAGCTCGGCAAGTGGTGGTACCAACTCGCTCATCTCAGTAACTGTGATGCCGAGCAGCTGGAACAGCTCCTTGCGTACGGCCTCCGAGCGGCTGTGCAGGCGTCGGCGCATGCCTGGGAGCAGCACACGAGTGGCCAGCGACACACACTCAGGATCGTGTGCCTCGCGTACAAAGCGCTGCAGCATCGCTGAGGCATTCGTACGCATCGCTAGCTCGTCGTCGCAAATATAAAAGAGGGCATGGTAAAGCAGAACATGCCATTCGCGAGCACCAATGACCGTTTCCGCATCAAGGATCGCATCGAAGGCGCTCAGGCGCTGCTCCAGGTCTGGCTCATCCACCATCCGCGCGGAGTACGCGTTTAGCGCTCGGACCCATTCCGTGATACGAGTCAGACTCGGCTCAGCCGTCGCAAGCTGCGCAAAGGCCTCCGCATACTGTCCGCGTGCCTGGCGCGAGCGCAGCTCCGAGCCAAGGCGGCAAAACAGGCCATACAGGTCGTCCAGAAAAGCTCCTGACGTACCTGCGCGAGGTAGCAGCAGGGAAAAGGTGCGCAGCAGCTCCGTCTTGGTGCGTTCAGGGATGGCGCGGGCGCTGTGGCGCATGAGTGGCACAAGAAGCTCGACGACCTTGGCAGCAGCCGCCTGTGTCGCAATGTGCGGCGCCAGCAGCGAAAGCACACTCAGTTCCTGGCGCAGAAGATCATCGCGAACATGTAGAGCGAGGGGATGCGTAAACTCAGTGCGGATTGTGTGGCGAACAAGCGGCTGGAGATGCTCAAGCAGAGCAGGCACCATCGGGAGGACAACCTGGTCCCGAATGGCCTTCGCTTCTTCGCCTTCCGCCTCAGCGACGCTAAGCAGGCGCTCGGCCATATCGAGGATGGTCTGTGCGACAGGCGGCTTGATGCTTGTGCTGCTAAGACCAGCATACACCGCAGGCAAAATGGACGTGTCGCTCAGGAAGCAAATGAGTGTGTCACTCTCGCTGATCCAGGTGCGGCACAGTTCCAAGAACGCGGATGGCGCCTGGACACTGTCTTGGGCGAATGTAGCAAGCCGGGGATGGACCAGGCGCGTAAGGATCACGTCGCGGAACTCGGTCCAGTTGGTCCCTTGGCCGTAACGCACAAAGTCTGCGAGGCGACGCAGTGCAGCGCGCCTCACTTCGCGCGCCTGCTCGTCGGTGGCATCGGCTGCATGCGCCGCGAGGCTAACCACCACACCGACCAGGCGGTGCATGCATGGCTGAAGAGCACGTCCTAGGTGACGCAAGACCTCGCCGAGCATCTGCAATAAACCCAGCTGCTTCCGCATGGGCGCCTCGGGCGGTGGCGGTAGCACAAATGGCTGTGTCACGACCTGATCCACAAAGGCCCCCAGCATGAGATCGACCAGCAGCTGCAACTCCTCCACTCGACTCTCGTATAAGGCCGATAGAATGGCCGTACGGCGCGCATGCTGTCCAGCACCGCTTGTCCGCACGCCACGCCGCGAAATCATAAGGCCATACAGCAAGCGGATAAGCACGGGCATGACCTGGGGGCGCATCACAGCGCTGAACTGCTCCGACGTCGCCGAGAGGTCCAGCTGCGAGAGCGTATCGCGGAACTTGGCCGTGTCCAGCAGGTTGCGCAGTTTGTCTTCCATGTGCACAAGTGCAGGCGGTTTCCAGGTCAGCAGGCACGAGAGTGCGCCGCGCTGTACAGTGATTTCCGGCTGCGCACACAGAGCAAGGAAGTGGGTTTGCATGTCCGAGGCCTTGTGCATCCGTGCCGGGTCACGGAACTCGGCAAAGATGGCGAGGAACTGGCGCAGACGTTCCATGCGTGCAATGGTCGGTGCGCGGTCCGTCTCTGGCGCATCTACCAGCGACGCCCACTGCGCAAGCACATGCGACACGAAAGCCTCGCTGTGCTTTTCGGGTAACAAGGCATGCTGCTCATACAACAGGAGAATCTCTGTGGCATAATGCGCGGCATCAAAACGTACGTGCGGCGTCATGCGCGCTTGAAGCGCAGACGCCGCGCGCTGCGCAGGATCCACACCGTCCAAGTGCACAATATGTGCAAGAGTGCGGAGGCGGCGGGTCAGCTGCGGATCATGCAGTTGGTACAGGTCGTCGCGAGCATCGTCATGCGACGGTTCAGTAACATGAGGTACCTCCTCCTCCTCCATCTCATCGCCAGGCTCGGGACCCGCATGCACTAGGGCATCGGCCGCTTGCAGTTCAGCGAAAGAGACGCGCCAGACTTCCTCGCCGATGCGCGCACTCAAGGCCACCAGTGTCTCGCGACTCGCGGCCCATACAGGCTTTAAGTTGAGCTTGAGTGTGCCGATGGCATAACGCACAAGGGCCTGCATCTGCAGGTCGCTACCAGTCAGGGCCTTGCAAGCTTCGCGCTGGGCGTATCGCAGCTTAACATTTCGAGCGGTAACGTTGGCCACATCGAGGGACATCGCTTCGACCTCCGCGAGGAGAGCAAACACGTTGAGAGGCGCCTCTGTTACGAGCGCCAACAGTCGCAGCGCCGCATGTACAATTGCGCGGTTGGGATCAAGCAAGGCACTAATCAGCACAGGCCACATATGTGTCACGGACGGCAGAGACGTCGGTGCTGCAACCGCCTCGGCCAGGTCAGCCAGGGCAGGTAGGACGGCATGGCTAGACACACTGGCCTGCAGCAAACGCACAAAGATGCTCGGCTCACCGTCAAAAAGCACCTGCACACACTCTCGTACATTCAGAGGCGAACGTAACACAGTTACAAGACTCGCGAGCAGTGAGCCTAAGATGCCATCCAAATAACGAGTCGTTGTGGTGCCGGCACCGCTTGCCGCTGCTTGGATGCAGCGCACGAGGAGACGTGCCATGGCCGGTGCAGCGCTGGGAAAGCGGCACGCGAGTGGCACAGCTGGCATGCTCGTCAGAACCTCATCGTCCGTTCGCCCGCTGTCCAGCAGCGAGGCCAGGCGATCTAGGCGCTGCTGGACCTTCTTTTGCGCACGCTTCGTCCATCGCAGCACAGTGGTGGTCGGCGGCGCATCATGCAGCTTGGCGAGGTGCCCTTGGGCATCGAGCTCGGCCAGGAACGCCAGCGCGGCATCTTCCTGCGCGGCCTTGGCATGACCGGCCAAGATCTGCGACGTGGCATCGAGCGCGGTAGGCAGTGCCAGTGCACCATAGCTGTGCCACGCTAGCGCAGGGTCACCAAGAGCGCGGTATACGCCGTCGAATGCCGCCCATGCCACCTCAAACGGCTCGCGCTCGTGACGCGTCGCAAACGCTTGCAAGACCTGCTTTCCAGGCCCTGTCAGGTCCTGTACGCGGGCCAAAGGCATGGACACACATACCAACGACGTGTAAGCTCGGAGTAGCGGCGCATTCGTTGCCGAGGAGTTCCAGACCATGCGAGCATCCAGCTTCGGCAGCCAAGCAAAGAATTGTGCCTTGACGCTGTCGTCCACGCGCGTGCCCTTGCGGGTGCCTAGCGCCGCAGTGAGCCATACCAGGCACGTCGGCAGCTCGGCCAGCGGGCTCTCTGTCGCCCGACACAGCAGCCACTCGAACACTGGTATCATATCGAGCGCACGTGTATGGTGCACCAGGGCTGTCATGATGCGCTCACCCCACCGCTCGATGCTGGAGGCAAACGGTGCATCCCAGCTGAGAGCACATGAAAGAAGTTCGCGCGTCCGCGAATGAAGAGCATGCGCAGCCGTCTTGCAGCTGTGAGCCCACGTCGCAGCAATGCCGCTATCCAGGGCTGGTCCATACGTGTGAGAATCCACACGCATGGTATGTACTAGTACACCCAGCTGCGAAAGCGGCGCCTTGCGAATAAGATGTGCGAGTGCCTCGGTCGCAAAGCGGCGTGTGTGCGAACGGGCCATGGGACGCATGCTCCGCAGCATAGCATCATTCTCTGCACACTGAGCGTCTTCGTTGTCAGTTACAGAGGCGGTTAATGTCTGGTCGGTAAGCAGATCGCGGACAATAGTCCAGCTTGCGACAAGCAATTGGGCGTCCGAGCTGCGGACCATGAGCGAAGATACGGCCCGAAATAGCCACGCTGCGCTGTGGAAAGCGCGCTCCACGAGACGCGCGGCAAGCTCTTCGTCGCCCCGCGTGAGGTTCTTGTCCATCAGAGAGGACGCGCGCAGTAGGGCCGTCAGAAGCGTGGGGTACACAGGAAGGAACTCAGAGCCCAGGTCAAACGCCATACGTGGCACCAGGTCCAAAAGTGCATCCCACGCGAGCCAATTTTGTGGGTCGCGCAGCGTAAGCCCCGCGTCCAGCTCCGCCGCGATCTCGTCGCGGTGGTGCACCAGCAGAACAAGCGATTGTGCCTTAGGCATGACGTTCGCATAAAACGACTGAAATGGCAAACTTAGATTCAGCTCATTCCACTGCTGCAGCGCCGAGCCGAAGGCCGTGCTCTGCAGGTCGGACGTCTCGGTGACAGTGGGGGTCGCTCCTGTTGCCACGGCGAAGGCGCTTGCTGGCGCATCGAGACCGGCCACCTGCAAGCGCGAGGCACCCCAGTTCGTACCAGAGTCTCTTGATAAGTCGATAGTGACATGTTTGAGCCGCTCGTGGAACGACACGTAGCGGTGCGGCGCCGCACTGTCGCCCATCGTAGCGTCGTCCACTGACGAACAAGCCAAGTGGAGCTAAAAACTTTTTTCAGGTCGGCCGAGCCATGGCATCGTGGAGCTGCTGGTCAAGGCGTTGGTCCTTGGCCACCAGAACGCTGCTAGCTGACTATGGACCTGTTTGCTGATACGGCAGATGCGCCGGATGAGCAGTTTTCGATCAACCAGTCATATGCGGAGCGTTACCATCATAACAAACGCCGGGTTGAGCTTGAGCAACTTAAAGAAAAGTACGGTAATGCTCCGGAGGAAGACGAAGACGACTCGAAAGACGACTCAGAGGATGTCACCGAGGACGAGGACGGAGAACAGCTGACTCCCCACATGGATGCTGCAATATTGCGTACACTCCAGCGAATTCGCGAAAAGAAGGACGATCTTTATGACACGAGCAAGCGTGTGTTTGACGACGAGCAGGCAGCTCTAGCAACACGGGCCTTTCCCACGACAGATCACAAGAGCTCCAGTAAGAAGGTGACGCTGCGTGACTACCAACGGGGCCGCATGCTCGAGGCCATGAAAGATACCAGCGACCCAGCCAAGGCCTTCGCCGACGCCACTTCGCGCGAGTCGCCGTCTGACACGCACGCGCAGCCTACGCACAATGAAGAGCAAGAGGCGATTCGCTCCGAGTTCCTCAACGCGGCACGAAACAGCGAAGATGGGGATGGAGACGACCTATTCCAAGTGCGCGCGGTTGACGACAACGACGACAACGGAATGTACCGTCAGGCTCTGTTGGATGCTGTGGACGAGCAGAATGGTGAGAAGAATATACGTGACCTTCTCCGTGATCACACCCACGGTGACGCACGCACACAGGAAAACGAGGATTTCCTGATGAACTATATTCTCAACCGCGGCTGGGTGGACAATGACTTCATACAAAGCAACAGTCAAGGCGCCCAGTCACGCGACTGGGACGCAGAGGCAGCCGATCTTGACTCAGAGGCTTCGTTTGACTCTGCTGCCGATGCGTTCGAGCACGCTTACAACTTTCGTTTCGAAGACCCGTCGCTGGCCCAGAAGGCCTTTGCGATTGAGAGTTTCCCTCGTCACACAGATGACACGATTCGCCGCAAGGACGATCGTCGTAAGAAGGCTCGTGCTGAACGTGCTGAGCGCAAAAAGGCTGAGAAAGAGACCAAGATGCGCGAATTAGATCAACTCAAGGCTCTTAAGCGCCAGGAAATTGCCGATAAGCTGAAACGTCTGCGTGATGTCTCAGGAGGAGACAACAAGATGGACGGCCGTGCTTTCGAAGGAATTGATTTTGAGACTGACTTTGATCCGGAGGAGCACGATCGCATGATGCAGCAGCAGTTTAACGACGATTACTATGCCCATGAAGATGATACAGTGAAGCCACAGTGGGACGACGACATTGAAATTGATGATATCCTTGCCGAGGCGGAGCCAACGACTAAGAGCAAGAAGAGTAGCAAGAAAAGCAAGCACAGTGAGCAACAGAATATGGATGCTGATTATACCGAAGGACAAGATGTGAAGCTTTCAAAGAAGGAGCGTAAGGCACTCAAGAAGAAGGAGAAGAAGGCCAAGAGCAAATCCACGGCCGAAGCAGCTGTGAATGAAGATGAGATGGATGCTGACAAGACGGAGACCGCTATGTCCGAATCTGATCGCAAGCACCGCGCGCGCGAGCTGATGGATCAGTATTACAATCTGGGGTATGAAGATATGATCGGCGATACACCGACCCGGTTTAAGTATGCATCAGTGCCTAAGGAAAACTATGGGCTGAGTGCCGTTGAAATCCTCTTGGCTGATGACGCCGACCTCAATAATGTCGTGGGTCTGCGCAACCTGCAACCCTACCGCCGAAACACCGCTAAACCATCTAATCTGAAGAAGCGACTGAAGCGGTTCCGTGATGAGCTCGACGCACGCAATGCCAATGAAGAACCAGCCGAGCAACCCAAGAAGAAGCGATTGGGTAGGAAGGAACGGCAAAAATTGAAGGCTACACAGGAAGGAACGGAGTCTACTTGAAGTGGAACGTTTCCATATCTTTCATTACCATTGCACCGGCCTCGTTGAGGATTTTGCTCACTTCACGGTACCAATACAGGGGGCTAAGTGTGAACTTTAAAGTATTGATACGCTCCCATGTGATTTGGTACGAGTACTGGATCAAAAGAGTCAGTGGGTCGACACGACCCTCGAAATAGTACCATGTTGCCATCCAGCCTAGATAGCCCAACAGAGTAATCACGATTATGGTCACAAAAATGACAGAGGCCATGGCCCAGAACATTTGCTTGACTTCGTTCTGTTTCATCTGTGCTTGAGTGACAACATCCACGTCGTTCATCAAGTCGCGCTTGACATGCTGACGAACCAAACCTTCGCGCGAGAAGACCCAGTTCTGGTACATATATGAGCGAATATCACGCGAGCTGTTCTGCGATGCAGACATGACGAAGGACGGGAACTTCGACTCATACCAAGTTTCGATTCGACCGAGTTCGACACACCAGCGAACATAGCTTGGATCGTCAGGTGTGATTTTCTTGTGAATGGCCCGTGCAAAGTCCAAGAAAATTCGCGCCACATCGCGTGGGTTCGTAGCGTGAAGAATCAAGCGGACAGCGAGGGACTTGCGGATCTTAACATTTTTCTTGAAAACATCTGCATTGTTCACTAGCTTCTCGAGTGTTGCAATGGCCATGACTTGCGGAGTTGCGCAAAAGTTGAATACACTCTGGTCACGCAGCAAGATCAAATAGTCGAGAGAGTGGGTTGCATGCGTCATCGCATCCAGAAGCATAGACGAGAGGATCTCACGAGCCTTTCGGCCCTCGAGTGTGTCTGTAAATTTAAAAGAACCCGAACCAGAGCGAGTTTCCACAACACCGCGCTGCACTTCGGCCTGGTGTGCAAAGATTCCATCTTTACCCCAGCACTCCTTCGGCCAGAAAGAACGGCCTTCTTCGCAGTCTTCCGCGTAGTCGCGGATGATGTTGGTCTTCTGGAGGAATAGGCCCATGTGATTAGATAACTTCAGTTGGTACCCCACCAAAGGACGTTCAATGTTCGTTTGGACAAATAGACCGGAGAGACCCTCGCCCACAAGACCGGCAACAAAGTGGCAGTATAGGTCGTAGTCTTGCCACTTCTGCATAGTTAGGCCCTTAGGAGAGTTTCCCAGTTCAATGTAAGAGGCCATTCCCGCGCCCATTCGTGCACAAATATCAGCAATGACCGAGCGACAGCCCTCGTTCAAAAGTTGGAATTCACCAATAACCTTATCAAATTCGACCAAAAGCTGGCGGTCTTTTTCGTTGGGGCCGCTTCCTGTGAAATTCCAGCCAGGCTCATCCAGCTTCTTGTAGAAGTCAAGGAGGAGAGGAATCTTGACTTCAGGCTTCAATGTCATGTCATCTTCCACAGTATCAAGACCTCGTAAGACCAGGTAGAAAATGCAAATTACTCGGCTTAGCTCTCCTTTGAGTTCCTTGATCACCGCTGCAAAACTACGGCTAGTTGCGTCCAGGAAAGACCAGCATGCCCGCATGCGCTCCCGGTCCCAGCCACTAGTCTCTGGATGTTGCCTGATGTCATGAACAGGATCACGCCATACTTTGTATGTGATCAAAGCGCGAAGTTCATTGGGATGTGTAACTGCTGTCTTGACGATCTCCATGCTGCACAGGTCTCTCGGTCAGTAATGTCGCATTGCGCTTAAGTCGCCAGGTTGGGGTCTTGTCACGTGGTCAACCCTCACTCTCCAAAAATCTTTTATTGCCGCTCCATTGATCGCATCATGGATTCATTGCTTCAGCCCCCTCTTCGACTGGCTGCTGTTAGTAAGCCGGAACCTACGACGATCGCAGATGCTAGGGAAGATATTGACTCGTTCATTCAAACATTTAAGCAAAGACTTGGAAATACGACGACCTCAGAGTCACAAGATGTTACGAACTCCGGTGGTGTGTTGATCAGCCAATTGATTCAACTCCGGAATGGCTTGACGGAGTCTTCATGAAGTTTAAAACTGCAACATGACGGAATATATAGCTTAAGAAAGGTCATATACCCCTATGGTGGAAAGAAACACTAAATAATTTTGCTTTGTCCATATGTACTTTATCGCTCAAGCTCTTGGGAGGTTTCAGTTTGACTATCTTCTTTGAGCATACTCAAAAATTCTGAATAAGTTAGGTAGTGATCAATACGCACCGTTCCAGTCGTCCATATTTGTGCTTTGTACCCTAGGAGTGGCGGGAACACGAGCTATATCTTGATTGTTCTTATTCGAGAAAAGGGCTTCGTACCAAGAAAGGTGACGAGAATACGGCGCAACAGAGGACTCGGCATCAGACGCAACAGAGCTTTCAAATCCATAATCAGATGGTTTAAGTCCAGCCAAAACCATCTTCTTGCAAATTTCTGGATAGTGTGTTAAGGTCTTTCGACGATCATAGAGCAGCTGGTCACGTACTCCTGTAAGAAGTTCACGCTGGTGAAAAAACTTAAGGTTTCTTTCGTCCCGCTGGCGACGAATGGTGGTGGCATTTAAAGCAAGAGATGTGACGATAGACAAGAGAAAGAGTTGAGGTGCCAACTCACGAACAGACTCATTGCTAAAGAGCCTACGCAGCATGCTTTGAATGAAAGGTGGAGGGCAAACGACCAAACATACAAAGATGAAGTTGAATATCGGCTAGAAAATACAAATCGTACGCATAAGTCAATAATAAACATAACGAATTAGAAAGCATAGAGCTAATATCTGATATTCTATAAAATCGAATTTAAAAATTATCAAATTAATATATAAAATATAATATTCATTTTTGATCGAAAATAAAATTACTAATAGACGAATAGTATTAGTGTAAGAATATGTATCATTATTTAGTAATTTTAATTATATTTAAATTTATATTAAAGTTATTCAGAGAATTTATTGTTTAAATAAAATATAACTATAAATATAAATGTATATTCGAAAGTCATTTTAATTTATGGTTTAGTTATTTTATTAGTTATCTTTATATCATCAGTAAAATTTATTTTTGATAATTTATATGAGGTCTCTTTTAAAACTTCTTTTATTAACTGAGTGATATTTATTCTGTAATAATTATGAAGTACTAGCAAATATTGGGATTTGCCACCAATCCGATTCCCCCAAAGTGGAGGTGTTGTTCGAGAACCGATTGGCCCGGTCTTTGGGTGTCGATGCCTTTGACAGTTCCTGAATATTTGAACTTGCAACGTCGCTTGCCTGTGGCAGTTGTAATACATTTTGTGATCCAATTGTAATTGAACCCCCCATTGTAGACGTCATTGTACTGTAGTTGGCATCAGCCTCAGAGTCTTCACAAACACTGGGGGCATCGATCATGTCCATGATAGCCGCCTCAATAGTGACGGGCGCCCACAATCGCCTGTCACCAATCGGTTTGTCATCGATAGTTGGGAGGTCAATAAAGGAAGTTTGTTTGGCAAATGCCTCTTCAATTGATAAAAGGTTCGACCAAGCTTTCTGTACAAACTGGAGCGGGTCGCTCTGCGCAAGTTCAATGTTTCGCCGGTGATCTGCCATCATTATATCAAGAGTCTTGCCCACAGCGTCTGCGGTTTGTTCGGACGAAAGTTCCATTCCAGGAGATCCAGCTCCTGTTGCTGACTTTGTGTCGCTGCTCGTAGGCCTTGGTATATCAAGCGTCCCTCTCGAAGCTTTCGATGAGGAAACATCCCCGGATGTTTGAGAGTTGCCCCGAGACTTACTACTGTCGAACTTATGTTGGTTGACTTCCAAAGACCCTTGCTGATTCGACTCAAGTTCCTTCTTGGCCTTTTTGTTAGACTCGGAAAATACATTGGAGCGTCTGGGATCGTCAGAAGCATTTCTTCCCTGCGTTCCCTTTTGCTGAGAAGCCAAAGTTTTCGCCATAATCCGTTGTGCCAGCTTGTCATCATTCATTCGCACGAACCCAATGCAGCGTGTCATCTGGATCTTTAATTTCTCAAGATCTGAGGGACGCAATATGCACTGTCGTTTAGGAAGAAGAGCCAACTGATCCTCAAACATGTAGACCATAATCTTGACTCGTTTTGCAGGTTCGATATTTCTAGACATGGCCAAGAATGCAGGTAAAAGCGCTGACACAGTGGTTTTCAGAGGAATCAGTTTTTCCATTTGTTGTAATACACTTGATTTTTCGCTTTCTGTCATGGATTCAATGACTGGTAACTTGGGACGAGAGACATTTAAACTCAGTTCGATTTTGCGTATAAGACCTTCTGCATCCTCCAGCATTTTTGGCGTTACAACCAGAGGTTGCCAACGCTGCTTATCAGGAGATTTGTTGGTGCTTCGCTTCGTCGGTTCAGTTGCTCTAGTTTGAGGGGGGGCGGGAATATGTTGTTGGGCAGGGGTCCAGCTTTGCGAGCCAGCCACATTTTGGTTTGAACTCTGTGGCATGGCAGGGGTGAAAGGCTTGGATTGTTGCTGTAGTAGCTGTGCCATTTGTTCAGGGCTCAGATTCAATGAACCAAGCTGCTCTTTGGTAAAAGGAAATGATACACGCGCAGTAGTTTGTTGCGCCTGTGGTTGGGAGCTTTGTTGCGAATGCATGACGGCATAGTTAGGTGGTCGAGGCTGCGCTGTTTGGGGTTGGGCCATGGATTTTATCGCATTTCCTTCAGTCCTTAGGTTTGAATGAACCATTTGAGGATTACTGCGGCCCATGGAAAGCTGATGCAGCATCGCACGGTTCCAAACGTCCTCAAATAGCTCCAAGTAGTTTTTATAGATTTGAGCAAATTGAAGAACAATAGAAGCCTGTTGGGTGGGATTCACCGAGATAAAACCGAGTGCAATGGATATAGAAGACCACATATTCTTTTTTGTCACAGCTTTGCTACCGCCCAGAGACTGTACCGTGGAAAAAAGTTGGTACAAGTCTACTTCGCGGCCATCCACGACAGGGGCAGGTAAAGATTTACCGTGGCGCCGCATCAATTCTGAAAGAGTACGCTTAAATTGTTCAGGCGTGATCGAGATATTGGATGCCTGCGCATGTTGAACAGCGGGCATCGGTATTGTAGGCTGGGCTTGAGGCATAGACCCTGACTGGTTACCAAGGACATTTGTCCCTAATTTCGAAGGTGTAGCATTCGCAAAAGTTGATGGGGTAAAGGTGGACATGTTTTGCGCCGTGACAGATGGCGTCATGTTGGAAGGACCAGGAGATGCAGGCATCTGGACTCCTTGCGAGATTTTTTGCAACAAAGTAGTCTGCAAGCGTGTTAGTTCTTGATGCGCTCGCTGAAGTGATGATCGTTCAGCATCACTCATGGGAGAAGAAAGTTTTTGCTCAATCTCAGATATACGTTGTTGGATCTTGCGCACGAACTGTACTCCTTGCGCTACATTGTTGGACTGGTTGACTTTATTGGTGTCCATATTCGTACTCATAGGACTGTGAGTCATGGGAGCGATAGGGTTCTGTCCTGGCATAGCCATGGGCTGATTCATCTGTATCCCATGAATATTCTGGGCCAGCGTATTGTAGACATTTTGGGATGATCCACTGGCAGATATGGCTGGATTGGGAGATAGAGGTTGGGAGGCCTGCATAGGTGGCGCTGATGACGACTGCTGCTGGTCCAAGATAGAACGAAGCTATGATGAGACATGAGAACATACCTGAGAGAGCTGTAAAGGAGTAAGAAGCCCAGCTTTAGCTTTGTTGATCATGTCGGTAAGAATCGTGTTCATATTCTGTGTTGGCATGGGCTGCATAGTAGGCATGGCTTGTGTTTGAGTCAGCTGGGGTATCTGGGAGGCTGACGTGAATTGGTTGGATACTTTCATGGCCGACTGACTTGAATTAGCGCTGGCCTGACCTAGCAGAGATTGAATTTGTTGAGGTGTCAAACTATTAAGAAAGTCTTGTTGAGGCTTGGGTAGGGATGCTAAGCCAGACTGCTGGACTTGATATGCTTGCTGTGCCTGCATTTGTTGTTGCTGTTGCTGTTGTTGCTGTTGCTGTTGTTGCTGCTGCGCAAGTTGTGCTAGCTGTTGTTGAGCCGCGCTCGGAAATGTCCCAGGAGGAGCGTACGACATTGCGATCCCAGTCGTACTCACGGCAGAAGATGCAGGACGTTGCAGTGGATTACGGTGGGACCAATGGCAGTACTTGCTCTGATAGGGCGGGGCTGCTCCACATCTCCAGGATGCAACCCATGAACCCAGTGTACTCGGCCCAACGACAGTGATAATACCTGGGAGGGGAGAGAGGCAGAACTACATGAGATATAAGTGTACCTATAATAATTGGTATAGAATGAGTGTAGTAACGTTTCAAGCAAATGAACATGTGCGGCCAAAATTACAAGGTTTGTTCGAGCTCAGAAGTTATGGCATCATCCTCCGCTTTAGAGGCCGGTTCTTCTGTCACATCCGATTCTTTTGGCTCCATTTTCTCTGTGCTTTCCTTTGCTTCTCGCACGGGGTCGATAGCGCTCGGCTTGACTGGCGCATCTCGCATGTCGGCCTCAAGACGTTCATAGAGAATACTGTATTGTCAAATTTCTGTACGTACGCTCGCTCCAAACGCAGACGCTGAATATTTCCCTTGATGCGCAGGGTGGTGGCTTGTAGCTTGTCATTTTCCTAGGGTGAGTACTGGTGACACTAACCATTTCGATCTCGTATACCTTCCGCTTTAGCTCCTTGTACTTTTGGCGATACTTGATCGCATCACTCTGGATAGCAACACTAGAAAGATATGCCTTAGACTTTTGCTTCGTAGGGGCTGACGCGTTTGTTGCAGCACCTGTAGCCATGGTCGTTGCAAGCAGAACGACCGGGGTAGGTGGGCAGAGGAAGCGTCACGTGGCACTCCACGTGAAGGATGGCTCGGCGCCGACCTTCTTCTTTACACACTGTCGCGCGATGTCGAGCGAGAACCAGGCCGGTGCCGCTGCCCCGGAGCAGCTGGTAACCTCTGTGAAGAACATGAGCGTAAAAGAAAAGCCTGAGAAAAAGTCCAAGGGTGGAAATGTCACGACTGGGCCCCTCGAAGTGCGTTACAACGAGGCTCTAACAACAGTTCGAACCACGCCCCGCGTACTTCCAGTCACGTATTGACATGTTTGAGCGCGTCAAGGCGGAGCAAGATGCTGCTCGTGCAGCAGCTGAGAGGAGTCCTATCGTGATCACGATGCCTGATGGCTCGACACGCGAGGGCACGAAGTGGGAGACGTCGCCCATGGATGTCGCTAGGCAAATTTCCAAGAGCCTCAGTGAGCGAGTCGTGATTTCGAAGGTGAATGGCCAGTTGTGGGATTTGGAACGTCCTCTGGAGGATAATGTGACTTTGGAGCTGCTCGATTTTGAGCACCCGGAGGGCAAGCGTGTGTTCTGGCACTCGTCGGCGCACGTTTTAGGTGAGGCGGCTGAACGCCACTATGGCTGCCACCTGTGCATTGGTCCGCCAACAGATGACGGATTCTACTACGAGATGGGTATGGGCGACAGTGGTGATCGTGTCGTCAAATCAGAGGACTTTGATCCGCTGGAGAAGCTCATGAACCTCGCGGTAAAGGAGAAGCAGCCTTTTGAACGTGTGGTGATGACCAAGGAGCAGCTCTTGGAAATGTTCAAGTACAACAAGTACAAGGTGCACATCATCAACTCCAAGATTCCTGACGGTACCTCGACGACTGTCTATCGCTGCGGTCCAATGATTGACTTGTGTGTGGGACCGCACATTCCTCATACAGGCCGTATCAAGGCGCTGACTGTGTTGAAAAACTCGGCTTCCTACTTCCTGGGTGACCAGAAGAACGACTCGCTGCAGCGCCTATATGGTATTTCGTTCCCCGACAAGAAGCAGATGACCGAGTACAAGCATTTTTTGGCCGAGGCTGCGAAGCGCGACCACCGACGAATTGGCAAGGAGCAAGAGCTGTTCATGTTTCACGAGCTGAGCCCAGGCAGTTGCTTCTGGCTGCCGCACGGTGCACGCATCTACAACACGCTCCAGGAGTTCATTAAAAGCGAGTACCGCAAGCGTGGCTTTGACGAGGTGATCAGCCCGAACATGTATAATTCGAAATTGTGGGAGACGTCGGGTCACTGGGCCAACTACAAAGACGACATGTTTACGCTGCAGGTGGACAAGGAGACGTTTGCATTGAAGCCGATGAACTGCCCTGGCCACTGTCTCATGTTCGGGAGTCGCGACCGCTCATACAAGGAGCTGCCGATGCGCTTTGCCGACTTTGGCGTGATCCACCGCAACGAGGCGAGTGGTGCACTGAGTGGTCTGACGCGAGTGCGGCGCTTCGTGCAGGACGATGCGCACATCTTCTGCCGGGCTGAGCAGATCGAATCAGAGATGATCAACTGCTTCGACTTTCTGCAGACCGTGTACGGCCACTTTGGCTTCTCGTTTAAGATGGAGCTGTCGACGCGCCCTGAAAAGTTCCTGGGTGATATTGCCACCTGGGACGCAGCTGAGCAGCGCCTTGCGGCTGCCCTGGACAAGTTCGTGCCGGGTAAATGGGAGCTGAACCCTGGTGATGGTGCCTTCTATGGTCCCAAGATTGATATCACCATTAGTGATGCTATGCGCCGCCAGCACCAGTGTGCTACGATCCAACTCGACTTTCAACTGCCGCAACGCTTCAACCTGGAGTACAAGACGCCGCAGGGCGCTGCGGAGGCAGAGAAGCACACCGAGCGTCCCGTCATGATTCATCGTGCGGTCGTTGGCAGTCTGGAGCGCTTCATTGCCATTCTAATTGAGAACTTTGCGGGTAAATGGCCTTTCTGGCTCTCGCCTCGCCAGGTACTTGTCGTGCCTGTGACGCAGAGCGTGTACGACTATGCGCAGGAAGTGACAGGTCTACTGTGGGACCAGGGCTTCTTTGCGGATGCCGACCTGTCGGACAACACGCTGAACAAGAAGATCCGCAATGGCGAGCTCGCGCAGTACAACTTTGTGTTTGTCGTGGGCCACGAGGAGAAGGCTACCCGCAGTGTCAATGTGCGCAACCGTGACAATGACCCGAATGTCGCCAAGGGCAAGACCGATACGATTGCACTGGACGTGGTGCTTGGCAAGCTGCAGCAGCTCAAGGCGACCCGTGCTCTCGCGAATCAGCTTCCGTAGGTTGGATAACGAAGAGGTAAACCCATGCGCGCGCGCTCGGACCGGTCCGGTCTGCCCATAGGCATGGCCGCGGGGAGCACTGTCCGAGGGGATGCAGCAGTGGGTTGTGGCGCAGGGACGGCCTTCTCAGGCCACACATAACCGACGGCACCAAACACAAAGTGCTGCACCACGGGGCGCTTCATAAGGCACTCGGCATCGTACATCTTGATCATGCCCTTGTATACCTTTGGCCAAGCCGCTACATTCCGCGCAATGTCGTAGAGGATGGGCGAATGTTCTTCAAACGGGCCGCGCTTTAGCGAGTGGATGCGCGCCAGGGATGAGACGTAGAGATTCGGCTGGGGGCTCACCGTGCGGGGTAGCTGGTACGCCAATGTATCCGACGGCGAGAGCTTGGGACCAGTGCGCGGCTCGCGTCGCTTGGAAAAAGGGTATAGGGCCGCATCGGAAATCTCGGCGGGGCTCAGGGCCGAGTCGCGAAGCTGCGCCGCGCCTAAAATATATGGCACAAAATGGAAGTCATCGAGGCCCCAGACACCATGGCTGCCCGCTGGCTCGAGTGCATAGCGGTCCTGAAGGTGCCACGTTACGCGCAGATATGCAGGAAGCACCTCCAGCGCAAGGCGCGTTTCCGTCTCCTCGGTCGCTGGAAGCACTCCGAGGCGCACCAGGAAGCCGAGCCAAGCCACAAAGTGGAGTTCATGGCCGGTGCCATAGTCAATGCGCACGAAGGAGCCAAAGGCATCGAGCAGGTAGGGTACCAGTTCGCGTATATAGTCACGGTAGGAAGAGGGAAGGAGCGCTTCGTGCAGCACTTCGACCCGCTCGGCGAGGCGCGCACCCCAAGTGCGGAACGCCAGGTTGCCAAAACGCTGAGGCCCCGCAAGAGGTGCGATCTCATCGGTCCATGTATCGAGCTCGATCAGCAAGGTTAGGACGCGATTTATGCCATCGCTTGGGTTGTGTGCGGACCGGTCCCATGGCACGAGGCGCGTAGGCTGGCCGGTGCACGCATCGGCCAATCGCATCAAGAAGAGCAGGAGGGTATGATGGGCGTCGCTTGTTTGCCACACGCCCATATCTTCGTCACTCAGGATGAATTTGCGTGGCACAGTCGCTCGCGAGCGTATGGCGGGATCGTCCGCATTGAGGCATGGGAGGGGCGGCAGCTCGCCGGTCTGTGTGTCCAACATAGCAGGTGGCTGCGAGGCGCCAAAGTCTTGCCACGTGCCAAATGGCCCATTTCGATGGAGCGCCCGTTCGCAACTCTCATGTGGCTGCGTTGGGGCATAGCTCGGCAGGCCCTGCACACGTCCAGCTGTGTGCTGGCGAAAGGCAAGACAAAACCTGCCGTCAAGGCGCCTTCCCTGCTGCCGAATGATTGGGAGGCAGTGATTGGCATCGAGTGTCATGCGCAACTCTTGGCGAGCACGAAACTGTTCAGCGGTAAGTGATTCGTGCTTATGCATCCAGCCGCGCCGCCACCAACCTTGGATGCCGAGCCCAATACATGCGTTGCGCCCTACGATGCTGGATTTCCCGGCACGCTACCCAGTCTGCAGCCTGCTGCGGTCACCGCTGCAGTCAAAGCGGCACTGGCGCTGCGGTGTCACATTGTACCCATGTCTCTATTCGACCGCAAGCACTACTTCTATGCGGATCTTCCGTTTGGCTACCAGATTACACAGAAACGCCGTATGTACTCGCTGCTCACGCAGAACCTTTTGCGCACACGGGTGTCGTATCGATTAGCTATGGGGACGGCTATCTTTCCTCGGAGGACGCGGCGCTGGACGTGCCCATTGAGCAGCTGCAGCTCGAGCAGGACACGGGCAAGTCCATTTACGCCGCTACTGATTCGGGGAGTCATATCAGCCTGCTGGACTACAATCGTGCGGGCGTTGCCCTCGTCGAGATTGTCAGTGCGCCGGTGCTGCGCACGTCCGAGCAGGCTGGTGCCTACGTGCGGAAATTGCGGCAGCTTCTGCGGTGCGTGGGTGCATCCAATGGCAACATGAATGAAGGATCTCTGCGCTGCGATGCCAATGTATCGGTACGTCGCAAAGGCGAGCCGCTTGGGACGCGATGTGAGATCAAAAACTTGAACAGCGTCAAGTTCATGATGCATGCGCTGGGTACGTGCGTCGCGCTAATGTATCAGACTATGAGATCCAGCGGCAGTACACTCTATTAGCTCGTGGCGAATCTGTTGTACAAGAAACGCGCGGCTTTGACGAGGCGAATGGCACCACATATGCCATGCGCGACAAGGAAGCCAGCTTAGACTACCGCTTCATGCCGGAGCCAAATGTCGGCCCACTGCGGATTGCCAAGGAGCGAATCGAGGCGGTGCGCGTGGCGCTACCCGAACTTCCCGATGCGCGCCATGCGCGCCTGAGCGACCAGTATGGTCTATCGATGCGCGACATTAATGTGCTGATGCGTCTGAATGCAGAGGACGACACAACAGACCCCTTGGACCAGGAGGTCAAGCACGCTGCCTATGCGCATGTCCCCAATGCCGTGGACTACTTTGAGGTCCTCGTTCGGATGGGCTGTGTACCCCAAGCCGCAGCAAACTGGACTATCCATCTGCTACCGAAGCATCTGGGCGCCGTGAACCTGCCGTTCTCCCTCAACCCACTTCCTCCGGTGGTCGTCGCGGAGCTAGTCCACATGATTGACGAGGAGCTCATTACGCGTATGTTGGATGACTAACACGCAGAATTTACTGCCCAGAGCTTATTGCGCGAGTTTATCCAGGCGCGCAGCTTTCCCATGACCCCATCTGGCGAACTGGCCCTGCGCTCGCACGTCCAAGCGCATGCCTTGCACCGCTTGCAGCACGAGGAGCTAGCACCGCTGTGTGCCGACGTGGTCGCCCGCTTCCCCGATGAGGTCTCTGCGGTTCAAAAGGGCAAGGAAAAGGTGCTGATGCGTCTCGTAGGTGAGACGATGCATCTCGCTGACGGACGTGCCGACCCGGCGCAGCTGACCGCGGTGCTGCGTCAGGAGGTGGCCAAAGCGTAACACGTGACATAGTTTCCTACCACGATGCCCGGGCTATCCGCCGAGGAGCTGTTGAAGCGTGCCGAGAAGAAGGCGACGTCGTCTGGCGGCTGGTTCTCCTCGAAAAAAGGCAACAAAGAGGAGGCCATTGAACTGTACAAGGAAGCTGCCAACAAGCTGCGCGCGGACACCCGCATGGACGAGGCGGGCGTGGCACTCTTGAAGGCTGCGGAACTTGAGGTCGAGACGGACGAGAAGGACTTTGCTGCGAACACCTTCTTTGATGCGAGCAAGTGCTTCCGCATGAGCCGCCCTGACCGTATGTGTCGAGTACTCACAGACAGAGGCTGTGATGGCGATTGGCCGCTGCTCCGACCTGCTTGTGCAGCGTGGTCGCTTCCGCCAGGCAGCGGACCGCCAAAAGTCCATGGCCGAACTGTACCGCGAGGACCCGAACCGTCTTGACCAGGGCCTTGCCGCGTACGACCGCGCTGCGACATGGTACCTACAGGAGGGGGCAACAGCGTACGTGCTACTGACCTGACCTCAGCACGGCGTCTGCATGTCAGCGCGAGGCAGCGCAGCTGGCGATTCAGCTGCAGCAGTACCCCCGCGCCATCGAGCTGTGGGAGGCTGTCGCTGCTGCGAGCCTGAACAGCAACCTGACCAAGTACAGTGTCAAGGAGTACTACCTTAATGCAGGTCTGTGTTACCTGGCGATCCCCGACCTGGGCGCTGCGACTCGCGCGATGGCGTTCTATGCGCAGCAGGACCCGTCATTTCCCAGCACGACCGAGGCGCAGTTCCTGCATGGCATTCTGGAGGCCTGCGAGCACAGCGATCTCGAAGCGTTCGATGCGCGTGTGCGTGACTTTGATCGCATGCGGCCGATCACTGGCTGGCGCGCTACGTTGTTACACACGGTGCGCAACACGGTGGCCGATGGCCCCGACCTTTCGTAGTCTGTACTACAGGACATCTTTGAGCGACTGCTTCGCACTGCCCCGCTTCGCTGGCTTCTTCTGATCGGGCGAGGGTTTCCAACCGATCTGTGTCAGTGTTGGGCGACGCACCATGTAAATTTGGGCATAAGTAGCGGGAACGTGCTCCTCGGAGCCGTGCAGGGCCTGGTAGGTAGCAGCAGCAGCAATGAGTGTATCGCGGTGCAAGAATGGCCGGCGGTTGATCACTGCATTGCTCTCGCCCATGTCGCGCAGATCCTGCACAAGCTCAAACATACTAGGGTAATTCACCGTGAGCTCGTCAATGTCAACGGTCTGCAGCGTAAAGCCTGCGCGAGTGAGCAGAGACGACACGTCCTTGGTGTCTGTCATGGGCGAAACATGCACGGACAGACCGCCCTCTCGCTCCTGCTCAGCCAACATCATACTCGTGCTTCTGTAAGTGGCAGCCACGTACCGCAGCTCGAAAAGCGTTTCGCCACCCAGCATGTACCCAAGGAACACGCCATCCGGTTTGAGCACACGCTGAATCTGGATGAGCGCGCCAGGCAGGTCGTTCGTCCAGTGGAGACTCCCGGGAGCGATGACGCAATCCAGCGAATTCTCTTCGAATGGCAGCCATTCCTCGTCGATAACTTGGCGTTCGATCTTGTACGGGAACTGCGCGTCTAGATGGGCATCGCGGTACAGCATCGCCTCACTCATGTCGCACATAATCAGCTTTTCCAGGCCGGCACTCTTAGCATCTAAGTGGTGCCGCAGATGGCCTGCACCCGCGCCCAGCTCGACAATCACAGGGAACGCGCGCTTGATATCCTGCTGTGAGACGGTTCGAACGCACCTGCAGACGCTCTGCCAGGCTCATGGCGCCCATGTCGCGCACATAATCGGTCACGCGGGACACCTCACCACGGTGGCGCTCGTCCACATAGGCCGTGCCGCTCTCATCCACGGGGCGCCGCAAGGCCGCGCGCGAGCGCTGCATACGCTTGGCCTCGCGATCAAAGATCATATATGGCGAATTTGGCGCAGGGGCTGCTTGCTTGCGCGGCAGTGACATGGTCATGCGGCGCACGCTGCGGCCGAGCGCCAGTGACTCCATGGCCCACTGGCTATGGCGCGTTGCTCCTCGGATCGCCATGGTGTCTGACCCGATCCACGCCCGATGTGGGAGAGGCTCGCTGCCACGGTGCTGCCACCACCTCCACACTTTCCGCATGGACGGAGCTGGCGAAGTCCTGGGCAGCACGGTCTTGGCATGCCTTGCCGAGGATCTGGCGCCCACGGAGGCGTATGAGCGCATTGCAGCTGTGGCGCCAAAGCTAGGGACGCAGTCGTTGTATTCATGCCTGTCAGGTACGTGTGATCCTACTTACTCAGATGTGCTCGTCCGTCTTGCGCTCGGATCACGGCCGCCGCCGCCTCTGCTATTCACATATATCGAGACCATGTGCGTGTACCGGAGCCCAAAGATGTTTGCAGAAGAGTACGACGAACGTGTAGTCGTCTTGAGCCTACTCACGCAGCTCTTTGCTTTCAAGCCAGCGGATCATGTGGCTGTGGATACCATTGCGCATCTCATCCTAGAGGCTGGCGGTTATGCGCAAGTCCTGGAGCACCTACCTACGAAACAGCTTATTGATGCTTTTGGACCATCTACATGTGATTTTTGGCGCGCAGCTCTTCGTCTCGTGGGCGATCCGGGTGCGGCCGGTGCACAACTATTTGTGAGGCTTGTCCATGGCGCTGTGCGCGATGGATGGCCGCCTGTGCATGACGAGGACGCACTTGACGTTCTTCTCAGTCAGATTCAAGACGTGGTTGTACGGATGGACGGGACACACACTGACAGCGATGCCGTGCGTCACGCCCTAGTGTCGCTCCAGCAGGGCGTGACAGCTTCCGCCGACGACCTGTTTGACGACGACGTGTCCGCCACACCGACACCCAAAGTCTGGGGGTCATATTTTTTCTTCTCGTACACGAGAGCGCTTATGCAGGCCTGGCGCGAGTCGGACGGCCGCAACCGACGTGTTCCACCGCAGGCTCCGCACCCAGGGCCAGACATGGTGCTTCTTGTGCATACACTTGCTAGGCTGGATATGGACTGGTCTCGAAAGGGCTCCGCAGCGTTGGGATTGCTTCAGCTGCGCTCGGCGCGGGCATCATCAACGAATGAGGAAGCGGGTTGCGACACGACTCTCGTCTTTTTGCACGAGCTTATTGCTGCCACGACTATTTGTGCATTGCGCGAACTTGGCGCGGACCCTCGCGCTCGTACCGCTCAGGCATGGCGCCATGTATTTGGTGGTGTAGTACGTGTGCGAAACTGACCACAGATGCCCCCTCTGGCCGTATTATTGCAGCAGCATGCGCCTCCTACGAGCGATTCGCTCTCAGGGCGGGATGTGCTAGCGGCTCATTTCGCTTTGTACGAGCCGTTCCAGGAGTGGATGGCCCTGGACCGCACTGCTACTCAGACGCTTGACGTTCCTCCGCTGGCAGAAGCGATGCACTTGTGTTGGAATGCATGGACGCCATTCAAAACTGACGACCTTCTGGCATGTGCCTCTTCGGCTGTACAGGCCTACGGACAGTCGGTTCGGACATGCTTGGACGAGGCGCCACAGCGAATGGACAGCCTGGTGCCTCAAGCCTTGGCAAATGCATCGCTGCAGTACATGCTGGCGACTGAAATCCGCCGCGTTCTTGCTTTGTGGATGGAAAAACAGGCAGACATGCGACTAGTCGTGGCACTGTGTCGCTCGTTAGAAATTCATGTCCCGCTGGCTCAAGACATGCTCTTTCTGTACGTTGACCCCCATGAGCTGTGCCAAGCACTGGAAGCGGCCCTCTCACGCATGCCTGCGTCGCTGTGGGTAAACGCTGACGAACTTGCCTCGACCGGACGTGCCATACTCTTCTTGGCCCTAGTCGCCTCACATTGTACTCAAGCGGTGCCATCCGTGGGCGAGGCGCGTGCATTCTTCACGCTGGATGTGTCTGTGCCTGCACGCGAATCTCTTGCTCCGCCGACGCGCGAGCTGCTGGATCGGTGGTGCTGCGAGCTGACGGCAGGTCAAGGCATCTCTGATACGCTGCTTGCGGCCTCGCCCCCGTGGACCATGTATTCCCTTGCGCCCATCGTGCTGGCACAGCTTTTGAATGCACACCAATACACGATGATTGACACACAGACCTTGCACTCGGCCGTGTCCTACTTTCTCCAGGCGCCACTGCGCCATACCCTACATACAACGCTGCGATGGCTTGCTAGCTACACCCACCAAACCCACGTCCGTGCCTACTATGCTTCACATCTTCACGCTCATGTATGCACCTGCCTCGATGTCCTACAAATCCTGCTCCTCTCTGACGCCTGCTGTCCCCTGGTGTGCACGCTTGCAATGCCCGTTGTGCTTCCGCTGCTTCGGTATGAGCAGCTGGCAACGATACCCGGTACCGCCGGAAACACCCTGCGTACCTGCTGCCAACTCCTTGAGGCGAAGTATGTACACTCCCGTGCTGCGCCCGCCACCTGGCTGGCTCACGCCCTGAGCAGGGAGGAGAGCCGTGCCTCTCTCTGCCAATGGGTGGCGACGACTAGCTCTGCTGCGGCGCACGATACCACGACGGCACATACCTGGCTCTCGCTACTACAACATACAATGCCTGACGACACGTGGACGGTCCAACTCCTTGGCACGGCCCTGGTTCTTGCACCGCCTCCGGCAGGGGCGGCGCCCGTGCCCCTTGCCCTCGTAAGATTTGTGCTATCTCGCTGGGACGCAGCGTGCGCAAGCCATGACACCATTCAGAGAATGGTCGCTGTGCTCAGCATGAGCATGGCCTTATCACAACAGCTGCCGGGAGGCTATGAGGCGGTGCAGAGCTTACTGTATAGTTTCTCGGAAGGAGCGCTCACCAAAGCGCTTCGTGACGCACTGTAGGGTGTGCTGCGGCATTATGCAGCCTCCACTGTTTTTTTTTTGGGCACACGGGCCCGTTCCGACGCAGGACGCACTGACGAACAAATTTCCTTGTCTACGAACAACCATGCCAGAGAAGTCTATTAAGAACCAGATCGAATGGTTTGCCTCCCTGAACCCTATTGAGGAGAAGATAGGCAACCAGTTTCTGCGGAAGACGTATGTAGGATCTTATGTGGGTTCTTACGTGCAGCTCTATCATTGCGACCATCGGTCCTAAGACCAACAATGTGCCAATGCTGCACAAACTCCGCGATGCCGGCGTGAATATCAGTATGTGGAAGACTACTAACTGAAAGTCCGCCTGAATGCGAGCCACGGTAGCCACGAGTACTTCCAGAGCGTCGTGGACAACTGCCACCAGGTGGTGCGCGAGGCGCCCGGCCGCCCTCTGGCCATTGCAATGGACACCAAGGGCCCCGAAATGCGCACGGGTGTGATGATCAACGGCGAGGATATTCCCATCAAGGCAGGTCATGAGTTTATCGTGACCACTGACCCTGCCTACGAGCAGAAGTGCAGCGACCAGTACCTGTACATCGACTACCTGAACCTGGCGCAGAAGGTGGAGCCGGAGCGCATCATCTACATTGACGATGGTATCCTGGCTCTGAAAGTGCTGAGCGTTGACGGCACCAATGTGCATGTGCGCACCGTGAACGATGGCGTGCTCTCGTCGCGCAAGGGTGTGAACCTGCCTCTCACTGAGGTGGACTTGCCCTCCGTGTCGGAAAAGGACAAGAAGGACCTGCTGTTCGCCGTGGATCAGGAGCTGGACATGGTGTTTGCGTCGTTTATCCGCAGTCGCCATGATATTGAAGAGATTCGCTCCATCCTTGGCGAAAAAGGCTCGCACATCCGCATTATCGCCAAGATTGAGAACCACCAGGGTCTGGTGAACTTTGACGAGATCATGGAAGCCGCTGATGGCATCATGGTGGCGCGCGGTGACCTAGGTATCGAGATTCCTGCTCCTCAGGTGTTCCTTGCGCAGAAGATGATGATTTCGCGCTGCAACATCGCGGGCAAGCCTGTCATTTGTGCTACGCAGATGCTCGAAAGTATGACGAAAAACAACCGTCCGACGCGCGCCGAAGTGTCGGACGTGGCGAATGCTGTCGTGGATGGTGCGGACTGTGTCATGCTCAGTGGTGAGACGGCGAAGGGCAGCTACCCCGTGGAGGCTGTGAAGATGATGGCTGAGACGGCGTACTTGGCTGAACAGTCGCTCTCATACCAGGCTATTTTCACGCAGATGCGCAGCTTGACGCGTAGCCCTACGAACACGATTGAGACCATTGCCCTGGTCGCTGCGTCGGCAAGTCTTGAGCAGCGGGCTGGTGCCATCCTGCTCATGTCGACGTCGGGTCAGACTGCGCGTCTTGTGAGCAAGTACCGCCCCCCCTGCCCTATTCTGATGGTGACTCGTAACCTATACACGGCGCGCAGCTGCCACCTGTACCGTGGCACGTATCCGTTCCACTACCCTCGTCCTCACATTGAGGACCCATCCCGCTGGCAGGAGGACGTGGACAACCGTATCAAGTTTGGTCTGGCTGAGGCTCTGAAGCTCAATATCGTCAAGAAGGGTGACACTGTGATTGCTGTGCAGGGCTGGCGCGGTGGCAAGGGCTACACTAACTCGCTGCGTATTCTCACTGTGCCCACTACTACAGAAGGCTATGTTCTCGAGAACACTGATGCGCCTTCGTCGTGATTCTACTCACGGGTGTAGCTCATGTAGGAATTGGAAGTCAAAGGCAGTGGTCAGCTCGCCCACCTTTTGGAACAGGGCCTGGAACTCAGGGCTCGTCTTGTGGGCTTCAAAGGCCGCTTCGTCGGCGTACTCCTCTGAGTGTTAATATGACCACCTACCGTACACGACAAACTTCAGGGTGTCGTTCACATCGCGCCCAAGACGGTACTGGAGTCAACATAGACATACGTACGGTCTTGGTTCCCGCTTCGGCAGTGTTGGCCTTCTTGGTCACAGCAAGAAGCATGTCTTGCAACACTTCAGCCTCACTTGCACCCTTGGCGACAATGCTACAGGGTCAGCAGAACATACGCACCTGGCTACGAGAATGAAAGGTCCTTGCTTGGGGGCTGACATGGCAGTAATGTGGAGATGTGTCTCCCCGCTCGGACACCCAGCCTAGCGGTGGGCATCACGTGCACAGTGCATGCAACAAACACCCTTGCCTTGGCCGCGACTGTCATCGTGCTGTGGTGGTGACAGAGACACCACGCTGGCCGTGCATGTCCGAGGTGTTTGACCTGCTGGGGATGGGTACACCTGTCCCTCGTGCCTACGATGGGGGCACACCCAGTCGGCACCGAAGTCTGTCACCCTCACCCCGAGGCCGCATCACATGGGAGGACAGCCAGCCTAGCTCTTCCCCCCAGGAGCTGTCAGTTGGCTCAGCCACGCCCTGCAAGCTCCCGCCCAGCATCTCTTTAGAGAAGGAAAACATATTCGCGCCGCCTGCCCCCCCACCCATGAGTCCCTCGCGTGTGCGCGCTTCGCGATCCCGCCGTCGAATGCGTGCCCAGCGCTCGGCACCATACACATACAGTATGTGTGCCCCTCCGCGCCGCTCAGTGGCCAATGATACCATCGGAAAGCGGAACTCTAGCCATGTGGATCCTCCTTCCCATACAACGCGGGCACTAGCACCGAAGCGCCCTCAAAGCCGCACGTTCGAACGTGTGCAGAGTGATCCTGTCGTACGGTCTTGTACCAACGACGAGCCTGTGCCCCCAAGCTCGGACGACAGCTTTTCCCGCGTCCTGGACGATGACTTCCCTATTGATGCTGCTGCTCTAGAAGAAGTCGCTGCCACACAGGGTTGGTAATGACTGTACATAACTATAACGGTGAATCCATATATGCTCGTTCCAAGAACAAGCACACACGGTCAGGTACATACAAGGCGGCTTGTCGCTCGCCGATGTGCAGAAATGTCCCTGGTCTTCGTACTTGGAGACCCACTTCAATGTCGTCTCGATCCACGGCACCGCTCGGGTAGGCCGGTACCAACAGCTGCCCGAGTCGATGGACCGCCGTATGTTCGCGCTCGCTAAAACCCGAACGAATCCTGTCCACATAGACGCCATCCAGATACGCATGCGTAGGTGTATCGTCCCAGCCATATAATTCGGCGATAGCATCCTGAAGCTCCATACGAAATGCTTCCTGAGCATTTTTATGCTGGATTCCCCGATCTGTCCACGCACCTCGCAGCTCTTGCGGCCAGCCGCCTGTGAACATGGAAGTACGCAGTAGTTGTTTTTGTCGTTCCACGTTGCTCTTTTCACGGGCATTTTGGTTTTGATCAGTTCTCCAGCAAATCTCGAGACACTCCATCATGCCGAGTCCCAAGTCTTCTAGGAGGGCATGGACGGCTGCTCCTGATGGAGCAGGTACATCCGGACGCTGAAAAAAGTAACGAAGACGTGTTGCAAAAATGTCAAGAGGCCGAAATGAGAACTTGCGCGTATCATAGCGAAGGTGTCGTACACCGGGCGCTGCACGATCGGCGGCCGCGGCATGGGATGAGAGTGCGCGCGCATCAAAACAGCTGCCAGCACTAAAACTGCCCGCACATAAGGGCTCCAGAATCGTGAGTGGCATGGGCAGTCCCGTCAATTCGCTCTGGGGATTGATCCCGATGACATGCAAATGTCGGAGTCGCCGCCTGAAAGGACAGAGCGCATGCCTAGAGGTACCACCAAAGATATGCGACAAGAGGGTCTCGTTTCCATCAAAGACAAGAGTACATGATACAGGAGAAATACTCTGAATCGATTTGGAAAATGCTTGGAGTTCCACGGAGCCCAAGGAGAGTTGGCACACATTCGGGAACTGTGATAATAGGGTATCAGGGTCGACTAACTGAGATCTGGTCTTATCAGGAAGCATGGCAAGCAGCGTCAACAAGTCAGGCCCCTCACTTTCACTCGTATCAATATAGAGATGCCGTGTCTGCGTAGCTGCATCACGCCCGGGGATGGAGATCAAGTGGGGCGCGACCTGTATCCATTTTAAGGTTTCCATGAACGACAAGAGGGCCTTTTGAGATTGGATGACGATCGTGCGCCACCGAAACGCCTTGGTACATTCACATACATTTCGAGAGACCAACGCGAGTGCGTAAGCACTTGCGGGATCTTGTCTTGCTGCCTCCTGCAATATAATCCACTGCAACTCCCAAGGAAGTGACATGATATTCTATGGTTACAAAATGTGGTACTAGTCTGTAGTTAGGCGATACTTTGGCAGGGTAGCAAAGTGGTCTAATGCAGCGGCCTTAAGCAGCCGAGTGGTTTTTTCACTCAGAATTGCAATCCGCCATTCGCGGGTTCGAACCCCGCCCTTGCCAACCTTTTGGGATCCTATTTAAGATAAACGCGAATATCTCCGTAAGGTTGAGCTTGTTCCAGCTTACACACTCCCACATGCGCCAAGGATAGCATGTGCGAAACTTTTTGCATCAGCTAGCTTAGATTCCCTTACATACAAGCCTGGGCTGCCACATGGATGGCGTGTTCTTTCGATGTTGTAACAAGATCCGAAAGGAGCAAGAACCGTCGTTCAGGCATGCATTGCAAGGCCATGCGCATGTACCTGTCATCAGTCATTCACGGGCTTACACTAGGAAGTCATACGTGTCTGACTGTAGGTCTTGCATAAGAGCTTCATCTTCTCGAAAAGAAACTACCTTGTCAGCTCAACTCCGTACCGTCAAGACCTCTTGCTTGTGTTGCGAAGGAATCATCTGCATCAGCCGACCAACATGGTAGCGATCCTACACTTGTATTGGTGGTCGTTTTGACAAGCAACTCAGATGACATTCGAGGAAGACGCGGCGATTGCCATCGGGCTGCCTGAACAATGGACGTATTAGCGCTAGAAAAACTCTGTTCTTGCATGTCTTCGGGCCAGTCCATATAAGTTTGGCCCAACGACGTCCAGGGAAGCGGCTCACACTCATTTTGCTTCGGTTCTTGACCACGAGCTACTTCTGACGAGTATTCTTCCGCAGGCCATGGGTCTTCCACCTGAGATGTCGTTTCCACGGGTGAGACCACCTGACGTTGGGCCCATGCTTCTCGGGCAAGCTCCGTCAACGTGCGGTAGTGGCAATCCAACGTGTGCACATGCATCTCTACTGTTTGCCGCCAAAGCGGCAAAAGCTCCTTGCTCGTGCATATACCAAGACGATCGGCGAGGCCCACTGGCCATTTCATTAACCATGCATGGTACCAGTGCCCTGGCAACATATGTTGAGTGCGCGCTGACTCGATGCGTGTTGCCCATGCTGCGTCTGTGTAGCCAATATTTCGGTCCAAGAGGCATTTGCGCTTGGCGGATGTGCGCAGCGGGAGTTTCGTCCGCTTCACAGGTGGCTCGACCGTGCGCAGAGCTATCACGCCTTTCAATCGAGATGGAAAATCAGGCTGGTCACTAGGCGGCTGTGTGAAGGACGCATGTATCTCAGGCGGCGTGGAGCACAATGGTAGTTCCACCGGCTCAATCAACGTATCCATATCATGGCGCAGGGGCGTTGTTTCCATTTGTAGTATAGGTGCGCAAGCAGAGGGTCGCTGCGGCCCCATGGATGAACAATGGGATTCAAGGGGAAACCCTGCATTGTGGGTATCCAGGGTAGTGCGTTTTACGCGTTTTGTGGCCTTGGCGCGGATCTGCAACTCGTTGGGCTCATACATTAATGCAGTAGCCCTGTCAATATCGGGCCATGTGAAGGAGGTTGGTAGAACATTTTTCATATCCAATTGAGCATGTTCTCGTTTACTCCCATGGTGTTGATGGGACTTGATTGACACGGCCATGTGTTTCACACCTATGCACCATGTTTCAATCTGCATAAGACCTGCACCGTACCTGCCAGGCCCAAATCCGCACGGCGCCAAGTAAGAGAAAGCTTGACTCATAAAGAGGTCGAATATGGCAGGATCGCTGTGTCATAGAACTGGATGAGTCTCATACACGTACCAGAGTTCCGCGACGTTGATTTGGCTCATGGTATGAGGGCTCAGTCGGGCATGGTTGGACTTGATACCAAACGTGGCCGCAATCCTGGCATCAGTCAAGGAGGTAGCTACCATGTGCTACGTGCCTGTGTCATAAGGCAAGGACGCGCGTCGCCCTCGACCACGACGATGCATCATCCTGTAGGATGCATGCAGGCCGTTGCGGTAGGGCCAGCATCCACGTGACAGAATGACAACCCTAGGACCGAGCGGGGGACGAGTTTTCAGTGGATGCTACGGTGGTTTCCTCGGCAAGTGCATCGCTTGTTGATTCCCACCCTTCCGTACAGCTCGCTTCACAGGAGCATCCATACTTCAAGAATGAATGGGCAAGTGTGGCGTGCACCAGCGCCTGATGCTGTCCCAGCCCCAATGCCGCCGCCGATCCGTGACGTGCACTCGTATGCCAATGTCAACGAGCTGAAGCCAGAAAGCTTGCATCTCGACTGGTCGATTGATTGGGAAAACAAGCGTATCCTTGGTTCTGTAACGCACCATCTCCAGGCGCTAACTGAGGTGTCGCGTGCGATATTTGACACGTCGTTCCTGGCGATTGAAAGTGTGTCGGTGGACGGACAGCAGGCCTCGTACGAACTTAGTGAGCGCCGTGGTCCGCTAGGCGAGCCTTTGGCCATTGATATTGGTACGCGCAAGGCTGGTGAGCATGTGGATGTGAAGATCAATTATGCTACGACCAGCAAGTGCACGGCTCTGGGCTGGCTCTCCAAGGAGCAAACACACACAAAGAAGACGCCGTTCCTGTACTCGCAGTGCCAAGCCATCCATGGACGCTCGATGCTTCCATGCATGGATTCGCCGTCGCGCAAGGTCACGTACACCGCGTCGGTGACATCGACCATTCCCGTGCTCATGTCTGCTTTGCAGGAGCAGGAGCCGCAAGAGGCCGAGAAGGGAGCCAAGTTGTACACGTTCCGCCAGCCTGTGGCTATTCCGACTTACTTGCTAGCGATCGTCGGAGGCTTGCTTGAGTTTCGCTCGCTGGGCCCACGCACGGGCGTCTGGGCCGAGCCTACTGATGCGGACAAGGTGCAGTGGGAGTTCGAGGCAGATGCCGAGCGCTTCCTGACCGAGGCAGAGAAGCTCGTCTCGCCCTACTCGTGGACACGCTACGACAGTGTAGTACTTCCGCCGTCGTTCCCGTATGGTGGTATGGAAAACGCCAACCTCACGACCCTCACTCCCTCTCTCGTGTGTGGCGATCGCAGCTCGACGGATGTGCTTCTGCACGAGCTGTGTCATTCGTGGAGCGGTAACCTGATTTCGTGTGTGAACTGGGAGTCATTCTGGCTGAATGAGGGGTGGACTGTGTACCTGGAGCGCTTGCTGCTCCAAATGGTACATGCGGACGACAATGGCCCGGGTCACCGCGGATTCTCCTACATTATCGGCAACAAGGCGCTACGCGACTCGCTCGAGGGCTTTTCTGACACACCGCGCTTCCAGCGACTGATCCCCGTGTACCGCGACGGGGAGGACCCTGACGATGCATTCTCTTCGATTCCTTACGACAAGGGCGCCAACTTTCTGTTGTATCTGGAGCGCCAAGTGGGTGGCCTGGAGAACTTTGTGCCGTACATCAAGGCGTACTTCCACACGTTTGCTGGCCGCTCGGTGAGCACAGAAGAGTGGCGTGAGCACCTGTTCGCGTTTTTCGCCAGCAACGAGAAGGCGTCGCAGGCGCTGCACGAGGTCGACTGGGACGCCTGGCTGCATGGTGAGGGAGTAGAGCTGCCTGTGGCGATGGAGTACGACGAGAGTCTGGCCGTGGAGGCGTTCGCACTGGCGGATCGCTGGATCCAAGCGATTCACAGTGGCGACGCGGCCAAGTTTGACCGGGCGGACATGGACGGATGGAACGCGAGTCAGGTGGTCGTGTTCCTTGAAAAGCTGCATGCAGGACCCCGTGTGCCAGCGGCGATGACGCAGCATCTGGACGAGGTGTATGGCCTCAGCACGGCGGCCAACACTGAGATCCGCCTGCGTTTCTACGAAGTCGCTCTCGAGGACAAGCACGGCGCATACGCACAGGATGCGGCCGACTGGGTATGTAAGCGCTACTCATGCCAGGTGAAAACGCAGGGTCGCATGAAATACTGCCGCACGATTTTCAAGGCGCTTCACAAAGTGGAGCCGGCGCTGGCGAAGCAGACGTTCCTCGAGAACGAAAGCTTTTACCACCCGATTGCTGCAGCGATGATCCGCAAGGTACGTATGGGCGACTCGCGGTCCTTACGTGGCAGGACCTCGGGTTGTAGGGCTCACCTGACCGTAGGATATTCATGCACACAGAACCGCGAACGTGGTGGCTGTGGTAGGCAGCACAGGCACTGGCAAGTCGCAGCTGGCGGTTGAGCTGGCCGAGTATGCGGCGGCGCGTGGGCTCCGTGCAGAAGCCATCTCTGCTGACAGCATGCAGACCTACCGTGGCCTGGATGTCATCACGAACAAGGCAAGCAAGCAGGAGATGCGCGCTGTGCCGCACCACCTGATGAGCTTCCTGCCACCGGGTTCCGAGTACGACATTACGCAGTTTGTGCGCGATGCCACGCGTCTATGCGCTGAGATGGAGGAGCGCGGCACGCTTCCCATACTCGTGGGTGGCACCACGTACTATGTGCAGCATTTCCTCTTCCCTGGCCAACTGGTCTCGCAAGCTGGACCGCCGGCGGCCGCCCTGTCACCGGCGATGCAGGCCCGGATCAGTGCCCTGCCACCGGACCTACACACCCTGTGGACTGAGATGATCGCCGGGCCGGCTGGGGAGGATCTGCCGCTCGCATCGCATGCCTCGCAGCTGTGGGCGCTGCTGCACGCGCTGGACCCGGACAGTGCACGGCGCTGGCATTATAATGACTTTCGCAAAGTGTATCGCAGTCTGCGGATATTGTACGAGTCGGGCAAGCCGCAGTCGGAGTGGCTGCATGCGCAGGATGCGAGGGATCGCGAGCGCCAGCGGCAAGATCCCCGCCGGCGTCTGCTGTTCTGGGTCTGGAGTGCGCGCGACGTGCTCAATGCACGTCTCAATGCGCGTATTGAAAAAATGATCGACCGCGGCCTGCTGCAGGAGATCCAGGCCCTGCGTGCGATGGCACGCGAGCAGAGCCCGGCGACCGATTATACGCGCGGCATTTTCCAGGCCATCGGTACGTGCTGCATGCTGACCGCAGGTTACAAAGAGTTTGATGCGTACCTCACGCATCGAGACCAGGGCGGGACGCATGAGGAAGCGCAAGAATTGTTTGACCAGGCTATCGTCTCGATGCAGACGGCGACGCGGCGGTATGCCAAGCGGCAGAACTCGTGGATTCGCAACCAACTTGTCCCTGAGATCCAAAAGGCGCAAGCAGCCGGCGAGGAGGTATGGCTCTACTTGTTAGACGCCACCGACGTGACACAGTGGGATACGCAGGTGCGCGCACCGGCTGAACGACTGCTGCAATCCTTTCTGGAGGGCAGCCCGATGCCGGACGCGACGCAGCAGAGCGCCGCGGCTGCGGAGCAGCTGCAGGTGGAACCTAAAGGAGGCGGCCGCCTAGAGCGCAACCGACTCGTCCAGTGTGACGTGTGCACGCACGATGCATCGCAGCCGTTTCTATTCCGCGAGAATGAGCGATACAAGCACGAACAGTCGCGCACGCATCGGTATGCACTCAAGCGACGCACGCGGGACGCCTACATTGCCGCTTGTAAGGCTTCGGGGGAGTCAGTGCGGCAGGAGCGTCACCAGTCGCCAACCCCCGTGGAAAATGACTAGTCTGTATCAATACTGTACAATGTATATCAAGTCATGCGGGCCATAGCATACTTTGACGCCTTGCTGCGCTCACGCAGTCTCTCGCCACAGTAAAAGAGGAATAGAGGGGTGAAGATGCCCACCACACCGGACACACCGGCTAGTAGTGAATTGCCGCCGCCCTGGCCGAGTGCATCGTACATCGGGGGCGAAAACAGCGGGAACACAAACGCAAATAGGCAGCGGAGCGATACGCCAGCGCTCACGGCCGACGCTGAATACACTGGCACAGACTCGGCCAGGTAGAGCGGGCATATGAGCAGGGCACCGCGGATGCCCATTGCCAGGAATACGATGCCGATGTCAGGGACGATCCAGTGCGTATGAAATTGAACGCTCCATCCAAACACAAGTAGGCCTATCGGCATAAAAATGCCTGTGGCCAGCAAGAGGGGCACCTTGAACTCAGGCTTACCCTTCCCCCCGTTTCTCGCCTCAAGTCGGCGGTAGAGCACGTCAATGAAGCGCCCACCGCACTGTGCATACAGCATGAACCCAATCATGAACGCAATGTAGTGGAGAGAGGCAATACCCACATTCATATGGTACTGACCGCGGAACACCACCGGAAAGGTAGCCAGGAGCAGGTACTGGCAGCCATACAAGATGGCCTGGTACAGCGCAGGCACAAACACCACCGACTCGGTCACAAGATACACGGCTGGGCGGAATAGACCATGCACGAAGCGCGTTATGAATGGCTCGTCTTTCGCAAAGGCCGTATGCAGCGTAGCATCACCAGTCTCTTTGCGAAGGCGCCGCGCCTTGCGTTCTAGCAGGACTGGCGTGTATGTCTCATGAAGCGTCAAATAGCCAATGACGGCGACTGTCGCGCCAAATATAGACGTGAACCAAAAGATCCAGGGCCACTTGCTGGCACCCCACGCCTGAATGATCCACGCGGCAAAAAGGGGGCCAATGCAAGGACCCAGCACGACTGCTAGGGTATAAGCGGACATGGCCTTCCCACGCTCCTCTGGCTCGAATAGATCTGCCACACAGCCCGTACTCATGGAAACTGGCGCGGACCCAGCAAGACCCGTGAAAAAACGGAGCACCATCATCTGGGCTGTTGTCTTGGAAAAGCCGCATGCCATGTTAAAAATCAGAAAGCTGCGTCAGACTCGGCCACGTACACTAAGTTCATGAGCTGGATGACATTCTTGCGGCCAAACTTTTCGCTCATCGGCGCAAAAACAATTGGACCGACAGCCAACGCAAGCACTTGGATGGACATCATCATATTCCCTAGCGTTCTGGAGCTCACATTGAACCGGTCCATAAGAACGTCCAAGGCTGGCGCCGTCATGGAGCTGGTGATGTGGCTCTGCACCGAGTACAGCGAGACGATAATTACCATAATATAGCGGTAAGACGTCGCCCATTTGCGAGGGTTTTGGTGCATATCATAATCTTCCCATGTCACAAGGGCTGGGTCCTCCTGGGCCTCCGACATGCTCGCAGGCTCGGCCAATCTGGAGGGCCCTTTCTCAACCGGTTGTTTTTGGCCTTTATCATTTGAAGAGGCATTTGGCCGTGCTATATCTCTTGGGCATACACGACTATGCCGACTCTCATCTGTATGGGGCTGCGGTGGGCCGGCCTTGGCGGGTACCCACGGGCAATATCTTCTCATACATGGAGACGCTCCAAGGGCCTTTGGCGATAATGCACCTCGCCAGAGCCCTGGCCATTTGTGTCGCCCATCGGCGATGCCTCCACATACACCTCGGCCGAAGGAATGGCCCCGCCAGCGTGGAAGACTCGCGCCGTGGAGAGCTGAACGCACGGTGTAGCGACCGACCACTGGACGTACTCATGCGAGCGAGCATCACTGTAGGCGTGCTGCTGGCGTACGTGGCCCTGGGTCTCGTACTGTTGGCGGCTCCTAGTGTTGCGATCGGCGTTGTCAGTATCGACTATGGCACAGAGTGGATAAAGGCAGCTCTGATCAAGCCTGGCAAGCCGTACGACCTCGTCCTCAGCCGCGACTCGAAGCGCAAGGTCCAGGCGAGCGTAGCTTTCAAGGGAGAGGTGCGCAAGGATGGACACCTCGAGAAGCAAGAGCAGATTATTGGTGCAGATGCCTATGCCTATGCCTCTCGCAACCCCCTGCAGAGCTACCATGCCGCCAAGCTTCTTCTGGGCCAGTCGTGCAAGAGCGGCGAGTCGGAGGGCGTGAAGCAGTACCGCGAAGTGTTTGGCAACATTGTTGCCAAGCCTCCGGGCGACAATAGCACGGGCTCGGCGTGCATTGTAGTACCGTCCCGTGACACCAAGGCCTTTTGGCGCCCGGAGGAGCTGGTCGGTATGCAGCTCGACCACATACGTGAACTTGCTGAAGAGACCGCGGGCGAGATGCTGAACATTGGCTACGGAGGAAACAATTGGTTCGGCGCGCAGCACGGCCTCGACACGGTCATTACGGTGCCGATCTTCTACACGCCAAGCGAACGCCAGGCTCTGCTGGACGCTGCGATGCTGGCCGGTTTTCGGCCCCGCCTTATTAGCGATGCGGCAGCAGCAGCAGCGAACTATGCGCAGAGCCGCACGTTTTCCACGCCGGAGCGCCACATTTTCTACGACGCCGGCTCAGGTGCCGTGCGTGCGACGCTGGTGGAGTTCTCCAAGCGCGCGAACAGCGCTCGTGCGGACGACGTGCAAGTGCAGGTGCTGGACGCAGCGTGGGACCGCCATGCAGGAGGTCTCGCGATGGATATGCTGCTCCGGGACATGCTTGCGGACGCGTTCGACAAGGAGAACCCGTCGCGCCCCTCGGTGCGCGGCGATGCGCGTGCAATGGCACGCCTGCTCCGTGAAGCAAACAAGGTGAAGCATGTGCTGTCAGCCAACGCCGCCGCCACTGCCAACGTTGAAAGCCTGGCGGACGATCTGGACCTGCGCACGACGATTGACCGCGAGGCCTTCGAGACCAAGATGCGGGAGGTCAAGCTGCTCCCCCGATTCTCTGCGCCACTGCAGGAGCTGCTCCAGCGTACCAAGACGAGCTGGAAGGATATTCAGTCCGTCGTCCTGGTCGGTGGCACCACGCGTGTGCCGGCGGTGCAGGCGGAGCTGCGTGCTCTGGGCGTGCCTGACAACAAGCTGGCCCAGAACGTAAATGCGGACGAGGCGGCTGTGATGGGTGCGGCGCTGGCCGTGGCGAGCACGCAGCCGCAGCTGCGCATGAAGCAGGTCGAGGTGCACGACGGCCACATGTACCCTGTTGAGCTCGAGGTCGCGAGCCACAAGGAGACGGTGTTCGAGGCCGGCCCGCTATTTACTGAGGCGTACGAGCTGACGCTGCATGGCCTGACGGACGACTTTGATGTGCACTTGCGCCTCAAGAGCGATCGTCTGGAGCAGGGCGGCGACGGCGAGCTGCAGACGGTCCACGTCAGTGGCCTGTCGGAGGGCTTGGCGGACCTTCGCTCAAAAAACGAGATGGGTAATGTCGACCTGAATGTGAACATGACGGTGCGCAATGCGCCGTTTGGCACGTATGGCGTGTCGAGTGCATTCCTGACCGTAACGCCACACAAGTCGATCACCGGCTCGCTCAAGTCGCTTTTGGGCATGAACAAGGACAAGTCCAGCAGCAACGCTACCGAGGCGAACAACAGTACGGAGACGGGCTCGTTGGCACCGCAGGCGACGCAGCTGGCACTTTCGGTGACGCACCAGGGCTCGGTGCATCCGCTGTCGGGCCATGAGAAGGTCACGTCTCTAGAGCGCCTACGTATGATCGTGTACGAGGCCAAGCAGCGGGCACTGCGTGATGCTTCGTTCAATGAGCTGGAGGCCACCGTGTACCGTGCGCGTGATCTGTTAGAGGACAGCTCGTTTTCGCAGGCCGCGAGTGCAAGCGAGGCCAACAAGCTGCGCACGACGGCGGATGCGCTTGGCGCGTGGCTCTCGGACGACAGCGATGGCGCGGACGCTGACGCGATCCAAAAGAAGTTGCGTGAGCTGACGAATCTCATCAATCCCGTCCAGAAGCGCCTGACGCAGGCTGCAAGGCGCGAGGCGTCTGCGCAGGGCGTGAAGGACGCACTGGAGCAGACTGCTCAGTTCCTGCAGGCGGCGCGAGCCAACCTGACGGCGGCAATGGAGCAGAAGAGCAGCAGCAAGTACACTGTGGTAGAGCTGGATGCGATGGAGGCGCAGCTCCAGAAAGACCGCACGTGGCTCGAGGACGGTCTGCGTGCACAGCAAAAGCGCCAGACTCACGAGGACCCGGCGATCCTTGTCGAGGACATGGACAAGCGCAGCAAAAAGATGCGCGATACTATTGCGCGCATGAACAAACGCAAGATTCCCAAGACGCGCCCGAAGAAGACGAAGAGCGCCTCGGCATCGTCGACCACCACATCGGCGTCATCGAGCACCACCCCGGCGTCGTCGAGCACCACACCGTCGGCGTCGGCGACCTCCACCCACGAGGTCCCCGTCCATGACGACCTGTAGAACGGCTATACACACCTCCACATAAGACCGACCGACGTTCCGCCTTGCCACCACGCTCCGCCGTCGGTCCACCGTCGATCGACATGGCGCATGTGAATAGTGATCTGCCCTATACCCGGACCGCTCCTGAGCGCAATGGTGAGAACAAATTGGCAGATGTGTACAAGCGCAAGACGGTGGACGAAACGCTCGAGGCGCTAGGTGGCCCGTCGCCTGAAGACGGCTGGGACCGCGACGCGGTCGCGCAGATGCGCGAGTCGAGCGGCACGAACGAGTTGGACGCCAAGGCACCTGAACCTCTGTATGAGCGGTGGCTCAGCCAATTCAAGGAGCCGATGAATGCGCTCCTGGTCAGCAGTGCCATCGTGAGTCTGCTGGTAGGTCAAGCCGACGATGCCATCTGCATTGCAGTGGCGTTGACGATCGTCATCACCGTGGGTATCGCGCAAGAGTACCGTTCTGAAAAGAGCCTCGAGGCCCTCAACAACCTTGTCCCGCCACAGTGCTCAGTTGTGCGCGAAGGCCGCTCGCAGGCCATTGTGGCCACCGAATTGGTTCCGGGCGATATTGTCCGGCTGCGCTCCGGCGATCGCGTGCCGGCCGACGTGCGCCTGCTCCATGTGAGCGACTTTGAGGTCGACGAGAGCGCGCTCACGGGCGAGACGACGTCTGTGCGCAAGACGACCAAGCCCGTGGACGACGAGCCGAACAACCTTGCATTCATGGGCACGCTCGTCCAACGGGGCAGCGCGACGGCTGTCGTGTATGCCATCGGCCCTCAGACTGAGTTTGGCAGCATTTTCGGCATGGTTGACGACGTTACAGAGAAGCAGACGCCGCTACAGCGTGCGATGGGCGACCTGGCGCAGCGCCTTAGTACGGCTTCGCTGGTCATCATTGCAGTGATCCTTCTCCTGGGCGTGCTGGAGCGAAAGTCATGGCTTGAGATGTTCACGATCGCTGTGTCGCTCGCGGTCGCTGCCATTCCCGAGGGCTTGCCGATCGTCGTCACTGTTACACTGGCGCTTGGCGCTCTGGAGATGTCCCACCGCCAGGCGATCGTTAAGAAGCTGCCGAGTGTCGAGACGCTCGGGTGCATGTCAATTATTTGCTCCGACAAGACTGGCACGCTCACGACTGGCCAGATGGAAGTCGTCGAAGCCTACACGGTCCCCGATGGTATTGTGCGCGTCGAAGAGGGTCAAACGCCCTCATCGCAGGCACTGCTTAAGACAATCCAAGTCGGATTTTTCTGCAACAACGCGACCAAAAATGAGCAGGGCGAGTGGGTCGGCCAGGCGACAGAGACGGCCATGGTCGCCCTGCCCGAGGCGCTGGGTATGAATCTGCGGCACCAGGCGTGGACGCGGACGAACGAGGTGCCCTTTGACTCAGTGCGCAAGTGCATGGTCGTGACGGGCCACGGCGACACGAGCGAAACACCAGGCGAGGCGCAGCTCGTTAAGGGCGCGCCGGAAGTCGTGCTGAAAAAGTGCAGCGCGTACATGGCACAGCAGGTAACGAACCTTAATGATTCGGTGCGCCATCAGATCCAGGAGCACGCAGACAATATGGCACGTCGCGGCCTGCGTGTGCTCGCCACCGGCTTTGCGCCACAGGGCCGGCCGTTTGTGTTTTGCGGTCTGCAAGCCATGCAGGATCCGCCGCGCGAGGGCGTGAGCGATGCGATCAAGACGCTGCAGAGAGGCGGTGTGCAAGTGGTCATGATCACGGGCGACGCAAAAACGACAGCCCGAGCGATTGCCGAGCAGCTGGGCATTGCGTCGTCGCCCGAGGTACTCACAGGTCCCGAGGTTGAATCGATGAGCGACCGGCAGCTCCAGGAACACGTTCAGACCGTGTCGGTATTTGCGCGGACGAAGCCCGAGCACAAGCTGCGCATAGTGTCGGCCTTGCAGGCGAACCAATATGTCGTGGGCATGACGGGCGACGGCGTCAACGATGCACCGGCGCTTAAACTCGCGGATGTCGGCATTGCCATGGGTACCGGCACGGACGTCACGAAGGAAGCGGCAGATGTCATCCTGGTGGACGACAATTTTGCGACAATCCTTAGCGCTGTGCGCGAGGGCAAGAGTATATTTTACAATATCCAAAACTTTGTCGGTTTCCAGCTGAGCACCAGCGCGGCTGCACTCATCCTCATCACGCTCAGCACTGTGCTGGGCTTCCGCTTCCCTATGAACGCAACGCAGATCCTGTTCATCAACATTCTCATGGACGGCCCGCCCAGCCAGAGCCTCGGCGTTGACCCGGCGCAGGAGCAGGTCATGGACCGCCCGCCCCGCCTCAAGGATGCGCCGGTGCTCACGCGCCGCCTGTTCATGCGCACACTGTTCTCGGCGCTGCTCATGATTGTAATGACAGAGGTCACCTTCCTCCTGTACCGCCCCGAGAGTGGTCAAGATACACACACGTCCACTATGACGTTCTCGGCGTTTGTCGTGCTCGATCTCGTAACGGCATGGCAGAACCGGGGCCTATTCATCCCCCTCTTCGGCAACCACGTGCTGCTTTGGACGCTGGGCGGCAGCTTGCTCACCCAGTTTGCCTTGGTGTATGTGCCGCTCATGCAGTCCGTCTTCCACACCGAGTCGCTGCCGCTCAATGATCTGGGCTACCTTGCCTGTATTGCCGCGCTGGCCTTTGGCGCGCAGGAACTACGCCGGCGCTATGAACGCCGCTTGGAGAGAGAGCAACAGACCCGCTCGCCTGCCTAGAGTCGCCGTCGCTTGCGGGCGCTGGACTTGCCACTCTCGTCCTCGTCGGCCGCACGGCACGACACGCAAAGCCAGTCGCCTTCCGGCACCGTGCTCAGTGGCGGATCGAGGCACGACAAGTGGTATGGGTTTTCGCAGCGGCCACACTCAAGCAGCGTGGCCTCGTCGTCCTCGTTCACCTGCCCGCATACGAGGCATGTGCTGGACGACTCGATGGTTTGAGGGAAGCGCGGCAGCTCCGAGTACGCTTGGTCTGGCGCCACGAGCCAGAAACTCGTGTGGCGCCCCGCGGCCACAGCTATCGGAGCGAGGGGCTGCAGCGGCGCTAGCATGTCGGGGGTGGCCGTGCGGTGCATCAGGCCAAACTCGGCATGCTGCGCACCGTCGCCCCATGCCAGGACCATGGGCCGCGCTCCAGCAATGGGCTGTCCATCGAGCGTGGGCGTCGCGAGGCACTGTATCGTGTCTGCCCCGGCAGCCATGGCGTGCACGTCGTATTCAGCGAGCTCTTCCAGTGGTTTGTAGATGATAAACGTCTGGCCCGGTCCCCCGTCGCCCGCCGTGCGCCACGAGCCGGCGAGCCACAGGCGCGCCTCGCGGTCGAGCACCATCGTCGCCGTGCGGCCAGCCAAAATGGCCTGGGCACGCTCCTGCTTGGCCTTGCGGTCGAGCTGTACGAGGTGCACAGGGCGCCCCTGGTCACGCTGCGTGCCGCATCCAAGACGCGCGAGCTCGTTCCGGCCCCATACGTAGACTTGGCCGTCGTGATCGAGTCTGGGTCAGTGAGAGCCACGTACGCCGCCATGTGATCTTCACCACACGATACGCGAGTGATATGCTGCAACGAGGGGACGCGCACCGGCTCAGCCTGGATGCGATATTCGATTTGGCCTGGGCCCCGGTGGTGCCAGGACAAGAGGCCCGTGCCAAGCACGCCGTGCTCCGCGGAGCCCATGGTATATACTGGAGTCAGCCACGTACACGCACCGTGCCCGCCGGCCGTAACAAGAGCGCTGAATGCGCGGCCACACGAAATATCCACGACAGGGTCGCTCAGCCCCTCGACGCGGTGGAACGGATACACCGATGGCCGCGGCGCCAGTCCACACTGGCCCTGGGCATTGGCGCCGGCCGCGTACACGGCGCCCTGCGACGTGAGCAAGAGTGTATGACCGAATCCAGTGGCCGCAGCCTCGATCGATACACCGTCCGCGAGGGACGGCACAAAGTCGCGCTGCCGATCCAGCTTCACAGCATCGCTGAGCCACGGCCCGCCCTGTGTGCTGCCAGCGGCGGGCGACACGCCGCATTGTCCATATGTATTGCAGCCATACACATACACGTCTCCCTGTACCGAGAGGAATACAGCGTGGTCCGACACGCACGACGAAAAGACGCGTTGCATACGCACATTGCTGACTGAGCGCAGAACGTGCGGCGTCGTCAGGCAGTAGCCGCTGTGTAAGTCAGAACGACGCACGCATCAACAGCTTGATTCGGCTCCTCGTCCGAGGCCACGCGACCACATAAAAGTACTGGGTCAGCACAAGATACGCACCCCGCCCCCACGCCATACGGAGCCGGCGCCTTCGCGTCTCGCGCGACACGCGCCCAGGGCGCGCCTCGTTTCAATGTCACGTGTATGGAGGCCCAGGGCCCGGCGGGGGGCGAGCCTCCCTCCATGGCGGACGTGCGCGCTCCTGGCGGCGTCGACGCGGACGCCGAAGCTGGCGCGCGTGCCGTATGGAATGCCGTAGCTGGAGAGGCAGGTACAGAGGCGCAATATGAGGCGCGTGTGCGGGGGAAGAAGGTGGTGCTGGGCAATGCCAACCGACGAGCGCCACCGCCAGCGACGCCGGCCCTGGCGCGCCAGCAGGCGAAAGCGCGACGCCGTGCTGCCGTGCCGCGCGGAACACCCCGACAGAGGTCGAAGCGTGCACGAATTTACGCGCAAGATACCCTGACCAGCGCACAGATCGAGCCGCTGCGGACGCTGTGGACAACGTACATCCAGGACATGCTGCGTGTACGGGACATGACGCGTGCCGAGGCAGAGGCGCAGCTGAGCAATGCAATGTGGGTGCAGCAGGTACAGAATGCGCTCCTCAAGGCCGATTGGACCGGCGCGCTCGTGCAAGTAGTGCGCTCCACCCAGCCCACACTGGTGCATGTGCATGGCACCGTTCTCGCGGAGACACACGAGACGCTGCAGGTGCTGCCGCCCACTACGCAGCCGATGCGGCCGCAGTGTGCGTATGCTCGACTAACAAAAGGTATCCCAAAGCACAATACCGTGTTTCGCATAGATATCCCGCTGCAAGACGGTACACTTACGATGGATGTCCACGGCAACCAGGTTCGGTACACCCTCCCTGCCCGCGCGACCCGCAAACACAAGGCAAAAAAAACTGTAGAACTGTAATCACCTATATTAGATGCACTCTTGGCTCAGGTCGGTGGACGTCGATACATCCTTGGACTGGATCTTGATGCCGCTGTACCGAGAAAGGCGCTCAGCCAGCACATCGCCACCAATCGTCGCGGGTGTCAGCACACCACCGTCCTGTGCCAGGGCCGACAGGCGGCTCTTCTCGAGGGCGATCGTAAGAGCCGTCTCAGAGATAAAGGCGGCCGTCTTCAGGTAGCCGGGGTCACCCTTCACATAGAACGAAGTGAGCGCCTTATTGTGGCCATTGCGCGACACGGCGAGCGTGCGCACATTACCAAAGCCCTTCAGCTGCTGCTCCATGGACGCGCCCGAACCCTGCGGCACCTTCTTGGTGATCCACTCACCGAACCACGCGTGGTGACGCAGCAGGTAGCCAAACAGCATCATGAGCGACGACACCAGCCACGATGTGATGTAGGAGCTGGTGACGTACCCCTCCGCGTACTGGAACGAAGAGCCATAGGCGTGCTTATCCTGTGCCTGCTGCAGCAGACCCCACGTGCGGTTCACAATACCCGTATTGTGCGGCGTGAACAGCGTGTAGGCTCCGTAGCGGCTAAACTGCGGCAAGAAGCGCGCGCGCACGACCTGCGCCTGCTGCGTACCGCGAATGGGGCCAAGCAAGTAGGCGTCCTTGAACCTAATATCAGAGGCCTTCGCCTCGCCCAAGGCACTCGCAATCGTGCCGCCAGATATGCCACCTTGGACATGGAAGCCACAGAGGGCATAGTCAACGTCCGCGTGGCCGCCCATAGACTTGCGCAGCTCCTGCACGGCGAGGTAGGTCGTCAGGTCGAATGGCAGACTGTCAAAACCGGACGAAGGCACAATGATAGCCTTCGTCGACTTGGCCACAGTGTGCAAGTCACGCACAATGTGCTTGTACACCGACGACTCGCCGGTCAGGTCGACATAGCCAACGCCCGCCTCCGCGGCCGCCCTCGCGACATCGTAACCGCCGTACTTGGCGTAAGGGCCCACCATATTGATAACCGCCTTGGCAGAACTGGCCATGCGCTTCAGACTCTCGTGGTCCTCGGAGGTAGCCAAGATCACGCCAATGCTTTGGACACGCTCTGCACTGACGTTCGTCAGCTTGTTGATCAGGTCGCGAATCTTGGCCTCGTTACGGCCAGCGAATGCAATCTTGGGCTGCTGAGGGTGCTCCGCCAGGTACTGTGCAGCTATGCTGCCAGTGAAACCTGTGGCGCCATACAAGACAACATCGTACGTAGGGCTCGACATGGTGGCAAATAGTTAGCGGGTCCGTGCGTGGCGCAATTGCGTCATGTGGTGGTGGTCCACGTGGCTCGTTGTCTTACGTACGCAGAGGGCCAGCGGTGTGCCGTGACGACGCGCTTTTCTTCGTTGCGAGGCTACGATGGCGTTAAAAGTGCCTCGTGCAGGCGGACCGAGTCTCTTTAAAGATGGGTACAAGCACCTGCAGGGTATTGAGGAGGCAGTTCTGCGTAATATCCAGGCGGTGAATGAACTATCAGATATTGTGCGCACATCGTTTGGCCCGAATGGGCGCAACAAGATGGTCGTGAATCATCTGGGCCGCATCTTTGTGACGAGCGATGCAGCCACGATCATCCGCGAGATGGAAGTTGTGCACCCTGCAGCTAAGTTGCTGGTCTTCGCGTCGCAGCAGCAGGAGGCGGAGATGGGCGACGCGACCAACTTTGTGCTGATCTTCGCCGGCGAGCTCTTGCGCCAGGCCGAGCTGCTCATCTCGCTCGGGCTGCACCCGACAGAGATCGTGCAGGGATACGAGCTCGCGCGTGAACGCGCCCTCGAGCTGCTGGAGGATCTCTCCATTGCGACGCTGTCGACGCCGCCCACGCAGGAGTCGCTCGCACTGGCCCTGCGTCCGGCGCTGGCGTCGAAGCAGTATGGCCATGAGGACTTGCTGGCACCCCTTGTGGCGCAGGCTGTGAGCCTCGTACTTCCGCCCTCATCCGACTCGCTGCGCGACTTTAGCGTGGACAACGTGCGGGTCGTCAAGATCATGGGCGGTAGCCTCGCACAGAGCCGTGTCGTACGTGGTATGGTGTTCGGCCGCGAGCCTGAGGGTAGTGTCAAGTCAGTGCGCAGTGCGAAGGTCGCTGTGTTTTCCTGCGGGCTGGACATTAGCCAGACCGAGACCAAGGGCACGGTCCTGCTGCATAATGCGCAGGAGCTGCGCAACTTTTCGCGTGGCGAGGAAAGGCAGCTGGAGCAGATGCTGCAGGAGATTGCAGACTCGGGTGTCAAGTGTGTGGTGACGCAGAGCACCGTCGGCGAGCTCGCTCTGCACTACCTGAACCGCCTGGGCATCATGGTGATGAAGATCCCGTCAAAGTTTGAGCTGCAGCGGCTGTGCCGCCTGTTGGGAGCCACGCCGCTGGCGCGCATTGGTGCGCCTATGGCAGAGGAGGCCGGCTTCATTGACTCGGCCTCCGTCACGGAGATCGGTGGCGACCGCGTCACTGTGTTCCGTCAGGAGGAGGGCGAGAAGGGCGGCAAGTCGTGCCCACGCCTCGCGACGATCGTACTGCGTGGCGCCACGACCTCATTCCTGGACGACGTGGAGCGCACGATTGATGACGGTATCAACGCCGTGAAGTCGCTCACACGCGATCCGCGGCTGGTGCCGGGCGCCGGTGCGACGGAAATTGAGCTCGCCCGCAAAATCGTCGAGTACGGCGAGCGCACGCCGGGCCTGAACCAGCATGCCATCAGAAAGTTTGGCGAGGCACTGCATGTGATTCCTCGCACGCTGGCGGAGACGTCTGGCCTCGACGCCACGGAGCTGATCAGCCGCCTGCACACGCAGCACGCGGTGCCGGAGCATGCGGACATTGGTGTGGACGTGGACCAGTCGGCGGACGGCACGCTGTCGACCGTTGAGGCGCAGATCTTCGACGTGCTTGTGGCCAAGCACTGGGCCCTGCGGTATGCGACAAACGCGGCGATCGACGTGCTCAAGGTCGATTCGATCATCATGAGCAAGCCGGCGGGCATCAAGGCGCCAGGACGCAACCCGAACTGGGACGAAGACTGAGCCAGGCTCGGTAGAACTATGGGTATGACTAGAGACCGTAGCGCTCTTCCAGACTGATGTGAGTGCAAGGCACATACCGTTGGCGGACAATAGGTGGGAATTGCGCCAAATGCACGCCCCATTTATCGCCGCTCATGTGGCGGAAGCCATACAGAATCTGGGTCAGCTCCCTCGACATACCTTGCGGAACTCCTCGTTGAGGCGCGCGCTGGGCTTGGTCCACCGCACGACCGCGTTGCAGAAGTACGCAAACCCAGTCGTTGCGCCGTTGGGGTTGGCATGAATCATCATGCACAGGCCCAAAAATGCCGACTCCTTTTCCTCGTTGTCTTTGATGTCCCACAGCGCCTGGCACCAGGGCTCAATGAACATGTGTAGCTGCGGGGCGACCATGGGCGTCGCCACGAGACCGAGACGACCGATCGTCACCGCTGCATTTTCCAGTAGGCTCTTGGGGCACTTCGGATGCACCAGCATCGCCATGAGCTTAGACAGCAGTTCCGGCACCCATGCATGGAATTCGGGATCCGCACCGTACTGCAGCGCAATCTCGCCGGCCGCCCACGTCGCATTGTTGCACACGCTCGGCGACTCGTGCATCTGCTCGGGGCAGATCTGCGTGAGCAGCAGCGGCATGTACTGCGGCAGGAACGGCTTGAGCTGCGGAAAGGCGTGGATCGCCAGGTCACCCAGCAGCGCATACGCCGACTGACGCACGGACGGCTCCAAATTCGTCATGCAAGGCAGCAGCTGCGGCAGGATCGCTGGCTGCACGTTGGCAATGAGTTCCTGGCACTGCGCACCGAGGCCCTGGCACAGACCACTCAGCAGGTCCAGCGCCACGATCAAAAATGTGCGGTCAGGCAACTCCTCTTCGCTGCCGCTCGACACAGCTTGCTCGTAGGCAACCAGGTTCATGTGTACAATGTTCACGCATCGCTGAAACACGGGCGGTGCATGCGGCTGGAAACCTGATCCCATCGCAATAGTCAGCGATGCAAGGCACTCGAGCAGCGGAATTAGGTCAGGGTCTGCATCGTCCAGCGCCGCCCACTTGGCTGTGAGCGGCTGCATGAGTGTGTCAATGTACTCGGGGCGGTTTAGCGCAGGGCCCACGTTGTCTGCCAGGGTGCCGACGGCATCGTACAAGATCAACATGTTCTTTTGGTGGTACTTGTCGAAGGCCATCACCAGTGCGCGTAACACGGGCTCCAGGAACGGCGCAAGCGCCGGACCTACTTCTTCTTCAAGTGTTGCAAACGCACTGCAGCCCGCCTCCTGCACGCGCTTGTTGTTGTCCAGCACCATTGCCAGGAGTCCTTCCAGCACAGGCAAAAAGTATTGCTCCTGGTGCTCCATCGTCGCGCCTGCACACCAGCTCGAGTACCGGCCAAGTGTCCAGCAGGTAATAGAGCGCACCAATGGCTGGCCGTCCTTGAGAGTGTTGACGAGCAGCGGAACGAGCGTCGGCAGATGCGGCTCAACGCCCTGGATGCAGCCCTCTGCAATGGCACCAAGTGCAAGAATACCTGCCTCGCGCTGGATCCAGTCGTCGCTAAACAGGCGGTCCTTGAGCAGCGGCAACAACGTCGGCAGAATTTCGTCCCCGAACTGCACGGCCAACACATCAAGTGCGGCTGCACAGCATTTACGCAAATTCCAGCTGCCCGCCTCCTCGTCGTCGTCAAAGTCGTCGTCATCTTCATCCTCATCGTCGTAGACATCATCTTTGTCAAAGTCGGCGTCAATGCCAGCGCGCGAACGGTGCGCGGTGCTCTCAGGGTGGTCCGGATCACGAATGTGTTCACTGCGATGGGTCGCGCCACCATAGTGGCGCGGCTTGATATCCTCCGGCCGGTCAGGACGCGATGCATCGTCGCTAATATCGCCCATCATCAGTAGGCTCATCTCGCTGTAGACCATGCACTGCAGCAGCACAGGTATAATGCGGGGCAGGTGGGGGCGCAGCTGGTGTGCGATGCGTGACTCTTCGGCGAACTGGAGCCAGAATTCGGCAGCTTCTAGTGCCACATCTTCGTCCTTGTCCAGCGTCGAGTACAGCATGTAGTCGACCAGGTTGTTCATCTCCGGCGAGAGTTTCTCGGGCCAGGAGCCAAGCACATACACAAGTGCCTTGCATACATACTTGCGCACCACTGGTCGATCGTCCGTCGCGCGCTCAAAGAGCGCTGCAATGTAGGCATCGATATTCGCGCTCATCGACGGCGAGCCGATCTGGATGTATTGGTTGAGACTGTTGAGGGCATGCACGCGGATGCGCGTATCCGAGTGCCTCGTCGCTTGTAGCAATTTGGGAATAAGTACATCCAAGGGGCGCACACCATGAATCTCGCAAGCATCCATGTCTTCCGGCATATCCTCGCTAATTTTGGACAGCGTGCTGAGAGCCGCTTCGGCCTCGTCCACGTTGGGCGACTCCATAGACTGCATCAGCAAAGAGAGGCCATCAACCCACTGGGCCGGCTTGACGACCTGCATGAGGACCGCGACAATCTGCGATGCCACATTGCGGAGCACAGTATCTGAAAACCCAAGCGCAGGCAGAATTTGCTGCTTGACATATTCCAGAGACTCGGGCGACACACGTTGTGAGTTGAAGTACAGGTGGTTCTTAGCTAACAGGCCTGCCACACTGCGCGTGGATACCTCTTCGCCAGTCATCTGAACAAATACCAACACCACATAGTTTAAGTAGTCGGGAATTTGGCTAATAGCATCAAGGCGGTGTGCAATGCGACGCTGCACATCCCGCTCCGTACTGGTGGATTGGCGGAACAACTCCACAAGTTCCGCCAGGCCCTCCGGCTGCGGATTCCAAGACGCCATCGTTGCACTGCACACGAAGAAGCGTAGCAGTCAACAGCGGTGAAAGTCTGCTTTCCCCCGCCTAGGCCGTCTGGCCACACACAAATCGGCCGTGTTTAGTCAGTGTTGTACCACGTGTCGATGTCCCATCCACCTCGCGCAGGCGAGACGCTCTGGTGGTCTACGCACGCGCCTCCTAGTAACCTGTCGTCGGCCAAAATTGGTAGTACAATAATTGGGTCAGAAGTCAAGAGCTACTACATCAGTTGGAAATTTTAAGTGGTCATTCTAGTAACATTAATTCCCGGCAACTTTTTCAGGCCCAGTGATTGCAAAGTCCTAGGATATTGGCAACATTTAGTTGGTCGGTCATAGTGGTAACAAAGTTTGCCGTTCCTGGTTTTCAATGAAAGATAGTCACCGGCGGCTGATAAGACAGGTACAACGGTGGGTTCTGTGTCGGCATGACCTCCGAAGAGCCAGTGTGAATGAGTGGTATATTATCACTATACAAAGAATTAATGTGTCACCCTTGACTACACATAATGTTTCGGTAAGAGCGACAAGTCATAATGTACTGATTTAGGCCTTGTTGGAGATGAGAGAGTGGTGCCAACGTTTTCATTTGTGTGACCCTGTGACCTAAACAAAGAGACCATCAACAAAGAGCAAGCTCATAGACACAAGGAGCAGAGTGAGCGGGATCAATACGTGGATACTGTGCGAGGAAGAACATTCAGGGCATCCTTGCATCCATGGCCCGTAAGAAAATGAACCACAAGTGATTGCGAACTTCAATACACTGTTAGGGTCGCGCACGTTCAGAAGCAGGTCGGTCACGGGAGCGCCTTTGAGAGTTTGGATTGAATTGTCGCCTGGGCGTAGCAAGTCGATATTGAGCTCATTATTACATTCAATCACACCATTCAGAGGAGATCCAACGTTTGTGTTTCCAAGTTGAAAACCAGAACCAGTGAAGTTCGATATAATTCCCTGTGTCGTCTTGCTAAAAAGACCTGAGTCAACTGCAGTTTGATTGTACTTCGTCATGGCACACAGCTGATCAGATGCTACGAAAACACTGTCGTCATCAAGGCACAAAAATGACTGTGATTCATTCTTCATATTGGCTGGGGTATTTTGAAGCACAGTGAGCAAGGACTTAAAGTTGTTAGCCCAGCCGGTATATGTTTGGTTCGTAACGGTAGGACCTACTACCAAAGCAAGCTGTGGACACGAAGACAGGACGTTCATGGGATCGCCCACCAAAATGTTGTGTTCAATTTGCTTAGGATGTTAGCAACATTCAGTGGGTCGGTCATGGTGGTAACAAAGTTTGCCGCAACGTTCCTGAGTTTCGACGGAAGATTAGTCACCGGTGACTGTCAAGACAGCTACGCCGGTAGGTTCCGTATCGGCATAACCTCCGAAGAGTCAGTGTGAATGAGTGGTATATTATTACTATAAATTAATGTGTCACCCTTAACAACACAGTGATTCAGTAAGAGCGAAAGTCAAAATGTACTGATTTGTGCCTTGTTGGCGATGAGAGCGCGTTGCCAACGTTTTCATTTGCATGACCCTGTGTTCTAAACAAAGAGACCATTAACAAAGAGCATGCTCATAGACACAAGAAGCAAAGTGAGTAGGATCGATACGTGGGTACTGTACGAAGAAGAATGTAGGTCGCATTGTCCCATCCAGCGGGCCCACTCAGCGGTAGTGCAAGTAATAGAGAGGTGCGATATTTCAGTGGCATTAGGAATCTTCAAAATCTCGTTGGCAAAGTCAGAACCCCAAGTTGGCCCTTTAGATTTCACAACCATCGCATGACCAGACTTGTCCCCAGCGTAGAGCCAATTAACATAGACTTCGTGGCCGCAAGCGCTGATACCATTCAAAGGTGAGGCCAATCGAATTGTTTCATTATCAGGTATAATTGGGTTGAAGTGAGTAAAATTCGAAATGATTTGTTCAGGAGAGTAGGGATATCCTTTCAATTCATCTTTAGTAGTTTGAGTAAGGTTGTGCTTGGACATGGGACAAATACTGGGGAAATTGCTGTAAACACTATCGTCATCGATACAGATGAGCGCCAACGATCCATTCTTAAGACTAGGTGGAATCTTTTGGAATAGAGGTAATAAAGAGGTGACATTGCTAGCCCAGCCATTATAAGGCGAGTGAAAAGAATCATTACTAATAGAGACGCCGAGCTGGTAACATGAACTGAAAAAATCTCTTGAAGCGCCTATCATAAACGGTGCTTTGAAGTCATCAAGAAGGGAAGAAGCGTTCAATAATGCCATAACGATGGGATTACTAGGAAATCAACTACACTCCCGTTCCTGCATTTCCATATATTATTTAGTAATTGTTAGTCTGCCAAGATTGGTGCCTTTATAGGCTACAGTCAAAATGTAGACCTACCAGTAGCGTAATAGACGATGGGCTATTGCAGAGTTATATGAGGGGGATTAATAGAGTATTACTACCAGTTCTATAAGAACTCAGGAGCCCGTTCGGCTACACATATGCCGATATGTGTCTGTCGATGACAAAATCGTACAGAGACGAGCATCGCCATCGCAGAAAACTAAGACTTAACATTGCTGACCCAGCCACTACATAGTTGGATTGTAGTATATGTAGTAACCACACAGAGTTCGGGATATGTGCTCAGAAACCTCTGGGTTTCTTATCATAAACGTGGGGTTTATGCCGGTGAAAATTGAAAAATCCCCGCGTTATGTGGGGACGACGGTGAACGTGGCGACCCATTCCTGTATTTAATTATAATTTATTAATCACCTGTGATTTGCCGAGACTTGAGGTCGACAGGTGTATGTTCGCTATGACCTTTGACAATTAAGTCTAAATGAGAGGTGCATTATCATTACTACTAGAATTTATTCATTACTATTAACAGCAGTGTCACAGATAAAGTTACTAGTCAGTTTATACCGATTTGGGCCTAGTCAACGACGAGAATATAGTGCTGACGTTCTCACTCGCGTGAGTCTGTGCCCTAAGCAAAGAGGCCATTCACAAAGAGTACTCCCATAGACACAAGGAGCAGAGTGAGCGGTATCGATACGTGAGCATTGTGCAAGGAAAAATTTTAATCGCATCGCCCTAACCACGAAGTTTGAGAGAAAATCTCGCAAGTGACGGATAAATTAGACACGCTAGTAGCATTGGGAATGTTCAATAGCCCATCGGTCAACTGTTCATTCGTCTCGAACTGACCAAAGTATGGTTGGATTTGTCACCAGGGTAGAGCCAGTCGATGGTGGCATAGCCATAACACCCATATTTTCCGTTAAGAGGAGAAGCAACATTTATTTGTTCTCCAACGGTGTTAGTGTAATTCTGTAATATTACGTATGGTTCCAAATTTGGATGGTTGCCCAGTATATCTTTCGTGGCTTGAGTAAGGTTATACCTTGTCATAGCACACCTTTCCGCAATAGCGGTATAAACACCTTCATTATCCATGCACAGGAAAGACAGCGTATCATTTTTCATATTCGCAGGAACGTTTCGGACCAAGTCCATGAAGGCCGTGACATTGTCAGCCGTGCCAGCGTATCTTCGAAGCCCAAGATCGGATTGTACAACCAAACCTATATGATTGCACGTATTGATAATATTAGGTTGTATCCCTGATGTTCCTACCATAAACGTTGTGTTTACCGTGTGGATGAGGGAAGAGCTATTAAGGGAGGCCATGACGATGGTTCGAGTGAGCTTCCCATTCCTGCTACAACTACTGCCAAGGCCAACCCCCCTTATTAGTAAGTTGTGGTTCACGTTGTCACGCCATGCGTCTGTCGCCTTGTGCCGCTCAAGGATCTGCTTAGTCAGTGCACGGACCCAGCCTTAAGTCCACTTTCCAGCGATCCACTTGTATGTGCGCGCTGTTTCTGGGACTGGACCTGTCGACCCAGGCCCTCAAGGCATCCTTATTGGACGAGCACCTATGTGGCATAGATGAAGTACAGGTCAGATTTGATGACGATCTGCCGCGCTTCGAAACCCAAGGCGGCATCCTGCCGCGAGGTCATGCCCTGTTAGATGAGCCGGACGCTGCCTGCTCGCCAGCGGTCATGTACCTCGCTGCCCTTGACAAGCTTTGGGACAGGATCTCCTATGAGCGCAATTGGCCGATTGACCGCATTGCTGCGATCAGTGCGGCTGGCCAACAGCACGCATCTGTATATTTAGCCACCGGCGCATTGGACGCCCTGCGGAGTGTAAGGAGTGCCAAGACACTGGAAGAGCAGCTGGATACGTCGCTGTTTTCGCGTCAGATCGTGCCGAATTGGCAGGATGCCACTACACTGGCAGAGTGCGCTGAGCTCATGCACAGTGCCGACGAATGCGGCGCACCTTTGTGCGCGACGACCGGCAGTATCGCTCACACACGCTTCACAGCCGCCCAGATCCTCCGCTGGCGCCGGCACCACCCGGAGCAGTATGCACAGACCGAGTCCATCCAGCTCGTGAGTAACTTTGTGGCGACTATGCTCACGGCCGGTGCCGAAGCTTGCGCGGCGCCCCTGGACCAGAGCGACGCGTGCGGAATGAATTTGTGGGATATCAAAGCATCGCAATGGAGCGCGCCACTTCTCGCGCTCGTTGATGGATCTGATGGTGCGGCATTAGCCAAAAAGCTCGGCGATGTCGCGCGCGATCCACGCCAAGTCGTCGCGCGTATCGGGACGTGGTGGCAGCAGCGGTACGGCCTGCGGCCGGAGTGCCTCGTGTGCCAGGCCACAGGCGACAACCCAGCGACTTTACAGTGCCTAGCGCCCGCCCTAGGCGAGGCTGTGCTGTCTCTTGGTACCTCCGACACGGTACTGCTGCCCAGCACGATGTATGTGCCAGACCCACAGTACCACACGTTTCAGCATCCCGTGAGTTCACACGGTACCGCGGACGAGACGCCTCCCTACTTTCTCATGCTCGTGTACAAGAATGGATCGCTCGCACGTGAATGGGTGCGCGATACGTACTGCGATGCGCAGTGGGCGAAGTTTGACGAGGCAGTGCAACAGTGGCCGACGCCCACGCAAGGCACCGCGTTCTACTGGCTGCAGCCTGAGATCCTCCCATGGGATGCGCGAGGCGTGCATCGCTTTGATGCGGCCGGCGAGCCCGTGGCCGAGTTTGCCGAGCGCACGTACAATGCGCCAGCGATGGTGCAGAGCCAGTGCCTGGCCTTTCGTACACGGATCGAGCGTGTACTAGCATCGAGCAAAACGCGTCTTTCGCGCGTGTACGTGGTGGGCGGCGCCGCAGAGAACCACACGCTGTGCCAGCTGCTAGCGAATGTGCTGGGCTGCGAGGTCGCGCGGCCGGTCGTCCAGGGCCGCTCGGCGGAGTCGGGCAGCGCGGTACCGTACAACTTTTGCTCCGTGGGCGCCGCATTCCGCGCGCGCTGGGTATGGGAGTGTGCTACGAGCGAGCAGGTATCGTGGGAGGCGTGTATCCGCCATGCCCGTGGGGCGCGCGCAGCGTACCAGGTGGTTGCTGTGCCGCAAGAAGCACAGGCCGCTGCATTTTCGGCGTTTTGTGACGCGTGGGCCGCGCTGGAGCGGCGCGTCGCCTAGGGCGGAGGTAGGTGCAGAGCGTCGAGCACGGCGGCAAGCGCGGGATTCGCGCCCCACAGGGCGCCGAGGCGCTCCATCTCCGTGCGCGCCTGCGCCTCGAGCGCCGTGAGAACCGTATGTGTGTAGTCAAAGCTGTGCGTGACGCGCGATAGGTAGTCAAGCACATACTTCTTCGGCTCGACGTGCTGCGTGCGCTGGCGGAGGATGTGCAGGAGTGTGCGGTCCGGCGCAGCTGTGCGAATCGCATGGAGGAGGGGGAACGAGAACTTTCCCTCGGTGAGGTCCTCGCAGAACCCCTTGGCGTGCGAGGAGCCGCTGTGCAGATTCATATAGTCGTCGCGGATCTGGAAGAGGAGGCCGAGCAGGTTGACGAGGGGGATGAGTGCGTGTGCGCGAGCCTCGGCACCCGCGGCGGACGCCAGAAGCTGCACGGCGATGCGGAAGAGGCCGCCCGTCTTGTTGACGACCATATCGACGTACTCGGCCTCGCTGGGGCACTGCAGGCTCTCGCGCCAGAAGAGCTCGATGCCCTGCCCGCGGTGCAGCGCGACGAGCTCGGCAGTGACGGCCGGCACGGCCCTCGGCTGCCATTGGACCATGTCGGCGACGACCTGGAAGCACACGTAGTTCGCCGTATTGATCGTCTGTGGCACGCCGTAGATGGTATGGGCGGCTGGCACGCCACGCCGCAGCTCGGAGCTGTCTTCGACGTCGTCGAGCAAGAGACTCGCCGTGTGCAGGCGGCGCACCCACTGCTTGATGCGCACGGTCGTCTCGTCGTCGTCCACCGGCAGCCACGCCTGCAGGGCATCGATGATGCGCGAGCGGATTTCCTTGCCGGGGTGCGCGTCGAGGTAGCGGTACGCCTCTGTCACGGCCGCCTCGCTCTCGTCCGGCCACGCGCGCGCGCCTGCCATGCGCGGCAGCACATGCTCGTACCACGGCGCTGCGCCGGCGGCGGGGGCAGCGCGGCCGTCGCCGCCCAGGGCCGCCTCGCTTCGCGGCATGGTCGGAGTGTGTCACGTGAAAGAAAGTGTCGGCGCTGCGCCGCCGCTCGTCTCTCTGCCGCCGTAATGAGTGCCAACAGTTTGTTCGACACGCAGTTTGTGATCAAGGAGATTGATCCAGACGGCAAAAAGTTCGACCGAGGTACGCCTTCGTCACTCACGCAGTCTCGCGCATTGTCGCGCACTCGCCCACGCTCGACATGACGCTGTCGATCGATATCGCTACGGACATCTACCCTGTGCACGTGGGCCAGTCGCTCGCGTTCCAGCTCGTGTCGTCGCTGCGCCGCGAGAAGGCCGATGCAGAGGCGGACGCAGCGGCGGACCACGACGCCTGGCGCCTCGATACAGACGACACATCGCTGGCGAAGGACTTTGACTATGTCATGTACGGCAAGGTGCGTCCGGCCTGCTGACCCAGATTTTCAAGTACGACGAGCGCAGTGCGGAGCAGGTCACGGTCTACGGCTCGTTCGGCGGCCTGCTTATGGCGCTCACCGGCTCGTTCCGCCACCTCAGCAAGATCACCGTCGGCGCCCATGTCTACCTGCTCGTCCGCTAGATGATACCCAGCGTTATAGACACGTGATCCCACCCCGCGCCCGCTCGCGGCCAGCGTGGACGCTGCGTCTGCGTGCGTTCTGTGCTGCGCCGACCGACCGTATGCCGCGCGCGCTGCGCAGTTCCCCGGGTCGCCGGTCGCGGTCGGTGCCTGATGCGTGGGACGATGCTGCCTGGGCGTCGCAGTCGGACGACGACGAGTTTGTCGCGCGCATGGCCACCGAGCCGGTCCACGACACCCGCCCGCCGCCGCCCACGCGAGGCGCGACGTGGACGCCGCTCACCCGCGACATGACGCCGCCCGCCTCGCCGCCTGCGCCACCGCNCGCCCGCTGCCGCGCCGCCTCGTGCGCCGGCCGAGCGAGCCGCGCCCGCGCCCGCGCCCGGACCGCGCGCCGACGATGCGGACGGCCTTGTGGTGCGCTGGGCCGAGCGCAGCATGCAGATGAGCTCGCCCGTCCTGGACGCGTGCGACGAGGCGCATCTCGAGGCGCTCGTGGAGGATCCGATGCACCTCCTCCGCAAAGAGGCCGTGAGCGTGCCGGTGCCCGAGCCGGCGCCGCTGACTGAGCCTGTGTATGCGACCGAGGACGTCGCGCAGACATCGATGAGCGCGTGGGCCAGCGCGGCCGCGTTCGACCCGCTCGCGACGATGAACGATGGCGTGTTTATGGCGCCGACGGCGCCGCCCCCCGCGCCGAAGCGGACCGTGCGCCTGGCGCCGGAAACGCCGGCCGTCCTGCGCCACCAAGTGTCGTCCCGCACGCTGCGCAAGCAGCAGTCCCTCCGCGACTGCCTCGCGAGCGACGATGTGGACCTGAGGGCCCTGCGCACGCTCGCGTGGAACGGCGTGCCGCCCGAGATGCGGCCGGTCGTGTGGCCGCTCCTCCTGGGCTACCTGCCGCGCACGGCGTCGATTCGCACGTCCACCCTCGCGCGCAAGCGCGCCGAGTACGCGGCGGGCGTCGAGCGGGCGTTCGCGCGCGGGACTGACGCGCTGGACCGCGCCGCCTGGCACCAGATCCGCATCGACGTGCCGCGCACCAACCCCGGGCTGCGCCTGTGGCAGCAGGCCGAGACGCAGCGCGCGCTGGAGCGCATCCTGTACATGTGGGCGATCCGGCACCCCGCGAGCGGGTACGTGCAGGGCATCAACGACCTCGCGACGCCGTTCTTCGAGGTGTTTCTGAGCGCGTACATCGACACGGACCCCGAGACGTTCGAGCTGGCGTCGCTGCCGCCGCGCGTGCGCGCAGCGCTCGAGGCCGACACGTTCTGGTGTCTGACCAAGCTGCTGGACGGCATCCAAGACAACTACATCGTCGCGCAGCCCGGGATCCGGCGGCAGCTGAGCGTGATGAGCGACGTCGTCGCGCGCATGGATGCGCCCCTGCACGCCCACCTGGCGGCGCAGGGCGTCGAGTACATGCAGTTCTCGTTCCGCTGGATGAACTGCCTGCTGATGCGCGAGATGAGTGTCAAGAGCATTATGCGCCTGTGGGACACGTATCTGGTAGGTACCTACGACTGACGCAGGCCGAGGGCACGGATGCCTTTAGCGACTTTCACCCGTTTGTCTGCGCCGTGTTCCTGCACCGCTGGCGCGACGAGCTGCTGTCGATGGACTTCCAGGGCATCATCCTGTTCCTGCAGAGCCTGCCGACGCAGGCGTGGTGCGACAAGGACGCCGAGCTCCTGCTCAGCGAGGCCTTTATGTACAAGGCGCTCTTTGGCCACAGCGCGCACCTCGGCGGCTAGTCGCCCCACCAGTCGGCGGCCGCCTTGGGCCGCGGCAACGACGACGTCGAGCGCCGCCGCGCCGGCTTCGTATGCCCGAGCGCCCGGTCCCAGGCGTCTTTTTGCGTGCGGAAGAGGGCCATCGTCGCGCGCGCGTCCTCCACGGGGCTGTGCGCGTGCCCCGCCTGCTGGATCTGGATGCCCAGCACGAGCTCGCACAGGCGGCGCAGGCCAGGGTGCTTCGTGCCCGCGATCTCGCGCAGCGGCTTGAACGACGCGGTATCGCGCAGCAGCGCGCGGGGATGCGAGAGCAGGAGCGCCTTGAGGTCGTTGTCGACCGCATGGCCCACCACGACCCGCCCGCGGAAGAGGTCCGCGACCTCCTTCTGCACCGCCTCAAACGAGGGCGCATCGCGCAGGTCCCGCGCGCGCACGCCCGACACCCAAGTACGGTAGTCAGTAACGAGCTCCTTCGGCTTGACGAAGCGGTCAAGCACGACGTGCCCGTGCCAGTTGACGATCGAGACGCGCGCAAGCACGGAGCGCGAGCCGCGCGGCCCGACACCGACCATCTCGCAGTCGACCGCAATGTAGTGCCCAATCTCGCGCTTCTCCGCGGTCATATCGCGCTCGTCGCCGAGGATGACGCGCTTCTTCGTCGCCTCGTCCAGGTATCCCTCCCACTGCTGTGCCTTGCTCGACTTCGCCGGCACGTCGCCGGTAGACCGGCTGCGCGGCAGCGCGAGCGCCAGGTCCTCGGGGCTGAGGTCCTCGGCGAACCACGGGAGCTGGGCCGTGGCGCTCGTGCTGAGGCCCGCCGTCGCCACGGACGCGCTGGCCGTGAGGACGCCAGCCGCCGGCCGTGCGCCCGCTGACGGCGCACGCGCCGGACGGACCAGCTTGGCCGCGGTCGCCACGGCCGCCGGCGCTGGAGACGCGGCGTCCGCCTCAGTCGCCGCGCGCGCCGCGCGCGCCGCACGCCGCCGTGCACGCGTACGGCTGTTCGTTCCCATTTTCTTCTTCAGTGCAATCCAGTTGCTGCTTGCGCGTTTCTGCGTGCCCATGCCCAGCACGCGCGGGAGTCGCAGCGCCACGGCCGGCCACACGATGAGGGCCGAGCAAAAAGTGCTGACAAAGCACACGCGCCGTGGCCGCCAGCGTTCAGCGACGATGATCGGGGTCGGCGTGCGGGCGCGCGCCACGGCCTCGTGGCGGGGCGTGCGAGCGTTTGCGAGTCAGGCGCCTGTTGAGCGGCGCGTCGTGTACCGCGGCGGACCGTACATGCGCAAGCCGTGGTTCTACGTGGCCGGCTCGTGCTTTGTGATCGCTGGGTACGTCGAGTGTCTGACACGAGTCTCAACTTTGGCTTTTTCATCCGCGACTACCTGTTCTGGCCGCTCATCCCGAACGAAGAGAAGGAGCCGGAGCTTGCGCCGGCCGGCTTCCGCTACTCGCTCGCGGGCGGCACAGTGCTGATTGCGTCGATGTGCGGCGCCTACTTCTGGTACGCGCCGAGCCGTATGGTGACGCGCGTGACCGTGTACCCGGCGACGCAGATGCTGGGCCTGCGCACCGCTGCGCCCCCGCCGAGCCGCTTCCTGCCGGCGTCGCTGCGCCAGCGCCCCTTTTTCCAGCGCGCAGGCGCCCTGTCGCCGGACGACCCGCGCGAGCGGCTCGTGCCGCTCGCGTCCGTGTTCCGGCTGCAGGGCTCGGCCGTGGGCAGCGAGATGAACGAGTGGTCCGAGCTGGCGCGCGCGAAGCAGCCCGTGCCGCCGGCCGTGCAGGCGCGCCTGCGCGAGTTCCACGCAGCGACGACCAAGCTGGACCGGCAGGACACGCTCATGCTGCGTGTAGGCGATGCGCGCCTCGCGTTCCAGCTGCACGCAAGCCCGCTGCGCGAGTCGCTCCTGCGCGAGCCGCCGCGCGGGCTGCGCCGCATGTGGCTCACGCTCACGAAGGGCCACACGGACTGGTCGCTCGAGCCGGGCTACACGCCGTCGCCCGCGGAGCACGCCGAGCATGTGCGGCGCACGAGCCGTGGCGACGCGGACGTGGAGCCGTGGTTCCTCGATCGCGCCAACTTTGACCAGCTATTTCCCCTGGACGCGACGCGGTACAAGCGCAAGGCGTAGCTACCAGCCCTTGGGGCGCGCCTGCGTCGTGTCGTACTGCCGGATCAGGTGCGCCTGCTCGCCCTCGGTCTGCGAGAACGCATACCCACGCGAGCGGCGCACGCGCTGCACGGCCCGCACCTGGCGGATGGATCTGGGTGAGTCGCGCAACGTACTGTTGGAAGGCGCCGGCGCGCGGATGCACGTCTTGCAGCTGGTACTTCTGCATCTCCTGCACGATGTGGTACGACTTCGGCCGGTAGGTGCGCTGCCAGAAGCGCCACAGCAGGTCGCGCAGCAGCGCCAGCGCGGGCACAAAGAGGAGCACGATCCAAAAGAGCGGCAGGCCCAATAGGCGCGGTACAATCGCAAAGCTGGGTCAGTAGACACACGTACTATTCGAGCGAGACGCCCAGCGCGGGCGCCACCGTGCCAAACACCACGAGGAAGGCGAGCGTCAGGGCGAGCGAGCCCGGGATCGCCAGCAGCGTGTAGCGCGTCCACAGGTTCGACACGAGCGCCGCCTTGCCGAGCACCGTGCCGAGCACCGTGAGGTACATCGCCGTGCCCCACAGCCACTGGTACGGCGTAAAGCCGCTGCGCTCGATCGCGTGGTCGTAAAAGGCGTATGTCACCATGAAAAAGTTGATCATCGAGTGGTACACGGCATTGAGCATCCACGCGCCGATCGCGCGGCCCGTGAAGAACGAGGGGCGGTACAGCTGCGGGTACCGCTCGAGCATGCTGGCACTCACATACTGGTCAAAGATGCCGATCACGAGCGTCGGCAGCATCGTGAAGGCCACATTGTAGAAGGACTGCGACCACGACTCGTACGCCGTCTGGCCCGAGAACCCGTTGTAGAAGGAGAACCAGAACAGCGTCACGTACAGCGTCACCGTCTTGTAGAAGCTGTACAGCACCATCTTGCTCAGCCGCGCATAGTTCCACGTTCCATGCACCAGCAGCAGCTTGCGCAGGAACCGGAACTGGCTGATCGCCACGTCGGCCGACCGCGCCGCTTGCAGACCCTCGTTCCCGCTGATGCCGACGCCGACGTGCGCTGCCTGGATCATGCCCACATCGTTCGCACCGTCGCCGATAGCGAGGAGGATCGAGTCCGTGTGCGCCTTGACCAGCTCGACCACGAGCGCTTTCTGCAGCGGCGACACGCGGCAGCAAATGACGGCACGGCACGCGGAGGCAAGACGGAGGAACGACGGCGCGAGCGACTCTTGCAGCGCATGCTGCAGGCTGCGCCCCTCAATCACCAGCGCCAGGTCGTCGACCGCCTCCGGGTGCGCATCAATCGTCGCACGCTGCTCAGAGAGCACGGCCGCCGTATCGGCAGCGGTGCTCTCATTCACAATCAGCAGACTCATCGACTCGGAGATCAGCCGGCACGAGTACCCAATGTTGATGGCCGTCTCCTGACGGTCGCCCGTAAGCACCCACACTTTGATGCCGGCCGTCTGCAGCGTAGCGATCGTCTCGGGCACGCCGTCCTGCAGCCTGTCCTCAATGGCCGTCGCGCCGAGCAGCTGGAAGCCCGTCTCGATCTCCGCCGCCGCCGCATCCAGCGCTGCAGCACGCCCATCGATGCGCGCCGCCGCCTCGTCGTACACGCGCGCCCACCGCTCGTACTCAGCGGCCGGCAGCTCGCGCGCCGCAATGCACAGCGTGCGCAGTCCCTCGGCCGCATACGCCTCCAGGTGCGAGAGCGTCGCGTCGAGGCACTCCTGCTTCGCGGCTAGGCGCGGCAGCATCACCGTATCGGCGCCTTTGCAGTAGATGTAGATGCGCCCACTCGGCTCACGGACCACCGTCGACATGCGCTTGCGCGCCGAGTTGAACTCGCACACTTGCAGCACCTGGTACTCGCGCTCCACGCCATGCACGCGCACATACACCGAGCGCGGCTTGCGCGTCGTAAACTCGTACCCCAGCGCCTGCGCGCCGGCAACGAGCGCTGCCTCGTCGGGGCTCGACGCCTGGAACACGACACGGCCGTCCTCCACCTCGGGGATCACCGTGTGACACACGGCCAGCACCGTCAGGAAGCGCTCGACCGCGTCGGCGAGCGGCCCGCCCGCCGCGCGCAGGTCCGGCAGCTCGCCCCACGCACGCTTGTCGTCGCCCGGCGCCTCGCTGCGCTTGTCCGCAAACGTCACGCCGGAAATAGAGGCCTGGCGGAACTGCATGTCGTTGCAAGTGAGCGTGCCCGTCTTGTCCGAAAAAAGGTACTCTACCTGCCCCAAGTCCTCGACGAGGTTGGAGCGGCGGCACAGCGCAGGCGTGTCCGTCGCCTCGTGGTACATCTCAAGGTCCGAGTTGATGAGCGCGGCTTGCTGGAACTTGACCACGTCCATCGACACAATCAGCGAGATGGGGATCAGGCTGTTGTACAGGATAATGTACGTGAGCACCGACTCGATGTACTTCCGCGCCCGGCTGCGCCCATCCAGCTGCGGCATCAAGTACGACGGTGCCGAGTTCTCGTACGCCATCGAGCCAATCGACGAAATGAGCGCGAGCGCGAGCAGCAGCACAAAGAGTGACAGGATGAGCGAGTTGACCTGCTTGTCCACGCGCGTGCGCTTGATGGGCGTCTTGGTCGCATTGCGAAGCAGCTTGGTATCGTGGCCCGTGAATAGGACGAGGCCAAACACCCACGGCGCATTGCGCAGCTGCGCACCGCGCAGCAGCACCTGGTCAGGACCGACAGGCACGGGCGGCCGTCCCTCGAGGTGCAGCGTGCCGTCAAACGTATACAGGCTGTTGTTCGGCGCCTCACACGCGAGGTGTCCACGCAGCGTGCCGACGGTCTCTGCCGAGACGAGCGCGGCGGTCGCAGGCGACGCCTGCTTTACCTTGAGGTTCGTCTCGCCATCCAGGTTTGCCGTCTCCACGTACGCTAGCCCCTCCGGCTCCGAGCTCGCCAGCAGGAGCAGGTCCGCGGGGAAAAAGGCGTCGCGCTCCAGACGCACCACGTCGCCGACACGCACCGCGCGCCACGGCCGCTGCGTCCAGGAGCCGTTTTCAAGCACTTGCACGAGGCGCGAGTTCATCTCGACGTCCCCTTTGTACCGCTGCCAGTCCTCCGAAAGCTCCTTCGCCGCGGCAACAAGCAGCACAATCGCCAGGGGAACGAGCGTCGTCCACCGGTTCGTCGGCGACACGCCAGGGATCTGCTGCAGGCACCCAATGAAGAGGAAAAACAGGTTCGCATACTTGGAAAACTGCTCCCACAGAAACACAGGCACAAACGTCAGGACATTGTACTTGTTCGACATGACCTGGTTGGTGCTGTAGTCGTCATTTTTGTTCGCTGCCGCATCGTTCAGCACAATCCGCCGATTCGCCGCCGGCGCGGCTCCCGTGCGCAGGCGGCGGATCTCCTGCTGGACGCGGTGCCGCAGAGATCCAAGCTGCCACCGCGCATCGGCGAGGAGGAGGGTCAGTAGCGAAGACGGCGGCGCACGCGGCGCACGCGCGCTATGCGGCGCGGCTGTCCGCAGCGCGGCGCGGACGGGCGGATCCGGCTCGTCGTCTGCAATAATGGTCTTGCTCGAGCCCATCGGGCGCAGTGGTACCTCGTCCGCATAATCCCAACCGTCTGCATCAAAGATGGTGTTCTGCGCCTTCGCCGTCGACGCACTGCGCGACAGACTCGGCCCCGGCTCGTCGACAGAAAAGAGGGACAGTCCATCGCCGTCCTTCGTGTCCAGGAGATCGTCGTCATCTGTGCCGATCAGCACATGCGTCGGCACCTCGTGTTCGCGCACACCCTGCGCGGACGGCACGCCGGCGGCCGGACGCGCGCGCCCGAACAGCGCCTCGATGTCGTCCATGAGGAGCCCCCGTGTATTACGATGTATTATTATGTAACCGTGTATAAGGTGGAGGTAATGCTACAGATCCAGGTCGCTGATGCTGGGGTGGTTGAGCGGTCGCGTGGGCGTCGTCCAGTGGAAGATGCGTTCGTCAATGTCGATGATAGTATCATTCGTGCTGCTGAAACGCGTCTTCAAAAGACCTTCGTCGTTAAACTCCCAGTTTTCGTTGCCATACGAGCGGAACCAGTTGCCCGAGTCGTCGTGCCACTCGAACACAAAACGCGCCGAGATTCTGTTATCAGAGTAGCACCACAGTTCCTTCATCATGCGCAGGTCAAGCTCACGGCCCCACTTGAGCTGCAGAAACCCGGCGATCTCATCGACTCCGTGCAGCTTGGCATTGCGGTTGCGCCACACAATGTTGGGTGCGTACGACTGCAGCAGACCGTCCACATTGCGCGTGTTCCAGTAGTTTTCGTATTCGCGCACCTTTTGAGTGGCGGACTCTAGTGTAAACGGTGGCGCAATGGACGACATGGCGTCGTAAGACACGGGGCGGCGGAGGTCTTCGTTGCATCGAGTTCGGCCGACAGATCAAGGATCGCATGACTGGCGCAACGCCGCGATGGTCTTGCGCTCATGGCACCGGCCAGCCCCGACGGCGCAGACGCAGCGACAGGCGGCGCAGCGGCGCCGTCACGCACGGATGCTGCACCTGCATCCGAGCCCATGGAACAGGATGTGCCTAGTCACCCAGCACCATCGAAGGAGGCAGCCGTCGACCGCCAGCGCCACCGGCGCATGATGGGCATGCTGCACTCGACACTGGCACACGCGCACACGCGCCCACGTGCGCCTGGACGCACAGAGAGCGCATCTGTCCAGGAGGGCGATGCGCCTCGCCCCGCGCGCGTGGCTGACCAGGCTGCTGTGGCTGAGGAGCGGCGCGCCCACGACGCGGAGCGTGCGATGGTGCGCCGCGACGTGCAGCGTGTGCATGAGTTGGCCGAGAAGCTCGCTGCGTATGAGGCCGCGCACCGCACGGCGCGCGCAAGCAAGCGGCGGCTCTCGTCGTTCCTCGTGACGCACACGACGCGGCGCTCAGCGGTGCGGGCGCCGCGTGACTCGGCGGAGACGGCTGCAACGCAGGTCGCGCGGATCGTTCCGTCCGTGCCGCTGGGCAGCGGTACGCACGACGACTACGAGATTTACTACCTGCCACGCACGCTGCTGCCTGCCCAGGAGGACGAGCTTGACGAGCAGGAGGAGCAAGTCGACGGAGAGATGGAGCGCGCAGACGACGAGTGGGATCGCCTGCGTGACGCACTGGAGGCGGAGCTGCGCGAGATCCAGCAGCGCCTTGCGCAGCACCACGTGCAATGGTGACCTACTGGGCCTTCTTCTCTGTCTGTGCGGAAAACTCGCGCAAAAGCGTGCGCGACGGGTCGTGTGGCTGGACGCGCTGGACGTATGGGATCCAGCCATAGCGCACGACAAAGTTGTCGGGGTGCTCCAAGTATGTCATGACGATAACCTCGATCGACAGCAGCAGGAGGTACGCGCCGCAGCCGGTGAAAATGTGCCACCAGCCGTGGCCCTCGAGCAGGATGGCCAAGGGGTACCCGATCTTTTCACGCGCCACGCGCAAGTGGCCGCAAAAGATGTTGTCCAGGTTCCAGATACCAAAGCCAATGAGGAACAGCACGGTGCCGGCCTGCTCGAGGAAGCGCGCCTCAGCGCGGCGGCGGCGCGCAGCGTCCGAGACGTTGAGGGGCGCACGGGGGTGCACCATGATGTAGATCGCATGCAGGATTGTCACGACCATGATCGACGCATAGGCCACCTGGTGGAAGACGGGGTCGCCGTTGATCACGTACGCCACCGTGATCCACGTAACGAACGCCAGGATGATGGTCGGCAAAATAAAGCGGTTCACCTTACGCCCAAAAAAGAGCGTCTGGTCCAGCATGGACCATGTCATGTAGCTGCTCGCCCAGATCATCGGCAGCTCGTCGAGCAGCTGCGCCTCAAACTTGAGGGTCATGTGGAACAGGAACGAGCCGAAGCCGACAATCCCGATACCGAGCGCACATCCGTAGAAGCGCGGCGCGAGGCGCTCCGTCGACACACGGTATATGCCGTACGCGGACAGCGACAGGAAGAGCAGGTTCGTGAGCTGTTGTCAGGCGAACTCGTGCGACCTACCGAGTTGACCGGCTCAGCTATGTACTTGGTCCATTGGTACTTGCGCTCACACCACAAGAGCGTGCTGGTCACAGGCCCCCAAAAGCCCTCGGGAATCGGGTCCGTTTCAGGCCACCAGCTCATCGTCGGACGCACCGAAGGCCGACACGGCTTCCGCTCCGACCGCCCATCCCACGTGCATGTGGAGTCTATGCAACTACCGCTGCTCGTACAGGCCCAGGACCCGTGCCTCGATGCCATCGCCGATCCAGCGGACGTCCTTCGGGCCAATAGCGCCAATGAGCTCCAGGCTATCGCGCTCGGCATGGTGCAGCTTCACATAGTCCGTCTGCGGCGCCATGGGGTTCTGCGACTGGTTCACCAGCGCAGCGCCACCGCCGAACGCGGCCATATCGCGCATCGAGTCGGCCGCTGGTGTGAGTCGCGCAGCGTACCTTGAGAGTTTCCGAGCACGAGGCGGTAGATCGCATCGAGACCGTAGAGATTCAGGAAGTACCAGCTTAGCGACGACACCCACGAGACGTTCAAGTCCGACGTATCGACGTCGCGCTGGAGCATGATTTTGAAGCGCTGCGTAAGCGGGAAAGGCAGGCGCGCTGGGTCAGTCGCTGCTACGCACTGATCACAAAGCCCGTGAAGAAAAAGTTGATCCAGCCCATAATGACCGTCTGCGGGATCATCATCACGAGGCTCTTCTTCGCCATATCCATCATGCCCTCCATGGACGACTCGTTGAACGGCGACTCGGGCAACTCGTCAGGCTGCCGGTTCGCCGCCTTTTCCGCCGCCTGCTTCGTCTCGGGAGCCAGGTACGTGCCGTCATCGAGAACGCGCGAGAGGAACGACTTGCGCCCCTCGACCGCCGTCGGCGGGATCGCTGGGTAGTTCATACGCAGCGTCGCTGAGCGCGAGAGAATGTGCCTGCGTCAGACTGGGGTACGTACTGCTGCCGGGCGGCCGTGAGGGTCGACAGTTTCGGCTTTCCCTCGAGCAGTTTCATGAGGTTGTTCCGGAATATGCCGACCAGAACCATGACCAGCGTGATGGGCAGGAGCACCCAGTCGCGCAGGGCGCTATCGAGGAGCAGCGACTGCTCCATCGTGGCGACAAGGCACGAGCGCCGCGCGGACGACGGTGCCGTATCACGTGGTGTGGAGGTCCGCCGGCGCGGCGCGACGCGCGGCTCGATCGGACCACGATGTCCATCAAGGTGCGTGGCGCGTCGCTCACGCGCAGTCGCTCACGATCCATGGGTTCAAGTCGTTCCGGGATCCTGTGACGATCAACTTGCGCGAGGATGGGCTGAATGTGGTCGTCGGTCGCAACGGCAGTGGGAAAAGCAACTTTTTCGCCGCGATCCGATTCGTGCTCGGCGACGCGTACACGTCGCTCTCGCGCGAGGAGCGGCAGGCGCTCCTGTACGACGCATCAGGCGCGACATCGACGACGCTCTCGGCGTTCGTCGAGGTCACGTTCGATAACAGCGATGCGCGCTTCCCGCTGCCAGGCGACGAGGTCATATTGCGGCGCACCGTGAGCCTCGCGCGCGACGAGTATGCCATCGACCGCAAGGCCGCGACGAAGCAGGAGGTCGCGAGCCTGCTCGAGTCCGCGGGCTTCGCCACGAGTCACCCGTACTACATTGTGCCGCAGGGCCGCATCACGCACCTCACCAACGCCACGGACGCTGAGCGTCTCGCGCTGCTCAAGGAGGTGTCGGGCACACGCGTCTACGAGCAGCGGCGCGCGGAGAGTCTGGATATTCTGCGGTCTACAGATGCGCGGTACCACGGCTCTGCCGAGCTGCTCGCGCAGCTCGAGTCGCGCATGGACGAGCTGGCCAAGGAGCAGGGCGAGCTGCAGAAGTTTTATGCGCGCGACAAGGAGCGGCGGTGCCTCGAGTACACGATCTACCAGCGCGAGCTCGCGGACCTGGCCGACATGCTTGAAACGGTACGTTGCGCAGCTAACCCCAGCTCGAGAATGAGCGGCGTCGCGACGTGGACGAAAGCAACACGCGCCGCGCCGCGTGGGCGCGGCAGGACCAGGCAGTCGCGGATCTCGAGGGGCGCGCGCAGCACGTTCAGCAGGAGCTCGAGCAGGTTGCACTCGAGCAGACACAGCTCGAGCAGGAGCGGCGCGAGCTCGCGCGCTCACAGGCGCAGCTCGACAGCCGCCTCGATGACCTGGGCGGGGCGCCCGAGGAGCGCGCGGCACTGGAGGCGGCGCTTGCGGACGTCGATGCGCAGGTCGTGGAGCGCGAGCGGGCGCTGGCAGAGCGTACACGCGCACATACCGAGGCGGTACAGGCGCTCGAGGCGCAGCGGGCGGCGCTGGAGCACGATCGTACCCGTTTGGCGGCGCTGTATGCGAAGCAAGGGCGCGCCGCGCACTTTCAGAGCGAGGCGGAGCGCGATGCCGCGCTCGACTCGGAGCTGGCCGAGCTCGATGCGCAGGCCACGGCGCTGGGCGAGGCAGAGCGCGAGGCGCGCGAGGCGTGTGCATCCGCCCAAGCGCACCATGCGTCGTGCGTGGAGCGCCGCGTGGCCCTGGAGGCCGAGCTGGCGACGCGCGCCAACGCTGTGGGCGAGGCGCAGCAGCAGTGGCGTGCGCTGCGGGACGAGCGCGAGTCGCTGCTCGAGCAGAAGAAGGAGCTGTGGAAACAAGAGGCGCATACCGCTGCGGCGCTCACACACGCTAAGGACCAGCTGAGCAGCGAGCAGCGGACGCTGGCAAGCACGATGGACCGCGCGACGGCGGCGGGACTGCAGAGCGTGGAGACCATGGCGGCGCGTGAGGGCATCACCGGCGTGTACGGCCCCCTGTACCAGCTGTTCACGGTGGACGACCGGTACAAGACGGCCGTGGAAGCCACGGCCGGCGCCTCGCTCTTCCACATGGTCGTCGACACCGACGAGACGGCGGCGCGGCTCCTTGCGCTGCTGCAGCGCGAGAAGAGTGGGCGTGTGACGTTTATGCCGCTCAACCGCCTGCGGCCGCCGGACACGCACTACCCGCAGGCGCCCGACGCGGTGGTCATGCTGCGCAAGCTGTCGTTTGACGAAAAACTGCTGCCTGCGTTCAAGCAGGTGTTTGGCAAGACGATCATCTGCCCGCGCCTCGATATCGCGGCCGCGTACGTGCGCAGCTGCCAGGGCTTGAATGCGATCACGCTCGACGGCGACCAGGTCGACCGGCGCGGTGCGCTGAGCGGCGGCTTCCACGACCCGGGCCGCTCGCGGCTGGATGCGGTGAAGAGTGTGCAGACGTGGCTGGCGCGTGTGGATGCCGCACAGACGCTGCTCACGCAGCAGCGGCGCGAGCTGAGCGAGCTGGAGCAGCGGGTGACGCAGCTGTACAGCGACATGCTGCGGTGCGAGGCGCAGCGCACGCAACTGCAGGACGAGCGCGCGGTGGCGCTCGATGACCTGACGTGGCAGCGGCGCAGCGAGGCAGATGCGGCGGCGCGCGTTGAGCGCATGGAGCGGGCGGCGGCGACGCGCGCGATCGACTGTGCGAACCTCGCCACGAAGCGTGCGGCGCTCGAGAGCGAGAAAGGCACGCCCCTCGAGGACCGTCTCACGGCGGCGGAGCGCGCGGAGCTCGGCGCACTCGTCGCGCGGGAGCGCGAGGCGCCGGCGGCGCTCGCGGCGCTAACGCGCAGGGCCATGGAGCTGGGCGAGGCGGCGCAATTGCTGAGCAGTGAGCTGGACGAGCGGCTGCGCCGCTCGCATGCGGCCCTGGAGCAGCGTCTCGCGCGTGCGGACGATAGTGCGCCGCGGGGCGAGGCGGCGCAGGCGCTGCATGCGTCGCGGGCCACGACCGAGTCGCGCCTGCAGCAGGCGCAGGCGCGGCAGGACGCGCTGCAGGCGGAGCTGGCGTCGCTGCAGGCGCGGCTGGAGCAGGCGCACAACGACGGCGAGGTCAATGCGGATGTCGCGCGGCAGCGGGCGGCGGCCGAGCGGCTCGCCGCGCGAAAGCAGCGGCTGCTCGAGCAGCGTGCGCGGTGCAACGAAAAGATCCGGGACCTGGGTGTGCTGCCGGAGGACGCGTTCCAGAAGTTCCAGCGGCACTCGACCGAGCAGCTGGCGGCGCAGCTGCACAAGGCGCGCGCGGCGCTCGACGAGGTGGCGCATGTGAACAAGCGCGCGGTCGAGCAGTTCCACAGCTTTGCGAAGCAGCGGGACACGCTGCTGCAGCGCCACGAGGAGCTGCAGTCGTCGCAGACGTCGATTCGCGAGCTGATCGAGGTGCTCGACGCACGCAAAGAGGCGGCGCTGCAGGCCACGGTCGAGCAGGTGGCCTCGCACTTTGCCGCCGTCATTGCGCAGCTCGTGCCGGGCGGGCACGGCGAGATGCGCCTGCACGACGCGGGCGTGGCGCTGCAGGTGGCGTTCCCGCCGCAGCGCCACGCGGTGCGCATGGCGCAGCTCTCGGGCGGCCAAAAGTCGCTCGTGGCGCTCGCGCTGGTGTTTGCGATCCAGCGCAGTGACCCCGCGCCGTTCTACCTGTTCGACGAGATCGACGCGAACCTCGATACGCAGCACCGCACCGCCGTCGCGCAGTGCATCCAGGAGCTGGCGCAGGACGCGCAGTTCGTCACGACGACGTTCCGCCCCGAGCTCGTGGAGCGCGCGAGCCGCTGGTTCGGCGTGCTGTTCAGCGCGCACAAGGTCAGCTCCGTGGTCGAGATCGCGCGCGAGGATGCGCGGGCGTTTGTAGAAGCCGTCGATACGTAGTCTATGCGTCTACGTCCATCGCGCCCTGGCGCGCCGCGCCCTTGCGGGGCTTGTGGCGGCGGCGGTACGCGGGCCGCGCCATTTTCTCGGCGGCCGAGCGCGGCCCGCTGTCCGCGAGGCGCTGCGCAAGGGGCAGGCTGCCGAGCCGGTCCTTGAGCGAGGGCGCCGCCTTGGTCGGCGCCGGGGCATCGCGGCGGCTCAGGATCCGCTCCGTTTCCGCGAGGTACTTGGCCTCGGCCTGCGCGAGCTGGCGGAGCACCGGGAGGGGCAGCTGCTCCTCCTCGAGGCGCGGCGTGACGGTCTGCGCCTTCTCCTTGCGCGTGCGCGGCGCCGCCGGCGCCGGCGGCGCCTCGAGCGCGACGTGCAGGACGCGCCCGTCGGCCAGCACGCCGTCGTACTGGCGGCACGCGGCCTCGGCGGCCGCACGCGACTCGAACGACACGCGGAAGGCAAGCGCATGACTCGGCAGGTCCGGCATGTTGTGTCGCTGGCGTCAGGGGGGCATACGTACGCGCACTTGGACGAGGCGGCCGAGCGGCTCGAACGTCAGCTTCACGTCCTCGAGCGAGGTGCCCTGCGCGACGTTCGCCACAATCACATTCGTCGGTCCCGACGTGCCCTTAATGCTCATTTCACGCGGCGCGCGGCGCGCAGCGCCACCATGGCGCCCGGCGCCCGGCGCCCTACGCGTGCCAGCCGGCTGATCGACGTCCATCGCGAACCGCGAGACGGGCGTGAGGGGAACTATGCCTCCACATGGGCTCTACTCTAGCTAGGCGGCCTCCTCGGCCAGCGCCCGCAGCGTCTCGCGCACGGAAGAGAGGAGAGGGGGCGGCCGACTGGGCGGCGAGAGGGGGGTGTCATCGGCGCCCTTGGCATAGAGCGCCAGTCTCGTAGGCGCCTTGGGCCCGTCTGGGTCGTGCGAGCCCACAAGGAAGCAGCCCTCGCGCACATCGACGCCGCGCTGCCGGAGCAGCGCGTGCAGTGCCTCGGCCGCATCGGGGGCGTCGCCGGTGTCGTGCAGCTGCGGCGCATGCGCCGCGGCCCACGCATCGAGGCAGGTGGGGCGCAGGTGGTCCAGCAGCGACGGCGAGCGCTCCGTGCCAGCACAGTACACGACGACGCGCCGCTGGCGCCGCGACGCGCTGCTCCCCGACGACAGCGACGAGAGGGTGGGCGACGCACTCGAGCACAGCGACGGCATCGATGCGTCGCTCGAGTCGGCCGGCGTCGAGCACCGCCACGACTTGTCGTCGAGGTCGTCGGGCGCCGCCGGCCCGGGCGCCACGGGCTCCGACAGCACCGTGCACAGCACCGTGTCGCTGCCAGGCGCCACGTGGACGCGCATCTGCATCGCCGCCTCGTCACGCACGAGCGCGGCCTCCTTGTCCGCGGGCGCGCCGCCCTCCGGCGCCGCCTGCGACATTTTGATCATCATTTCGCCGACCGTGCGGACGAGCGAGAGCGACTCGTCCCGCGCGCCCTCGGGGGCCGGCGCCGGGGGCGCAGCGCGCGCGCGCGCGAGCTCCGCGCGCAGGTGCTCGCACTCCTTCTGGGTGGCCGCGAGCTGGGCCGACACGTCGTAGGGCTTGGCCTTGAGCGGGACATCGTCGCCCATGATGCTCTCGACGATCATCGTGCCCTGCTGCGTCACGACCTGCTGCAGCGTCGCGCGCAGCTCGTCTGACTCGTACTGCAGCTGCTCGCCCAGCGGCGTCGCGCTCAGCACGCGGTCGAGGCCGTGCTGCGTGAGCACGGCCATGGGCGAGGCCTCCGTCGCGTGCTCCAGCGAGCTCCACAGCAGCCACGAGAGGCGCGCGAGCGCACGGCACTTGCACGCGAGCTCTTCAAACTGCTCGCGCTTCCGCTGGCGCGACAAGAAGGCCGCCGCCCGGTTCTTCACGAGGCGCGCCTCGCGCTTCGTCAGGCCCGACGTGTCCGGCGGCACGAACAGCGACGAATGCTTCGCCGACGTGTCGATCAC